TTGAAAGGATGAGTCCGATCATCCTTCTAATTGAAAGGATGAGTCCAATCGAGGGGCCGAAGGCCCGGAGTGACTCTAAGTGGAAGGAAGAGTCCCAATTGTCGAAGACGAGGGCCGAAGGCCCGAAGTGACTCTAAGTGGAAGAATTAGTCCAATCGAGTAGAAGACGAGGGCCGAAGGCCCGAAGAGCAATAGTCAAAGTCAGAGAATAGATCCTCCGAGGCCAAAGGCCGAGGAGTAGGCGAGGGCCGAAGGCCTGAGCTTTTATTACATCTAAAAGGCAGAGCAATAGTCAAAGTCAGAGAATAGATCCTCCGAGGCCAAAGGCCGAGGAGTAGGCGAGGGCCGAAGGCCCGAGCTTTCATTACATCTAAAAGGCAGAGCAATAGTCAAAGGCAGAGCATAGATCCTCCGAGGCCGAAGGCCGAGGAGTATGCGAGGGCCGAAGGCCCGAGCTTTTATTACATCTAAAAGGCAGAGCAATAGTCAAAGGCAGAGCATAGATCCTCCGAGGCCGAAGGCCGAGGAGTATGCGAGGGCCGAAGGCCCGAGCTTTCATTACATCTAAAAGGCAGAGCAATAGTCAAAGGCATAGCATAGATCCTCCGAGGCCGAAGGCCGAGGAGTAGGCGAGGGCCGAAGGCCCGAGCCTTCATTACATCTAAAAGGCAGAGCAATAGTCAAAGGCAGAGCATAGATCCTCCGAGGCCGAAGGCCGAGGAGTATGCGAGGGCCGAAGGCCCGAGCTTTTATTACATCTAAAAGGCAGAGCAATAGTCAAAGGCAGAGCATAGATCCTCCGAGGCCGAAGGCCGAGGAGTATGCGAGGGCCGAAGGCCCGAGCTTTTATTACATCTAAAAGGCAGAGCAATAGTCAAAGGCAGAGCGTAGATCTTCCGAGGCCGAAGGCCGAAGAGTAGGCGAGGGCCGAAGGCCCGAGCCTCAGCCCATCTAAAATGCAGAGCAGTCTGATTGGAAGGATGAGTCCAATCGAGGGGAGGAGGTTGGCGAGGGCCGAAGGCCCGAACTTCAACCCATCTAAAAGGCAGAACAAAGAACGACCGAGGCCGAAGCTAAGGAGTTGGCGAGGGCCTAAGGCCCGAAGCCCGAAGTGACTCTAAGTGCAAGAAAGAGTCCAATCGAATGAAAGTAGGGCCGAAGGCCCTAAGTTACTCTAAGTGGAAGGATGAGTCCAAACGGAGGGAAGACGAGGGCCGAAGGCCCGAAGTGACTCTAAATGGAAGGAGGAGTCCACTCGAAGGGAAGACGAGTGCCGAAGGCCAGAAGTGACTCTAAGTGTAAAGATGAGTCCCAATGGGGGGAAGACGAGTTGGCGAGGGCCGAAGGCCCGAAGCAATGAAAAGGCAGAGGTAATCAAATATATTCCAAGCATTTAAACATTCTAGCAGCGCGCGAAGCGCGCCCCAAAGCCGTTAGGCTTTCGAAAACCCAGAACTAAATTGAAACCAAAGCAAAATTAAACTGCCATTGCATACGTAAGTTACCGCCATCGCATACGTAACCCACAGCTAGTTTAATATATTATATAAAAGTATTGGTAAAATCTCTACAAAAATTTAGAACTCTTTACAGAGTTGAGATAATGGGCTGAAAGTGTTACATGTCCGGGGTCAAATTTAAGGGGGCATATGGGAAAAATAAGGACGGAAAATTTTAGGAACCCCTTGGTACCTAAATAATAGAGGTACCGGGGATATCTCGGGACTGGGTACAGATACGCGTGTCGGACTAACGGGAGGGCACTTAAGCATCAATAGACAATGTCGATTGCAAAAAACCCGAAGTCGAAATTCGAAGTTAAAGGGTACTTATGCGTGAGCAAAGAATCAGACATTTCCGGTGAATTGTCGGGTGTGTCGGTATTTAAAATTCGAGTTTTTCGAAAATAACTCGAAAACGGATAAAGATACCGAAAAACTTCTGCTGGGAGGCGATTGAAGCAGAACGAGGAGATATAGGTAGGAAAAATTTCAAAGTCGAAATTCAAACTTTAGGGGTACTTATTGGGGGGCAAAAATTTCTGTAAGAAATCTGTCTTACCGATAATTGTCGGATTTCTTCAAATTGAGGAAAGCCAGGAGGCAAATCTCATAGGTGAGAGAGAAATTTTGATTGATAGGAGAAATTTCGAGTGAAAATAGTGGGATTTCGAAACTTAAGCAAGTTTCGAGTTGAGGGAGGGATGAAATAGGGGAAGTTGAGGGGGAATTCGAAATTAGGGATCCGAGATTTCGGGATTTTTAGGGATTTTAGAATATGGTCGAATGAGTAGTCATTCGAAAGCGGATAATGAGGGGAGTTGAATGGGATATATGGTAAAGCCGAAAGTCGAAGTTCGGAGTTCGAACTTCGAAATCCGGTTTTTTCGGGATTTGTGGATATGGGTGAGTGAGTATTCGTTCAAGAGCAGGGAGTGAGGGGAGTCTAAAGGGATAAGGGATAAGTATGAAAGTCGAAGTTCGGAGTTCGAACTTCGAAATCCGGGTTTTTCGGGGCTGGGGATATGGGCAAGAGGGTAGTCATTCAAGAGCTGGGACTGAGGGGAGTCTAATGGGATAAAGGATTAAGCCTAAAGTCGAAGTTCGGAGTTCGAACTTCGAAATCCGGGATTTTCGGGATTGGGATATATGGGTGTGTGGGTATTTGTTCAAGAGGGGATAATCAGGGGAGCTTAGTGGGATAAAGGAGAAATTCGAAAGTCGAAGTTCGGAGTTCGAACTTCGAAATCCGGTATTTTCGGGGGTTGGGGATATGGGCAAGAGGGTAGTCATTCAAGAGGGGATGTTCAGGGGAGTTTAATGGGATAAAGGATAATGTCGAAAGTCGAAGTTCGGAGTTCGAACTTCGAAATCCGGTATTTTAGGGGGTTGCGGATATAGGCAAGTGGGTAGTCATTCAAGAGGGGATGTTCAGGGGAGTCTAATGGGATATAGGATAAAGTCGAAATTCGAAGTTCCGAGTACGAACATCGAAATCCGTGATTTTCGGGATTGGGAAGTGTGGTCGAATGAGTACTCATTCAAGAGGGGATGATCAGGGGAGTCAAATGGGATAAAGGATAATGTCGAAATTCGAGGTTCCGAGTACGAACTTCGAAATTCGGTATCTTCGGGATTTGAGATTAACGTGGATATGGTGAATGAGTACTCATTCAAGAGGGGATGTTCAGGGGAGTCTAATGGGATATAGGATAAAGTCGAAGTTCGGAGTTCGAACTACGAAATCCGGGATTTTCGGGATTTGAGATTAAAGTGGATATCGGTGAATGAGTAGTCATTCAAGAGGGGATAATGAGGGGCTCCGAAAAAGGTATAAGTCCGGTTGAGTCTGAAAAAGTTATGGCCAATGTTCGCAAATGTCGCGAAACTTTTTTGGACTATAATTTTTTTGAAAATTTTTATAGAATTTTTCTGACACCGGATATGGATTCAACGGGTGACAGAGTACCATATAGGATATTTTTGGGTCAAAATTGGAAAATTTTTGACCCTTCGAATTTTTCAAAAGGGGTACCCCTTTTGGGGGATTTGTGGGATTTTTTAGGGGATCATAACTTTTTGTGGGATTTATGGAATTGGATGGGGTTTGCTTTACAAAATAGAATAAAAAATTAGAAATTTTTTGAGCCCAAAAAATTTCGAAAAAAGTCGAAACGGGAGGTGTAGGGGTCAAATTTCGAAAAACCCTAAATTTTTTATTTTTTCGAAATTTTTTCGGGTTTTTTGTCGGCGGTACACGCCGAAGCCATTTTTCTTGGATAAAGCAAATTTTTCTGCATCTGATAAGATTTTAAAATCTTTACAAAAGGTATATTTGGGCGAGATATGATTTTTTAAATATTTCAGTGATTTTTTTCGGCTGAAATTCTCGGCCAAAAAATATAATTTTAAAAATCAAAATAGATATGTCAAATGAGATATCATTCGAAAGCTCTCATCGAGCTGGATATAAAAATATTTTTTTTTCGGAATTTTTCGGTACATTTTGACGAAGTTACAAAAGTTCAAAATTTATCGGGTTGGACTACCGTACCCGGAGAATGATGGGAGGGAGAGAGGAAAAATGATTGACAGGTGAAATAGGTGGAAGAGAGGCGAAATTTTTCTCCGTCTCTGCCTATGCGGGGCAAACGGTAGAAAAGTTCAGAGTTGAATTTTGTATATTGGGAAAAATTTTGTGGGAGGATAAACTGGATCCTGTTATGGATCCGAAGCAGAAGCAAGCTTCTGCTTCAAATTTTTGTTTCGAGTTTCGAATTTTTGAAACTTGAAGCAAATTGCTTCAGGTTTTGAATTTTTTGAAACTTTAAGCAAATTTGCTTCAGGTTTTTGCTTCAGGTTTTTCTTCAACTTTTGAATTTTTTGAAGTTGAAGCAAAATTGCTTCAACTTTTTAATTTTGTTTTTTAGAAGCGAGGGCCGAAGGCCCGAGCTGACACCCATCTAAAAGAAAGGGCGAGGGCCGAAGGCCCGAGCTGACACCCATCTAAAAGGGAGGGCGAGGGCCGAAGGCCCGAGCTGACACCCATCTAAAAGGAAGGGAGAGGGCCGAAGGCCCGAGCTGACACCCATCTAAAAGAAAGGGCGAGGGCCGAAGGCCCGAGCTGACACCCATCTAAAAGGGAGGGCGAGGGCCGAAGGCCCGAGGGGAGGGCGAGGGCCGAAAAAAAAGGGAGGGCGAGGGCCGAAGGCCCGAGGGGAGGGCGAGGGCCGAAAAAAAATGGAGGGCGAGGGCCGAAGGCCCGATTTTTTTTCTACACCCATCTAAAAGGAGGGCCAAAGGGTGGAAGGATGAGTCTAAGTGGAAGGATGAGTCCAATCGAGGGGAAGACGAGGGCCGAAGGCCCGAAGTGACTCTAAGTGGAAGGATGAGTCCAAATGAGGGGAAGACGAGGGCCGAAGTCCCGAAGTGACTCTAAATGGATGGATGAGTCCCAATGAAGGCTATTCTTTTCTTCCAGGCATAAAAAATCGCTAGCGGCGCGCGAAGCGCGCCCCCAAAGCCGTTAGGCTTTCCAACGTGCAGAAGTTTTGTAATTTAAAGAACCCCCCGATGTATTTTACCGCCACAGTGTCCTGATATCCACCCCAGTGGCCAAACCCATCGCTAGTTCTTTATTATACATAAATGAATTTTTTTATATATTTTTTTAGAAACTTTAAATATAAATTTTATATAAAGAATTTCAATATATTCTTTAAAAGTAAATTGAAATTATTTTTTAATATTTGTTTTTAATAATATAAATCTATAATTATTTATAGATATATTTTCACTTTTTTAATGGAAGGTTTGAGTTTGGATCGAGGTATTCTTTTAATTTTTAGTTTTTAAAGCTTTAAGTGGAGAGTGAAAAGAGGAACATTTTTATTATCTTTTAGATATTCGGCGAATTAATGAATTAATTGACAATTTAACTAAAACTGGTGATTTTCCTAATCTTTTACAACTTCAAAGAAATTTGCAGTCACCTTTTTTTAATTCAATTAGAAATGTTTATGAATATGTTTATCAACAAAATATTACAAATTTTGATGAGGAAGTACTAGCATCACCAGAGGTAGAAAAAAACAATAGATTAAAAAGAATTCAATTATTTTAAAGATTTTGGCAAGTGCTGCAGCGAAATCAACAATTGCTGTATTTTCTGCTGCAGAGGGTGCTGCACATCCACGTATAATTGAATTGCCAAAAACAGATCAAGGACTAGGATTTAATGTTATGGGGTAATTAAAATCTTTTAAATAATTATTTGTTTCTATATTTTAGAGGAAAAGAACAGAATTCTCCCATTTATGTATCTCATGTAATACCAGGTACAAAAATATTGAAGAAAATAAAAAATGTTCTTAGGTGGTGTAGCTGATTTACATGGAGGATTAAGACGTGGTGATCAATTAATTTCTATAAATGGAGTGGTACTATTTTTAATTTAAAAAATTTAATAATTTTAAAAATTTTTTATAACGTTGAACGAGAAAATCACGAAACGGCCGTTCATTTATTAAAAAATTCAAAAGGATCAGTAAAGCTTGCAATACGTTTTACCCCAAAATTATTGGATGAAATTGAGAGACGTTTTGAAGAACAACGTCGACGGGCAGAGCATCAACATTCCCCCTCATTTGGCCGATCTTTCCATTGATTATGAGATAATTTAAAAATATTTTTAATCCTTTTTTTCTAATTGAGTTCAACTTTACAAACTTTTCTTTAAAAAAGTAAAAAAATACAGGCAAATTTTATAGGCCTGATAATTGTATAAAAGGAAAAAAACTAAAAAGAGTGGCCCTAAAATTGAATTTATTTTAAAAGGAGTGTAGAGTAGTTAAGCACACAAATGCTAAAAGGGAAGGGTTGCGGTCCTTCTTATTTGGCAATTGCTAGCTTTTTTTTGACTTAAAAATTTATAATATTTGTAAGCCCATCGATTATTACTTTAATTTTTTTATTTTTATATTTATTATCTTTGGGGATGAAGATAGTTTAAAAATAAAACGTGTACATATACAGTGGTGGAAAAAAGTATGGAAGCAAGAGCTTAAAAAGTAAACTTCGTTAAATTCCTCGACGTACGAACCCTAAATCATTTTTTGTCTACTATAAATTTTAAAGTCCTATCGATTACCTCTAAAATGAGTATAAATAGAAACCACTTTTATCGAGTATTTATCTTTTTATAATTGGCTAAAGTAAACAATGTAAATTTTGCGCGGAAAAAAGTATGGAAGCAAAAAAATTTTACGTTCTAAAACAAGTCGAAAAAATTTTAAAAATTTTTTATAAACATTTCCATTGATATTGAATGGAATTATAGAAAAAAAGAAGTCTGTACTTGCTTTCTTCATCGAGATCTCAAATCTCAAAAATCACTGGGAAATCGGGGTACAGTACTTTAAAAATTATTTTAGCTCCCTGAGACTTGTATAAAAAATTTCTTTTAGACCTATCTGAAAGCCCTTAAAATCTGCTACAAAATATGGTTGGTTTCATATTTGTACAAAAATTTGTCTAGGAGATAAGGAGGGACGAAATACTTAAAACTTAAAATAAGCATTTTATAGGGTATTTTGAGTGATTTCGGCTCATAATGAAATGTTTCCCTCCTTATCTCCTAGACAAATTTTTGTACAAATATGAAACCAACCATATTTTGTAGCAGATTTTAAGGGCTTTCAGATAGGTCTAAAAGAAATTTTTTATACAAGTCTCAGGGAGCTAAAATAATTTTTAAAGTACTGTACCCCGATTTCCCAGTGATTTTTGAGATTTGAGATCTCGATGAAGAAAGCAAGTACAGACTTCTTTTTTTCTATAATTCCATTCAATATCAATGGAAATGTTTATAAAAAATTTTTAAAATTTTTTCGACTTGTTTTAGAACGTAAAATTTTTTTGCTTCCATACTTTTTTCCGCGCAAAATTTACATTGTTTACTTTAGCCAATTATAAAAAGATAAATACTCGATAAAAGTGGTTTCTATTTATACTCATTTTAGAGGTAATCGATAGGACTTTAAAATTTATAGTAGACAAAAAATGATTTAGGGTTCGTACGTCGAGGAATTTAACGAAGTTTACTTTTTAAGCTCTTGCTTCCATACTTTTTTCCACCACTGTAAATATTTTTGTTGCAACCACTTTTTGACAAACCATTGCCATCCCCATTTAAATTCACATTTCTATAGGAAAAAGCTGCTTTTTAAATGATATGCTTGTATTTTGACATGTCTTTTAGTCCCTTCTTTTAGTCATTCTTTCTCGTCATTTATAATATTTTAGCTGTTTTCTAAAATATGATAGATATTGACAATAATTTGCCATTGACAATTGATTCAGTCAACAATATTAGTGAAGATACTATTTTTGCTGAACACTTTCTGAATAGGCATAATGGACTTAGAAAATTGGTCAGGAAAATATTCTATCTTTAAAAAACGTCTTTATTTTGGGTTGAAACGAGTTGACATTCATTTCCTATTTTAGTATCTTTCCCATCTTTGACCCATATGTAGATTTTTAAATTACTTCCATCCTTCTATGTACATTACATACATATTTTGTTAGCATGGTGCTCCAGAACTAGTTCTCAGCTCCGAACTTATTACAATGGCCTGTAAATGGGCTAACAAATTGTCAGAAAAAGGACATGTTGCTTTTGCAGAAATAAGTGGTAAAAATAATTAAAATAATTGGGTAAAATTAAAAAAAGGGGTTGGCGAGAATATTACCGTCTTTCCTGAAGATATTAGTGCAAAAGAAATTGTTGATTATTGGTATGATGAAAATAGAAAATACGAATATGAAACACCTGGATGGCAAGCAGGTTGTGGAAAAAAATAGAAAGAACTAAATTTTCAATTAATTTAGGTGCTAATTATTTTACTCAAATTGTTTGGAAGTCAACGAAAGAAGTAATTTTTAAATACGTTTATTTAATGGAAAATAAATTAAAGATAGGAGTAAGCCGTGTCAAACTTCAATTATCACTTGTTGAAAATCAACAAAATACAAATAAAGATAATTCTGAAATTATAAAGAGAAATAAATCGGTAATTGTAGTTGCATTTTACAGGCCAGCTGGCAATTCTAACCGTAGTGGACAGTTTGCACTTAATGTTTCAAAGCCATTAATTGAGAATGGAACGAGGTGAAAATGAAAATTTTTAAAGGGACAATTCTGTTGAGTGAATTCGCGAAATATTTTTTTGTAAATATTTTAAAAATATTTTTAAATTTCTCAATGTTTTTTACTCGTCAAAATATTTTTATGAAAATAAATACAATTAAAAATGAATTTTTGGGCTGCTTTTATAGAAAAAATAAATTTAATTTTTAGAGAGAGAATAGTATATAGGGGAAACCAAATAATTATATCAAAAAAAGGTATTCGAAAATTTTTGATTTAAATGTGGTCTGAGGAAAAAAACCAAATAAATATAGAAAAATGTTTTTTACTAAAAAATAATATCATTGAAAGAGATTCTGAAATTTATTAAGAGAAATATCAAAAATTTCAAGGATTTTTTTAAAAAACCTAATTAACAAAAACAAAATTGTTTTAGAAATTCAGAATCAAATCAAAAAATAACTCGTCAACAAATAATTTAATGTCTCAGGAAAGAAGATTAAATAATAAAACAATTTAATAAGGGACGGCAGTCAAAGACCCCAAAAATAAATAGATTACTTTAAATAAATAAACCAAATAAAAATAGGTCAAATGAAAGAAGCACTTTTTCGCTTTTTATGTCCTCAAGAGTTTGCCTTCTTTTAAAGCTCAAATTTTGTCACTTTAGTCTTATAATGATGGAACAATTCAAGAAATGTTGCAGCCATATTCTCGAATGAAACCTAATTTTTATTCATTTTTAATTAAAAAAATTAAAAAAAACCTTTGTATATGTATAAATCAGTTTGGCAGCCCCAAGAGGATCACCAGCTGCCAAAGAACCGGAAAGGGCAGGCACAGCACTAGCAGGAATAAATCCACGTGAGTAGCATACCAAATGAGTGCCTTCCTTCAATTCATAGACATAACTCTCAAACTGTCCTTGCCGAAAGTTTTGACCTAAATTTTTGAAGAAATTTAGGCTCTTGTCCACAAAAATTTAAACAAACCAGAAGTGAATGTTTCCTTCACCAAATTGCTAAACGAATCCGAATGACGAATACACTCTCCTGTCAAAACAGTACACGTAGAATTGGCCCAATGAAGTCCAGAACGGCCAACAGTTGGGGATGCAGCAGCCATAAAGGTTAAACTAACAAAAAAAGTTTATACGTAAAAAAATTTGAATTACGCTTCAAATGGAGTAGCATAAATAAGCTGCAAACGAAGCTGAAGTCCGCCCATAGAAAGAGGATTCTAAAAAATAAAAAAAGAAATATGTTTAAAATTTTAATCAGTTACTAATGATAAAGGAACATCGTCTAGTGTGACCGAAAATTTCATATTGGTCAATAGAGAATCCCCGACTTTCTATTGAAAAGCAATGAACAAACCCAGCTCGAATCTCCGATCAGCGTATGTCCTTTGTATGTACGTTTGAGATCAGATTGGAATTTTGAGATTGCTGATAAAGCATTATTACCTAAAAAATAAATTTATTTTTTTAAATATTCCTAATAAAAACAAACTTGCAGCAGCCGCTGCAATTGTCTTAAAGTCCTTGGCTAGAATGTTGTAATTTTTCCAGCGAAGGTAGTAACCAATCTTTAATTAAAAAGTCATAAAATAAAAGATAAGTAGAGCTAACCAAATTAAAAGCCACAACAAGAAGAACAATATTACGAAAAAGTTTTGTAAATAAGAAAACCATAATAGCCTCTTTTTGGTTAAATAAAAGATAAGAAATTTGCCTTAATCTATAAATCAATAAAATTAAAAAATCTCCTCGTAGTAACCAAGGAGACAAAAAAATTAATTTTTTAAGGAAGTTAAAATACATAAAACTTTATTTCATTCAAATTTATCAGTCCTTAATTATCGGTCATGAAAAGACTTTAAAGATTATAATCAGCCAATCACAAAGAATGATACGCAATAATAAATATATGGGTAGGGGACGACTCAGAGTAGCCGATTCAGAGTATGGGGAAAAAGGGGACTTCAGAGTAAGAAGAAAAGTCAGCAAGACTCTTTTGTCTTTACATTTATTTTCAGTCTCAGCACAAACCTAAACCTTTAGGCTTGCTTGTCAATAGAGTCTCGGCGACTTAGCATCGAAACGCCTTTTTCTATGCCATAACTTTTTTTATTTCGATCATTTCCAGAAATTTTCTTTATCAATTAGAATCTAAATATTTGTTTTTATTCTTTTTATTAACTTTATGAAAGGATCCGATCATTTCTTAGAAAGTTACACCCGCCTAAGTATGTTAAATCACGATTATTCGCAGTTAACGGCTCCTAACTTTCTTGAAAGACGGTAAAACTAAACAATTTCTTGGAAAAAATAACCAGCACATCCAGAGCTTTTAATTAAAGTAAAAATTATTTGCATTGATTTAAAAACAAAAAAGTTATGGCCCAAAAACTTTCGTTTTGATGCCATATTTTAAGACTCTTTCGTTACCTGGTTACTTTTAGTCTAAACCTTTTGAAGCCTAAACCTTTAGGTTTTTGAACATTTGAGTCTCACCACGTCTTCAAATTTTTTTAAATTCTAGCTTTTTTAATCGTTTGTTCTTCTTAATTAGTGTATAAAGATGAACCAGAACTGATATTCTGGTAATAGAAATCCCATAAATTAAGAATCACATAGATAATTTTTGAATTTATTTGTGAATTCCTTGGAGAATTTCATCCCATCTCTAAATTTAATTTATTTTTTAATTTATTATTATTATGTATATCTTCGCCAACTAGATTGATTTGATCAGACCATCCTGCAAAAAGTGACATCGAGCTAAGTGGTCGCAATCGTCATTTTTTATATTTATTAGGCTGTAACTTTTTGTATGTTGATCAGATAAATCCTGTTAGCTGAAATGATCCTTATATCAAGAGCTTTTGAAAAAAATACACGGGGGATATTCTAAATGTTTCTATAGTTTGCGGTAGAAACATTGTCACCATTGACAAAACCTGCCAATTGAGACGGGGTTTTCTCTAAATCGGTTGCCAATTCCTCTAAATCGGTACGAGTGAGTGTTACATAGTACATTTTCTAAATTAAAAAATACACGGGTGATGTGTACATATTCTAAAAGCTTGGTTGCATGACACAGAACTTTCCCTCAATGGTAAATCAAGGTTAGTCTTACCTGCTGCTTAAATTTTTTTAAAAATTCAACATAAAAATTCAAATTATGTAAATATTTTTGGATAGATTGGAACTAAAAAAACTCTAATATGATTTACACATTTATAGATTCTAATAAAAATTACAAAATAAAAATTTTATTGAGAATATTAATAAGTATATACAGATTGGATAATATTTCTTTAATTTTTGATCATTCGGAGATAGCTTGCGGTAGAAACATTGTTGCCATCGACACAGGAACATTCAGTATATTAGAATGATTAGAAGGCATCTGAAATAAATTTAAAATATTTATTCTGGATGGAGACTTTGATATTTAAATTCTCTCACAATTGCCAATTGGTTAGAGAAAGATGCTTCTATCAAATGTTGTTGTTTTTGTTGTTGTTCATCAACCCCAATTACTCCCTCCCAAATATTTGGATTTTGTTGAATTTGATGTATTTCTACTGCATTATGAAATTGTTCACAAATTTGTTGTTGATGTTCTATTAAATTTATTGGGCCTGGAGAGCATACAGTTAGTGGGCCGACCCCACTAAGTCGAACACCTCGTAATGCTTGCTCCTATAGAAAATGGTTGGATTCAAATTAATTTTTTTAAATATTTTTTTATTAAAATTTAAAAGAAATTTTTATGGCTTGAATATTTTTTGCCAAAATTTACCGAACATACTTCAAACTCTAAAAGAGAAAAACAAACATTTTTGTTTAATCTTATATGTATTATAAAATTATGTTTTTTCCAAAAGGGATTAACAGGACAGTTTATATACATATTTATTAAAAGCAAACATCCGTTTTTTTAACTTTCATTAAAATATCCCGCAGAGAAGAGAGAGATCAAACTAAATGTTTGGCAAAAAATGTAAATAAAAAGCATGAAATAAAAAATATAGGTAATATTTAGGTGCCCATAAATCCTCCAAAAAATAAAACAAATAAATTTAACTGAAGAACTTTTAAAAATAAATATTTAAATTAATATTCTTTTTGTTTTATTCATGTTCTCAATACCTTTTAAATGTTTTTTACAATCCCAATTTAAAATATACTTGTAACACTAATATTCTCAATAAATATTTAGAATCTCCAATAATAAATGTCAAAAATAATTCCCGCAATAATTTTCACACGCAAACTTTCCAACGCCTGAATGCCCTTTTAGCCCATTAAAGTAAATTATAAAATTCAATCAAAAATAGACATTTAATGGATTTTTAATATTTTTTTATACCTAAAGAATTCAACTAGAAGAGAAAAAAGTAAAATAAAAAATTATTTTCGGGTCGTTTGTTGATTTACTCTACCTATTATTTATTTATTTACTTTTCACTAATTGGCAAGGACGTGGGAAGAAAATTAGCTTATAAGTAAATTACTTATTAGTGTTAACAACAACTTATTAAAATAACCAAGGTCAACTTAAAAATAAAAAAAATACCTATTTAAAAGATAAAAATTAGAAACAAAACATTTAAAAAAAGAAAATACTTTTAAAACAATTAAAAGTAACATTCTCTCTCGAGAAATATTTAGAAGAATATGTATTTTTAAGTTTCCAATTTATTGTTATTTATTAAAATAACAAAAAGAATTGAGTGTTTAGAGTCATGGAACTTGAAATAAAACAATAAAATAATTGTTTTCTCATTATTATTTACCAAAAAATTATGTATTTTCTCGTTTTCAATTAATATGTATTTTAAATAAATATTTTATATTTTACCCCTCCCTCCTTTTTTTATTTTATTTCGCTTTTCCCTTCCTTAATTCAACAAGATTGGAAGTACATTTATTTACCGTACACAAACCCTTAAATTAAAGACAAGTTCAGTGAGGCAAAGAAATTCACTCTTTCATGTTTTCGTTTTTTAAGTAAATTTAATTTTTAAAATATTTTTATATATTTTATTTAGAATTTTAATTATTTTGTTTCCTTTTAAATTATTATGTAGATATCCAAATTTAGATTAAGAAATCAAAATTATATTTAAAGTTTTTCCTCAAATAGTACTCCCCATTAGAGAAGGGTTGAGAAATAGTACTTCCGACAGTACTATTTGAAGAAATATTTTAACCTTCCAATTTCCATTTTATAAAATTCCAATTTTTTACTCTTCTAAGTTAGGAATATCATGAAAAATGTGAGAAAATAGTTAATTTTAAAATAAACTTGTAATGACAAAAATATATGTACATAAAATATATATTAAAGGGAAAGAAGGATTTTCACAATTTTTAAAAGAAATTATCCTTCAAAGCACTTAAATTAATGAATTAGTAATGGACACAAAAAGAGGAATGTAAAAGTGAAAGAAAGAAGGAAAGAAATACACTAAATGTGTCCAAAGGGAAAATATATAATAAATCCTTCAATTTTGAAATTTTGTTTGAAAAATAGAATTAAATTTAAAAAAATCTTGTTTTTTTAAATTCCCACTCAAAAAGGGAAAAGTTTTATGTAATAATTATTTTTTTAAACATTGACTTGAAAGAAAAACATCCAAAAAAGATTTTTTGTTTGTTTAAATAAAATGTACGAGAGTATTTTGCCCGATTGGGGGGGGGGGGGGGAGGAAGGGGTTCTTTTTGATGTTAAAAAATAAAATATATTTTGAATAAAATTTAAAAAAAAAGGAAGAGGAAATTTGCATAATCAAAAAAAATATTTTGTTTCTGTGGTCTTTGATTTAAAAAATAATTTTTGTGGATGTGAAAAAATAGTCAAAATTAAGTAAATTTATTTACTCTTTTAATTCCCGATTTTTTTAAGTATCTCAAATATATTTTTACTTCTTAAACTTTTTATCAATAAAAACATTCAAAAGTTAATCCTTCTTAATTTTCCCCCTTTTTACTGTATTTTTCTCTCCATATGCCTTTTATGCTTCAATGATTTACCCCTTCTCTCTCTTAATATTTATTTTTTTCTAAAAATTATTCCTTTCCTTTCCTGCCCATGTCCGGATATGGAAAACAAAAAAAAGTCATTGCCGCCTAATTTTTAAGCGCAAAATAGTAGAAAGAAATAGCGACTAATTAAGAGGTTTTTGTGTATTTATAGGTGTTGGAAATAAAGGAGAAAAAGAAGAAAATGATTATAATGATGAAGAGGAAGAAGAAGAACCTTCCTTCCCTTCCCTTTCTCTATTTCCCCCACCGCCCATTAATAATCAAATTATCGCGCTTGCGCGCATTTTCTTCATAAAAATGGCATAGCCCTGCATTTCTCTTGTTATTTTATTTAAAAATGGCCGGTCACCAAATGGTGAATTAAATCAAAGAAAAAATAATATTTAGCTAAAAATTGAGAAAAAATAACTGAAATTTGGAAAGGAATGGAAAAAATACCCAAATGTCTTTTCAGTATTTTATATTTATTTTGTAGCCCATCCAGTTATTTATTAAAGTGATTTTTGTAAAAGCATAATAATTTTGAAAATAAATTTAAGTGAATTGAATTACAATTTAACTCAGTTTAAATAAAATATTTTTGTTTCTCAAAAATTTAATTTTAATTTATTAAAAAACAGACCAACCTTCTCCATATTTTGTTGTTTTTCTCGATGTTCAATTAGTCTTCTAAATAAATTATACTATATTAATTAATATCCTCAATTAATTACTTTTTGTCTTTACATCTTTTATTTTGAAACCAAACTCGAATAACTCGAGCATTTAATCCCGTTTGTTCAACTAATTGTTCTTTAATTGATGTATCTGGTCTTTGATTTGTATTATAAGATTGTTTTAGTAATTTTAATTGTGATTCATTTAAAACTGTTCGAATTCTTTGTGTCTAAAAAATTAAAATTAATCAAATAAAATTTAAATTTCCTAACAGGTTTTTCTTTTTTTCCTCTTTTAATTGAATGTTTTTGTCTAACAGTTAAAGAGCCAGAACTACTCGAACAATTAGAAATTGTTCCTCTACTGCTATTTACACCAAATACAGCAGCTGCTGCAGCTATTGCTGATGATCCTTAAAAGAAAAATTTTTCTTTAAATTTTAATTAATTAAAACAACCAGAATTTGAAATTCCTGATTGATCAAAATTATTTAAATGAAGAAAAGAAGTTTGTGGTGGTTGCTGTCCATTTAAAAAATGTCCGTTATTTGCCATTGGTGTAGAAGCATTTGTTGATGAAGGGGTTATTGACTCTTCCGGATTTGAATAGGAAATTGGGGAATTACAGGAAGAAGTTGGGGATTGGGGGCGAATAAATGAAGTTATTGTTGTCTTTAAATTAAAAAAAATTATTTTTAAATTTAAAATTCCCTCCCCCCTCCTCTCTCCTTCTCCCCTCTATTATCCAATTAAAATATTTAAATATACATTTTGTTTAATTCCTTTATTTTCAAAATTCCCAAATAATTTATTATCATTATTATTATTAAATATATTATTTGTTGATTGTTGCTGTTGTGGAGGTATTTGAATTGAATTAATAAATTGTTGGGGAGGAGGAAATTGTTGAAATAACTTTTTTAAATTTAAATTTAAATTTTTAATAAATTTAATAAAACCTCTCCTTCTTTTTGTATAAAACATTCTGGTCTACAAAAAATTTCATTTTGCCTAAGAAGAAATGTTTCCCCAGTATTTAACTTTAATAATTTATTTTTTAAATAAAAATTAAAAAGAAAATTTTTAACTGGTTTTTGACAAACAATACAAGTAAAACAATTTATATGGAAAATTAATTGACGAGCCCTCATCACCATATCATTACGTTGACAAGGAATTCCACATCTTTGGCAATGTTGAATGAAAAGTCTTTTTAAAAAATTATTTTTGTATTTATTTATTTTTTAAAATTATATTATTTTTAATTTTTTTTCCAATTTTTTTTTAATTTTATCCAAAAAATATCCATTTTATTTTAAAGCCATATTAGGTTTCTGAAGGAGTATATATGCTTGTTTTATTTCCTTTCATTTTTTATTGCCAAACGAGTTAATGGGTTTAGCAAACAAAAAATTTATTTTTTCCCTTTCTTTAAGGAGAGAAGGATGATCGCCTTTTAACTAAAATAAATAAAAATAAAAATATTTTTGTGTGTGTGCCAACAAAAATATTATTTTTATTTAAAAAACATTTTTTTGTTTATATCCATCAATTCCAATATCCATCCAAAAATTTTCTATCCCCCCTCCCTTTTTTTCATCTAAATACTCACATGAAATCTAATCCGCTTTCATTTTTAGGCTCTAAAAATGCGCATGGAAAGGATAAAAAGGAAAAGAAGTGGGAAAATAGAGAAAATATTAGAGACGTGAAATTTAATTAAGTAAAGGAATTCTGTTTTGAATTTAAAAAATATTATTTAAATATAAACATAAATAAATATATTAAAGTTGTTATAAAAAGTTGTTGAAAATAACAAAATAAAAACTTTGTAAAAGAAATACTGTATTCTGAAGAAGAAAAAGGGATTAATAAAATTGTAGGGGGGTGTTTGTCGCTAAGTTTAATAGATGACGCGTGGATATAAAAAAAAGGTTTTTATTTTAAAAATAGATTTGAGTTTGATAAGAAAAAAATGAATAAATTATAATTAATAATTACGGTATTACTTAATGTGGAGAGTGAATTTTATTTTAAAGATTTTTTAATTTATTTTTTATCTATTATTAATTAAGAATAATTATTTTTTGACCTATTCAGATAAATTTTGAAAAAATTGTTAGTTATATAGGTAGATATTCAACAATAAACAATTGATATTTATATAAAAGTCATCTCTCCCTCTCTCGCTCTTAATAAAAGATTAACCAATCCAATCCCTCCTTTCTAATTTTTCGGCATTGAAAGAGGGGAGGGGGTGAATAAATTGCGCGGAAAGTTTTTCATTTTTTTCTGCTTCTATAAACAAATTATTTTTTCTTTTGTTTTTATTTTTCAATGTTTTTATTTGTTTTACTCTTTTTGTCGGTTAAAATAAATAAAAATAATTTTTGGCAGCCTCTATTTTTTAAGGTTTTCCCAATGATGAGAAAATGGCCTGCAAGCTACAAAACTATTTTGAGTTTATTTGAGGGTCAGTTTTCTCTTCCAAAATAATTTTCCCTCGAAGGGTTGAAGACATTTTTGGAGACTAATTCTCTCTTGTTATTACCTATACCTATATAATTACATAGGCTATTTTCACAATCCTTTGATTTTCGGATTTTGTTTTAAATTAAATTGTTTTTTTTATTTTTAGGACAAAAACATATCTAAATAGTATAATTTTCAATTAAGCCTAAAGGTATATGTAATTAAAATATGTAATTAAAATAGTTTCAAATGTACTTTTTTCAACAACTTTTATTATCAAAATATTAATTTTGAAATATATTAATTTAGTCTCTCTCCAATATTTAATTTTATATAAAATTCTTTTTATTCATTAAATAAAATTAACATTATGTGACGGATTCACTTCCCACAAAATTTACCTCAAAACAAAAAATTTTTCCTTTCCCTTCGCCCACAGCGACACTTTGTTAATGTATTTATTTGTAAAAAGAGTAAATTCTGTCAATCCAAATCAAGTCGTATTTGGGATGAAAAGAAAAAGTTTTTTTGGTGGGGAAGGGAAGGGGGAGGAGGAGGGGGGAGGGGAGGGCCAAGCAACCAACACTTTTTAGGGACAAATTTTAAGTTAAACAAATAAATATATATTAACAAACATTGAAAAAAAAATGTAGACGAAAATAAAAGAAAACAATTAAAAAAAAAACGAAGAAAATCGAAACGGGCCCGGAAAACAAGGAATTGTTTTCTCTAATGGAGAAAATTGCGGGAAGAATAATAGGAGGGGTAGAGGTGAGAAGGAGATGATGAATGAATGAAAATTAATGTTTTTATTTAAACGGAAGTAAATAAATAAACAAATTTTTAAACAAAAGAAGAAAATATGAGGGGCTAAAAGCCAAAACATAAAAATTTTATTGGATAAATAAAAAAAGCCTCAGGCGATTTTTGTAGACAATGAATGAAACGGATAAATTTTCTGGATTTTTGTAAATAATTTTATTTAAATTAATTTTTAAAATAAAAATACCGATTATAATCTTCTCGACAAAAAATTTTTCCATCACGTAAAAATGCAGAACCAGACCTTTCATCGAGAGGAATGCCACATTCTGAGCACTAAAATATTTTGAATAAAAGCTAAAATTTAAATTATTTACTTTTATACATCCAATATGAAATTCTAAATCTGGATGGAGACGAAGAATAAAAGGATCCAAAATTGCTAAAAAATTATTCAATTTTATCTGATAAAAAATATGTTTTTTACGTTGTCTACAATTAACACAAATTGGAAGGTTTAATTGTTGTTGCTGCTGATCTAGTATTGTTGACATATTGTTATTATTATTTATTTCTTCCCCAAATAACAGATTATTATTTTGTTGATCATAATTTAAATCTTCTAGTTTATCGAAAGGTTGAGAAGCTAGTTAAATTTTTAATTAAAATATTTACTTCACAAGATACTTTTAAAGGAGCGCAAATTTCCTCGGGGATCTATTTACTATTTTTTATATTCTAATGGAAGAAATTGGATTTTGTTTTTAGTTTTTTTTGTAAAATTAAAAGAAATAATTAAACTAAAAAATAGAAGAGAAACGAGAAAGAAACTAATTTTGTTTTTCCTGTCTTTTAAGCTTCTTCTAAAAATATTTTTGATGTGTTTTGGCTAATTATCCATTTTTGGCTTTTCGAGGTAGTTAAAAACGAGAAAAGAAAATTAAAAGGATTTTTTGCTTAAAAATTTTTTTAATTAAATTAAAATTAAAAAACCCATTAAATAATTGTATGTAAATTACAATTTGGATTAGTTAAAGAAGTTTGTTGATAGTTTGGAGAATAATTAGTGTTATTAGTTGTTAATAAATTATTTGAACTATTATTATTTAATGGACTATTTGACATTTTTTGTCATTTCTTTTTTTGAAATTAAAAAAATATTTAAAAATTAATTTGTTAAAAAAAGGTGAGAGATTTTAAAAAACATTTTTGATTAAAAATTAATATTTGGTTATATGGAAATCAACAGTAAAAGAGAGGGAGAGAAATATGAAACTGTAAAAGTCTTGAAGGGATTATTTTAAAGCTTAAAAAAGGTAAAGATTAACACGACAGGATTAACTGTAGAGAAAAGAAAATAATATTTTTTTAAATTATTATTTCGAAAAAAAGGAAAAATTAAACATAAAATTTAGTTATTTAAATTTAAATTGAAAAGAAAATAAAAATGTTTTTAAAAATTTTAAAAATTTAGTTTTTTTAAACTAGAATTACTATGATATTTATTTAAGTTAACACATAATTAATGCAATTGCAAGCTTCAACTTTTTAACAGAATTCATTCGTTATTTCATAGATAATATTAAATATAAATATTATTTAAAGTTTTTATTACAAACAAAATAACACAGTGGCTGTTTTAGATGATTACAACCCCTAAAGGTTTATAAAAATGTGAAATACATTATTACTATGTAATACTATTTTCCCTTTTCTCTTTTAATTCCCGCCCTATTTTTGTATTGGTTAATTCCTTCAACTTCTTTCTTTTGAGGAGAAATGTTGGGAAACGCCTCTTCCTATACATGCATCACCCCAAATGAGATGTCAAAATTTGAAAAAAAGAATTAAAGGGATAAATAATCTATGTGATAATCTACTCCAAAAATTAAAAATCCAAAAAAGTTTTTGCATTTTTAGATAGTAACTGATTTTTTTAGCCAGGGCCTGACCAGCTTTTTATTCTAGATGAATATGCGGATTGGGTATGACTTAAAAGTTTTAAGGTTATAAATGAGTACAAAAATACCTGCAGATATATCTTGATGAAGCTACTGAAATCCTTGTCCATGTGAAAATTTGAATTAGTTTTTCGCATAAAATAAAAAATAAAATTTTGATTAACCAATTTTTTGATAAAGTAAGCGTTAATTACTTTGTCAAAAGCCAGGATGTCTACCCTGCGACATCCTGGCACTTATTCATCCACTAGTCCAATGAAGGAGTATAGAAGGATTAATAGTAATTAAGAAGGGATTTAATAGATTAACATGACATCGGTGGATCTTGGGGGATTAGAGAGGTTGGTGTGCATTATTCTTCAGTGATATAGACGGATATCAGAGGAATTGGAGAGTTCTCTGGAGATATAAAGATCTATGATTTACTTCTCAATGACATTTCTTATCTACATGTCAATTCTTATGATCCGAACTCTGATAGATATATTATGTACGTAATGTCTATTGGAAATAAGTTTATTCCAATAAATTTGAGTATACAGAACATTGTTCCCCACATAAATTAGGTAAAAAAAGTATTAAATGTGTTATCAAAAGTTTCTATCATAAATAATTAAAATTAAACAAAAACAATTATTTATTTACAAATTGTTTAAATTTATTTGTTTGAATCTGCAAATAAAAACACAAAACAGTTAAAAAATTTTTTTGGTATTGAAAAGTTTTAATAAACAATTTTACTTAAATTAATTTTTATTTGTCACGAGCCAATTTTATTAAACATAATTAATATTTTTTACAAAGTTTTTGCCTGAAAAAAACAATAATAAAAAATAATAATTATTAATATATTATTAGCATATTTAAGTTTATATGTCATTACCGGAAAGCTTCTTGAATTAATTAATTTCCTAACAAATATTTTTTTCTGTTTTTTACAAGGAATTTTTAATTGCGCGCGTATTTATTTATTTACCATCTCTCTCCATAAATATATTCCTTTAGAAAATGCCATTCAACAAATCCATTAACCTTTAATTATTTAAATAAATAAAATAATAATTTATTTAATTTTAAATTTTATTTTAATTAAAAATAATTTTAATTATCGATTTTAATATAAAATTAATTTTAAAATCAATTTTAAATTAATAAAAACTCGTGGATTTTTTTAATTGTTTAAATTTCTCAATTATTTCCTCCCCTTCCTCTCGCTTATTGTCTCCCCCCTCCCTCTCAATTAATGCCCCCCTCCTCCTTTCAATTATTGCCTCTCCCCTCTAAATTATTGCCTCCCCCCTCCCCTCCCTCTAAATTATTGCCTCCCCTCCTCTACCTCTCCCTCCCCCTCTTTTAATTCATTAAAAGAATTTTATATAATTCTATATATTACCCGTTATTAAAATTTACTTTAAATAAATTTAATTTATTGAAAAAAATAAAAATATTTAAATTTAAATGTTTTTACAAAATTATTTTTCCTCACTTCGAGGAATATTTAAAATATTTTTATTATTATTTTGTTTTATTTGTTTGGTCAAAAAATTTAATTGTGTAAAAGAAACAATTAAAAATAATTTAACAAAAGATGATATTAATTATGGAATTAATCATTTTATATATCATTCTTCAATTGAATTTGCACTTTCTGTTGAAATTTCAAATGATTTTTTAGCCGAAAAATATTCAGAATTTAATTTTCTTAAAAAAAATGGAAAAAGAGAAACGTTTCAAAAATTTAAAACTTTGTCCAGTTTTAGCCGATATAAAAGAATGTAAATATCCAAATAAAAATTTAAAACAATTTAATGGAGGACCGAATGAATTAATTTATTCATTTGATAAAGTTTCTAAAATGTGGGCAAAATGGTCGGATTTGGAATTAAGTATTGAATTGTCTGAAACTCGACAGTTAAGTAGTTTTAAATACCTATATTTATAGTGTAATCTCGTTAATACCTTGTTTCGTTATTAATCTCGTTAATCTTGAAATACACTTTAAAAAATATATTTTTTAGGTTATTCTTCGTCGTTTTAAATTTCCAATTTCTCCACTGGCAAGTTTAATTCAAGTTTCTATTTTGCCTGATGAAAAATCAGTTGATCAATCAATTTTTGAGGGAATTGTTGAGGAAGTTAAAAACGAAGAAGTAAATATTAATTAATTTATTTTATTTTTAATTTAAATTTATAGCCAAATGAAGCAAGTGAATTTAAAGAAGTTAATTTCAATATCGCTTTAAATTTTAAAAAAATTGAACGTTTATATAAAAGTAACACAAAAAATATATCAAAAGAAGAATCTTTTAATCGAATTAATTTATTTTTGGATTTAAAATGGAAATATTTTTATTTAAAAGAAAAAAAATTAGAAAAAATGAAGGAGCATTTTAAAGAGTATTTAAATAAATATAAGTTGAGTACCGAAGAATATAATGAAATTGTTAAAGATTTTAAGTCGGATGATGATATATTAGATGAAGAAAAAGAAGATATTGAAATTGAACAAAATAGTTTGTTTTTATTAATTTATTAAAAAAGATCTTTTCACAGAATTTCTCGAACATTGGTTTAATGATAGAGAAACTGCAATTAAATTTATGTTTACAAATTGGGAAAGAATAAAAGAGCTGGAAAATGAAGATGCAGAAGACAAGTTTGAAATGGAAAGTGATCAAATTAAGAATTAAAAAGATTATATTTGAAAATACCTTTGATAATTTCATCAAAGGGTATATTGGTGGGAGTGGCAATTGTACAAAAAATATGTAAATATCAGATTCAGTTGGACCTCGTATATAACCTTATTTACGATTTTTTCAACCCCATTTTTCACCCCTCTTAATTCGATATATTTTTAAATTTGATTTGTCACAGGAGACCCCTTTTCTAAAATTTATCCCATATTTGCCTATTAAACCTTCAGTTATGTACATACAAATATTCCAATCTAGTAAGAAGTTTTATTAAAAATCTTATTATGTACATATATAATTTTTTCTCAAAGTTGATTATACTCCCTTCTCCTAAAAATTATTCCATATTTGACAAAATATTTATTACAACGAATTATGCATATATTTTTTTATAAACTTGATAAATTTGGAAATTTTTTATCTAAAATAAATTTTAATTTGCTTAATCTACCAAAAATCGACGACTTAATAGCCTCATTTTAGTACCTCCTATTAATTTAGTTTCTTAAAAAATTACAAATCAGCTTGAAAATATTAAATTTTAATTTAAAAATATTAAAGAATTAATTTTATCAATTTGTAAATGTCTGATAAATACGGAAATAATCAAATTTTCCAGTTTCAGTTGGATGTGAAAAATAAATATAAAAATAATTATTTTGATTATTACAAATTAAATATTTTTTGAAAAAATGTTCTTCCTCGTTAAAACCTTCTTCTGATTTAATTACTTTATTTAGTAAATTCGGTACAAGTAAATTATTAATTCTAGTAATTTCAATATCTTTTACAATCTCCAAGCAATTTGTTGAATTTAAAATTATCTGAAAAAAAATTAAAATATATTTAGTTGACAAAAGTTTTCTTCAGTTTTGTGACAGACAGACAGCAAGTATCCTTTATCGGTACACAAAATAGGGAATTTTAGGTAAATTATATGTATCAGTGATCTAACCGCCCCAATCGGTAATTCTAAAAAATTTTGGAATTACCTATTCACAAAATTGGAAGTTCATTTTTTATGGGCCACATCCCTAATATATATTATAAAATAGAGGACATCCCTTTGGCATCCATCTCCCACCAAAACCTCCAAATTAATGGGTTGTCAGATAAATAATGAGCACTTTGCGCATAAATCAAACAATTTACTCTAACTAGATAATGAAATGAAATCAAGAAACAATATAATGTCCATTATTATTCATCACTTCTTGCCACTTCCTGGACAATTTTTGAATTCCTAAAAATGCGCAAAAGGCTCATTATTTATCTGAGAACCCATTAAAAACAAACAATTTTTAATTAATTAATAATTACCTCAATAATTATATCAATTAAAGCCGAATGTGCATTATTAATATAATCATTACAAAAAGATATTTTATTTATTTTCTTCCCAAAATTTAAAATAAATTTAATAATATCTTCTTTAAAATTATTTCCAATACACAAATATAAACATTTTGTTACAATTAAATGTTTTGATATAAATTCAATAGCTTGTTTATTAAATTCAAAATCATTTTTGGCAATATGTAGACCACCAATTTTTGTATAAAAATTTAAAGAAGAATTATTTTCTTCAAAAATTAATTTTAACATTTTTGGATTAAAAATAGCAAAATAACAGTCACAATAATTAAATGAAGATTTAAATGAACAAAATGATAATTGTTTTAGCCAATAACGAATAAATACTAATTCAAATATTTTGTGAGGAAAATGTGGAAGAGTTAAACGAAGTCGTTGATTATATGGATCTCTTTCTTGAAATTTTAAATTAAAATTGAATTAAAAAATATATTTATACGTTTTTTAGTAATAACAATAACATATTCTGCTTTTATTGATCTTGTAAATATATCTGGTAAAAACATTGGAATACGTTCAGATAATGCTGTATTCCACTAAAAATTATAATTAAAAATTATTTTAATAATTCCCCTAGAAATATTTAAAAAAAATTTTTAATTTATTGGCTACACCTTTATTCGATTTATGACTAAATTGTTTTATAAAAATTCGTCCCTAATTAGAAATTTTACAAAAAAAAATATTTTAAATTTTAAATTCCGTATATTCCCAACTTTTTTCTTCAATTTTATTTTTATTTTGACATTCAATAAATTTAGAAGGTAATTTTCAACTTAGTTCCCCCTATTTTCCTTCAAAAATCTCATCGAACTGAATCAAATGATGTTAGTTTTAGAAAAGTCGGTTAAAGTTGCCCTATTATAAACTTTCAAAATCCATCCAAAAGTGATAGTTACCATTTAACTCAGCTTGTTGGCTACGGCAAGAAAAGTCTGACCATTATAGGCTTTTGAAGGGGGGGGGGAGGGAGAGAGGAAGAAAATTAAAATTACCGTCAAAATAATTTTACCTTCTTCGTTAATTTCTCGTCAGGTTCAAACCCCCAAAAAAACCCTCGTCCTAATTTAGATTCCATATCTTTATCTATATCCTTAGCTTTTTCCCACAAATTTCTATAATCATGTCCAACACGGTCCTTTAAAAATAATTAATTAATCAAAACATTCAAAACACAAACAAGTTCAAAACTATAAAATTCTTTAAGTGCCAATTCATTTTTATGTCGATCAATTAATTTAGAAAAGAATCGTTCTGTTAAGCATAAATTACATAATCCATTGTAGTCAACAAATTTAAATATATCCAACCAAGTTTCAGAAGGTAAATGAAACATTTAAATTAATAGAAATAGGTAATCTCTTCAAAAAAATTTTGAAATAAAAAAATCTATAAATTATTTTTGAACAAGGAAGGTACCATAATATACTTATAAATGTATTTTTATAGCAGGAAATACATAAATTAATTAATTAAAAATATGTAAATGTTTTTAATTATTAAAATATTCACTTTTATTATTAATTTTTTAGTTACACGTTATTTTTAGCTTATTTATTATTTAAAAAAGTAAAAAATAAAAGCTAAAAACAGGTTTATATATTCCTTTTTTATAAAAATGATATAAAATTATTTAAATTAAAATAATTAAAAAATTCTTTTTTTTTGGTTAAATTTGTCTAGCAATATACATATATTTGATTAATTTATCATTTCTCTTTTTTTCTATAAATGGTAACCTACTAAAATAATCAAAGAATAAAAATAATTACAATCTCCGATTTTTTAAAATAAATTTATTGAAGATAAAAATAGATATTTTTATTTAATAATATTGCGAAAATTAATTAAATAAAAATATTTAAAATATATATTGATTTAAATAAATAAATGTTTGTAAAGTAAATTGTTAATATTTTGCTTTATATTGGTCAGCAATGTGGTCAAAAGATGTGTATAATATTTGTGGGTGTGTTTGTGTATTTATGCCTCTACCAATTTTTATTAAATGAGTGTATTTTAAAAGAGAAAGAATGAGAAAAGGAGTAATTCATAAAATATTTTAATAAAATTTTTATTATTTTAACTAATTTTTAAATATTTATTTGAATAAAAGTAAGGAAATCTAAAAATGAATACTTATATAACAGGGATTCTTTCATTTCATCCTCCATTTGCCGTTTTTTAAAATACGACAGAATCTTTCCCTAATCTATTTCACAAATATTAATTTTAAAAAATCTTGAAGAAATTTATTATCTTTTTATTTTAAAAATTTATTTAGAGTTTTGAACTTAAAATTAACATTATATTTAAAAGTATTTTTTGGTACTTTATGGATATGTCACCCCCCCTCCTATTTTGAGTCTCAGAGTTTTCCTTATGTGTAGAAAATGGTCAGAGATTATTTTCTTCTCCATATCAATCATTTTTTTTCTTCAAGCAAAATAAGTGAAATGTGGAAACGAAATGAGTGAGAAGTATGTACAAAATTCAAAAATATACGTGAAAAGGCAAAATAAAAAAGCAAAATACTTGAAGAAGAAAAAAATGATTGACACGGAGAAGAAAATAATCTCTGACCATTTTCTACACATAAGAAAAACTCTGAGACTCAAAATAGGAGGGGGGGTGACATATCCATAAAGTACCTATTTTTTAAATATTTAAATTATTTTCTGTCTCTTTTTCAGTTTAATCAATTCCTCTCTACACATAAATAATTAAAATAGAAATAATTAACAAAATTGGATTTATCTAAAAAATAATTTTTAAAAGCAAAATTTAAATACCCTAAAACTTTTATCTACCCTGGGCTGGAGAGAGTAATTAATCGAGGGAGGGTAATGTGTTTTAGGGCATTTGATGGGAGGTAATTATTATTTCAATCTATCACTGGATGGGGTAATTAATAGAAGTGGGGCAATTATTTGAGAGAGGGTAATTAATACAGGTTTTACGGTATCTTTAAATAAAAAGTAATTACCATATAAACAGATTTTGTGCCATTCAACGGAAAACTCTGAAAATATTTGTAGCCTTGAACAATTTGTATACAATCTTCTTCTTCTGAATATGTTGTTACCCCGTTTGTCTGAAATTTAAATTTAATTTTTATATATAAAATTAATTTAAAAATACGGTAATAACACATTCCCCATTTCCATACCAATTACCAAATAAAAATATTAAAAATATTACAAAAAATAAATTAATTAATATTTTAATCATTTTAAAATTAAAAAGAAATATTTAAAATTTTTTTGTTAATAAATTTAAAATAATATAGAAAAGGGCTGCGCCAAATGAAACACAGTAATTTTTAAGGATTTTAGTTTTACATTTTTTCTCCCAAAAAGTGTTTGGAATTTTGAAATTTGCTCTAACTCGTATTTTGTAAACAGGTACGTGTACGACAAATATGAATTTTGGTAGGATTCCGAGTCGAATAAATTCGAAATAATGGTAATTTATTTTTATCAAAATATTAGTTTTTACTATAAATTTTCCTACAAAGAATTTTTAAATACCTAAATAAATACACAAAACTAATTAAAATATTTTTACTCTTTCTCAATTTTATATTTATTTTTCACAAAATTGGTAAAAGAACTTGAGCAAAGAATGAATCACCAGAAAACTTGTATTTATTTAAAAATTAAATTTATTATATTTAAAAGTAGTAGATGTTTTTTCTATTAATTTTTGAAGAAAAAATAAATTTATATAAAAAATAGTTAATTTATTTTCCTTTAAATTCTTTTTTTCAAGGAAAGTCCCCCCCTTCTCTCATTTTCTCCAAATTTGCCAATCTCTTTCTACGTCCTTCCTGTAAATTTAATAATTAACAAAAAAATAATCTCTACTTATCTAACCTTCCTTACAACAACAACCCCTCCATCTTGAGAACAATCTTCCCGTGCCAATCCCCCCATTTGGGTAAATTGGCATCCATTAAAATCTCTTTTAATTAATCGTTTAACACCTTCATCTCCTCCTCCTTCTCTCTTTTTTCTACTACAAATTTGGCTACAAGCTGAATTTTTGCACATTTGTACACAATCACTTTCCCCTTCTGGTAATATTAATAAAATAATTAAAATTATTGGAATTATTAATTTTGTTGACATTTTTTGGAGGAAAAGAGAAATTTAATTTTTAATTAAATTATAAAATATTAAATTGTTTAAATACTTAATTTTATTATAATAAATTAGTAAGTTTATTAAAGAAAATACAAAATAATTAATTAGTAATAAATATTGCGTAGAATTTACCAAATTACTTTTTAAAAAAATTAAAAAAAGATTAATTAATTTAATTAATTTATACATAATTAATTTCTAAGAAAAATTTTTTTTCAAATTAATTCAAGAATTTTATACTCAACAAAAACACCTTCCTTCCTTCAATTCTTCATTATTAAATAAAACATCCTGAGGGATTTCCTTTTGTGTGAATATACTATTCTTTTATTTATTTAGTTGTTGGGTAGGTTTCTTTCTCTCATTCTTTTTGATATTTTCATTATCTAAATGAAAATATTTTTTGCAGTTTTTTCATTAAAAATTATAAAATAAATGTTTTTTTATTTAAAAATCGAATACTTTTAAAGAATATTTTTTTATTCCTTTTTGTTTCAAAACTACAAATCTCTCGGGAGTATTTATGCTTTTTTACATTTTTGTAGTCTTGAAGAATCGATTATATTTTTAAATTATTAAAAAAAATTTTTTTGATTTTAATGTTTCGAATAAATTTTATTATTTTCGAAAAGCATTAAATTTATTAATATTTTTAGAAAAAGAAATTTAAAAATAAATACATTAAACATTTATCAAAATTTTTATTTCCTTTATTTAAATAATTTTTTTGAATTTAAATAATTTAAAAAAGGATGTTGGAATATTCTATCAATTTTTTAAAATTTATTTTTTTTCTTTAAAATTTACAAATTAAAAATGTGTTTTCCTCTATTTTCTCATAAACAACATACTAATTTATCTTATTCATTTTCTCATATTTATATAAAAATATACCACACACGTAAATAAGTAAATTTTTTATCAAGGAAGAAATGTTTTTAAATAAATAATTTAAAATTTTAATTAAATAACCCCCCCCCCCCTCCCCCCCTTCCCCCCCTTCCCCCAACCTCTACAAAATTATTAAAAAAAATATTTTATTTTATTAAACGTTTATTTGTTATTTTTTTATTTAAAGAACGCTAACAACTTAAAAAAAAAGAGAAATACTTTAATAAATAATTTCTCTTTAAATAAAGTGTTTGTGTGTAAAAATGCTTTCAAGTGCTTGATAAAAAGAAGACAGTCGTCACCTAAACATCTCTCTGAGAATGTCGGCGGTCATCGGAAATTCCATTTACCAAATGCCGCGACGCAAAATCTGCCGTAGAATCGGCTTTTATTTTTTTAAATCAATTTCTAAAATCCTTAACAAAAATAAATCCTTTTATATTCTTTCTTTCTTTTTTTGTCCAAAAAATTCAATAAAAAGGTTTATTTTATTTTAACAAATATTCTAAAAAATATTTATTTTTATTTTCCAATTTTATCTCTTAAATGATAATTATAGTCAGTCAGATTATTTAAAAAAAAATAAAAATTAATTTTTTTCAAATCCATTTTGATATTTTCTAGCAAAACTTTTAAAAATACTTTTGATAACTTTGCCATTAAATTTAAAAGAAAATATGTATATATTTATTTACTTACGCACGCAAATTTTGTCTTTCAAGCTTTATATAATTAAATATTATATAAATGCTATATTTATTTGTTGAATTATTTAAAATAATTTAAAAAAATAATTAATACCTTTGAGAATAAAAGTAAAATAAAAATGCGTATTTATTGACAGTCAGTAGAATTTTTATTTAAAAAATTATTTTTCTTTCTTTTTTATACAAAAATATTAATATTTATTTTCAATTAAAAAATGTTTTCTCTTCTTTCAATGACACTACGTACATTAACACATATTCATATGTTAGCTCTAGCAGTAGACGACTCCTCAGGTGTTTTTAGTGGACAACCAATTGAAAATGTTCGTCAACTTAGAATTCCTGGTGATTTAATTATTGGGGGCGTTTTCCCCGTTCATGCTAAAGGAAGCGGTGGAATATCCCCTTGTGGAGAGATTTTTGAAACGAGAGGTGTTCATCGAGTAGAAGCATTTCTTTATGCTTTGGATATGATAAATGCTCAAACAGAATTTCTGAGAGGATATAAATTGGTTTAAAAAATATATCTTTTAAAATGATTACAATTATTTTTTAGGGAGCTTTAATTTTAGATTCTTGTTCTAATCCGGCTTATGCTTTAAATCAGTCTCTGTAAAAATAAAAAAATAATTTTTTAAATAAAATTATTTTTTTAGAGATTTTGTGAGAGAAATGATTGGAGGTAATTCTGGAATGTCAGAATATACTTGCAGTGATGGTAGACAACCAAAATTATTACGAAATTCAAGCCCTAAAAAGAGTGTTGTTGCTGTAGTTGGTGCTAGTTATTCTTCTGTAACTGTTCAAGTAAATAAAAAAGGAATAAATAAATAATATTTTTATTAATTTAGATAGCTAATTTACTTAGACTTTTTCGAATTGTTCAAGTTAGTCCCGGCAAGTTATTTTTTTTAAATTAATTGAAATAATTTAAATATTGTTTTAAAATTAAGTAATTTATTTTGCAGCAAGCACAAACGCCGATTTGAGTGATAAAAATCGTTTTGAATATTTTGCCCGGTAATTTTTTATTTTAAGAATTTTAAATTACAAAACAAATTAAGCTTATAATTTACTTTTTCGTTATATAATTTTTGATATCCAATTAAAAAAACAAATTTTATATTGACTTTTAATATTTTCAAAACAATTTTGTTTTAGAACAGTACCTAGCGATAATTACCAAGCCCGGGCAATGATTGATATTGCCGTTCATTTTAATTGGACTTACGTTTCTTTGGTTTTTAATTATTTTTTTCTTAAAAATTTATTCAAAAAAAGGTATATTCTGCTGATGAATATGGGGAATTGGGTGCAGATGCTTTTAAAAAAGAAGCTAGACGTGCCAAAATTTGTATTGCTATAGAGGAAAGGGTTTCTATGAAGCCTGAATCTTTAAGGGATTCTATTGATAATTTAGCTAAAAAGTAAAAATATAATTTAAAAAAATAAATATTAAATCTTTTAAAAAGACTTCAACAAGATAAACAAGTTGGGGCTAGAGTTGTTGCTTTGTTTGTTGGAACTGAATATGTTCCTGATTTGTTACAAAAAGTTTTTTTTGTTTATTTTTAAATTTAAATTTATTTTTTAAAGGCAAGTGAAAGATTAGGTGGAGATTATAAAAGAAAAAGAATTATTTGGTTAGCAAGTGAAGGTTGGGATAGAAATAATGAACATGTAAAGAATAAAAATAAAATAAAAATATTTAATTATTTTAAGTACACATTAGGAAGTAGAAAATTGGCAGCTGAAGGGGCAATTGTTTTAATGCTTGAATCACAAAGAGTGCCGACATTTGAAGAAGTTTAAATTAATTAATTTAAATTAAAAATAATTTAAATTACTAATTTAGTATTATCTTTCACTACATCCAGGAAATGAAAATTTTGAAAGAAATAAATGGTTAAGGTATTGGGGGAAAGAAAAGATTAGTTTTGAGAAAAAAAAATAATTTTTATTTTAGAGAATTATGGAGACATAAATTTAATTGTGAATTCGATTTGCCTCAAGAATCTAAATTAAATAGGCAATTTAATTATTTTATTTTTTCTTTAAAATTAAATTTATTTAAAGATGTGAAGCACAACGGCAATCAGCAGACAATTTTAGTGCTGATGACAAAGTTCAATTTGTAATAGAGGCTGTTTGTAAGTAGTTTTTCCCAAAAAAATTTGTATATTTTAATTAAAGATGCAATTGCTCATGCATTACAATCAATGAAAGAAAAAGTATGTCCGGATGATTCAATTGAAAGTAGCTGGATTTCACGTTATGCTAGACTTCCACAAGTCTTTAATAAATTATAAATATATTTAAAATATACCTAGGTTTGTCCAGCAATGAGGCATATTGACGGAGAAAATTTTTATAAACATTTATTGAATGTTAAATTTGAAGGTATTTTGAAGGCGATTTAAATATTTAATTATGTATTTTACTAGATTTGGTTGGAAAAAGAGTTCATTTTAGCCCTCAGGCAATCTATTTTTAAATTAATTATTTTTAAAATAATTTTTAGGGTGACGGCCCCGCCCACTACACAATTTTAAATTATCAACCATCTAGAAGACGTTTATTACAATCAACAAATTCTGATACTTCTGACCGATCAGATTATGTTGTTGTAGGTCGTTGGTCAGAAGAAGCATTAGAAATAGATGAAAGTCTTCTCTTTTGGAATTTAAATAATAATGAAGAAGAAGGAAATCAACAAAATTTTAATAATAAAATAAAAACTATTAAATTACCGCCCCTTTCTGTTTGTTCACTTCCTTGCCCTTTGGGTTATAAAAAACAATTAATTAAAGAAGTAAAATTATTTGAAAATTATTTTAAAAAACAATCTTTTTAAAAGGATGAACTTTGTTGTTGGGCTTGTGGAAAATGTGAAGATTACGAGTATTTAATTAATGAGACTGCTTGTGCAGATTGTGGACAAGGAAATTGGCCAAATAAAGACAGAACTAGTTGTTTTTCTTTGGTTGATAAACATTTAAAACATATGCGTTGGAATACTTGGTAAATAAATAAAGAAATATTTTTTTTAATTTATTTTTATTTTTGTAGGTATTCAATTGTTCCAACAGCATTGGCTGTAATTGGAATTTTATCAACTCTTTTAGTTTTGCTTATATACACAATGTTTGAATTTATATTTAAATACAGGCAGACTTCGATTTTAAATACCCCCTTGTTTCTGAATAAATTGTGTTTAAAATGGAGGGGCTTTTAAAATTGGGAATGATTAAAGGTCAACTATTTAAATATTTTCTCTAGTTATGCTGATACTCCCGTAGTTAAAGCATCTGGAAGAGAACTTAGCCATGTTTTGCTTTGTTCATGTCTTGTTTGTTATATTATAACATTTGTTTTGCTTTCAAAACCAGATACTCTTGTTTGTACAATTAGAAGAATTGGTATTGGCCTTGCATTTTCTTGCCTTTATTCAGCACTTCTTGTTAAAACTAATAGAATTTATAGAATATTTTCACAAGTTATTAAAATTATTCTTTTAAATTAATAAAAAGCTCTCTTTTTGTTAAGGCAACTCGAAGTAGACGTCCACCACCAATGATTTCCCCAATCTCTCAATTAGCATTAACTGCTGCTTTTGTAGGTTCTAAACAAATTTTTACACTAGTTTGGCTTCTTATTCAACCACCCGGTATTTGAACGAAAATATGTTCCTCCTATCAAAAATATTTTTAGGTACTCAACATATATACCCAACACGTGCAGAAGTTGTTTTGGCTTGTAATGTGCCTGATCATCATTTTCTTTATTCGTTAGCCTATGAAGCTATATTACTCATTTTATGTACTGTATATGCAATAAAAACTCGCAAAGTACCAGAGAATTTTAACGAGACAAGATATATTGGATTTTCAATGTAAATTCAAAATTAAAAATAATTAAAATATAAGACAGATTTGAATTATTATTTTATCTAACACACATTTTATATTATCCAATTTTGAAACATGTAATTAAACAGGTACACAACTTGTGTGCTTTGGTGTTGCCTTATATTATTTTTTATTGGAACAAGTAGCGACTTTCAGGTAATTTACATATCCAAAATTTATATCCATGTTGCTAGATTCAAACAACTGCATTTTGTATATCAATTAGTATGAGCGCAAATGTTGCTCTCGTTTGTATATTTTCACCAAAGATATACATTATACTTTTTGAAAAACACAAAAATGTACGTAAAGAAGCTGCTGGCAGTATTATGCAAAGAAAACAGGAAACATCTGTCGGAAGGTAAATTTGACAAATATTTAGTAGAAATTATAATGTTTTAGTTATTATGCTATTAATGCCAACAATGACACGGGAGGAGGAGGTGAAGTCAATAAAAACTTTGTCTCGGAAAGATTTTCTTCACCATCGCCAACTATCCATACTGGTCTTCTTGCCTGTCACCGAAAAAGCAGTTCTAGCTGTTACAGATATATGAGCGGATCACCAAGGCAAACATCTATAGCCGGGTTAAGTAATGCTTCAAGTACTGCTCATGATACTTTTCTATAGGGACAAATACTCATCAAGTTTTGATCTCACACAATTAAAAATTTTGAATTTCTTATCTTTTTTTTTGGCTCATAATAATTTCGATGTATAGGCTCACAAAGAAAAATGCGCGGAATAGCATATTAAAAAATTTCAAACTGGAGAAAAAAGTCTAACATTAATAATTAGCCCTATAAGGAAAGAAAAGGAAGTAAAAAATTCAAAATTATCATCTGCCTGCTTATATACATATAGGTATAACCTATAATTATTATTATTTGGTGTGATGAAATAATTATAAATATTTTTCAGATTATAGCAAAACTTTTAAAAAAGATTTTACTCACATAGGAAAAATTATGAAATACAAAAATAAAGAAAACAAGTGTTTTTATCACCTGACTTTTTCATTCATAGAATCACCTTTCTATTATAAAAGGATGCTTCAAAGCATCTGAGCACGTAATTCGCTTTCCTGGGTCCAATGTTGTCATTTGCTCAAGTAAAGATCGGAAGTGTTCTACACGAGTATATCCATCTTTATCCAATTCTTGGTCACCAGCCAATTCTGCAAATAAATTTCTTTGCATTTTTATATTTGCGAGAACAGTGACTTTATCCTTTAAAAGAAAAGTAAATTTATTTGAAGATGTAGAAAGTTAAGGGTGGAAAAAGTGAATGAGATATTAACAAATATAAAGTAAATAAACATTCCCCTTATAAAATAAAAATTAACAACAAGCCAGTTCAGATAAAATTACAAAAGAAAAACCTATGCAACGACTATCCGAGGGATATTGTCAAGCATCTAAAATTCGAATTTACTTAAATAAATAATCAAATTTACTTACAACATAAATTTTTAAATTGTTCCACCCCGAAAATTAAACAGTACCTTTCCAGTAACTTTATCTGTCTCGTGATAAATAAAGTTGCAGTTGTTATCAAAATGTTGGTCCTTAAACAATGCCTTCCGTATCACCTTGTTAGGGTATTTTCCACGAAGGTCCATCATAAATTTAAGCATTTGGTTGTTTGACTTCCCGGGGAACATAATCTTTCCTGTATAAACCTCATAAAGAGTAACTGCAAGCGACCATAAATCAATTCCAAAATCATATTGCAGTCCAAGCACTAAAAATTAGATTTTAACAAAAAATAATTTTAATTAAAAACTTACTAATCTCCGGTGCTCGATAAAAACGTGAAACTAAGTAGGGAGCAGGCTCAACGTCACCAACATGACAAGCTGAACCAAAATCGCATAATTTAAGATGCATTTTTGTCTCGTCAACCTAAAGAAAAAAACTAATTTTATAGCATAACAAATTCATGCGAAGGGTCGTACGATCAACTCTCAAAGATGATTGGCTTTTTGCAGCTTGATCAATCATTCAAAGAAAAAGTCGATTGAGAAAAGGTTGTCAATGAGACCCAAACCAGATAAAACATCTAATTGAATGATGTGAATTGTGAATTAGTGCAATTGGCCAATAGTATATATATGAGTGGAAAAGGAAATTATTTATGAATGATTTATAGAAAGGGAAAGGACCTTATTGAGGAGTATTCGAAGACCTAATTAATCAAATAAGCATGTCAACCTATTACTACAGGTAAATTTTTAAAAATTATTCAGTCCACGAATCGGAAAACTAAACTAACATAAGCTATAATTTTCGAATACTCTCCAATATCGCATGTCTAAAGATGCCAGATTAAAGCATTTATAAATCTATTTACATATTTTCTAAATATTAACACAAATTACTGTTATAAATTTACTGGCACCCTTAACAAAACACGAACTATAAATTTCCCTAAGATATTGCTTACCAAAATGTTATCTGGTTTAATGTCTGCGTGAAGAATGTTGCAACGTTTTAACAATTTTAGAGCCAAAAGCAATTGTTGAGCATAAGAGCGTACAGCTTTCATATGAAGACCGACATTATTTCCATATTTCTTTAATAATTCCCGCAAATTCATACTGAAAATGAGAAGTTTAAAAAAGTACTAACATAAATTTAAAACAACCTTAAATTTTCAAAAACCAGACAGAGGTGATTTCGATGATAAAATTGCCTGAAAAGTTGCAAAATGTGATATTTATCGAGACGATCTGCCTCGTTAAGTTTTTTCAATACTTCCAATTCACGAACGCCTGTCTTCCTCCTAAAGATTAAAAAAGCTAACAAAAATTAAAATTACTAAAATAATTTACATTAGGTCATTGTTTCTAATAATTTTGATAGCCAGTTTGGAAGCAGTTCTATTCATATCTGTCGCACGAACAACATTTCCAAATACTCCAGATCCTGTGTAGCCATAAACACGATAGCGACCATCTAATTGTTCTCCGATTCTGACTCCTATAAGTGTAAAAAACTTTGTGTACAAAAGAAATATGATTAAAATATAACTACTCAAATTATAAGACAAAAAATAAACAAACGGTAATATCCTTCAGTATCGTCCCAATTGTCTTTTAATGCAGCTGTTGTTAAATCATTCGTTTCGATTGTTGCAGCTTTAGAGAGCAGCTGAAAAAAAATAAAATTTAACAAATTTAAGCAATCTTGTTTTTAAAAACCTCAACTGGTGCCTCATCAGCGAACATGTCAAAGTGAAGTGATTCAATCTTTGTATTATCCGGTTTTGTTGTCTTTTCCCGTTCAGATTCTAAACGTTCGATATCTTCATCTAAAATCTTTTCCCCTAAAATTCTGTCCATTTTAGACTTTTCTTCTTGAATCGATTGTTCTGTTTGTTTACGTATACGTTCGGCCTAAATTTAATAAATTTAGAATTAGAAATTTTAAATAATCAAACCTCATCTCTATTACGAATATGTGATATTTTTGCACATTGCTCTCCAAAGAAATCTACCAAATCATCCGATGCTTGAGAAAGTTGAGGAGAAGAAATTGGAGAAGCTTCCACATCCGTTATTTTCGTTCCACTTTCTTTAAGAACATCAATAGCTTCGCGTAAAAGTCTATCGACTTTGGATTCCTTTTGTTCATTCTCAAGTTCAGCTTCTTCTCTTGCAATTTCTTGACTTTCGTCACCATCAGAACTCGAAGCGCTCTCAATATCTTTATTTTGCGAGTTGTTTTCCTCCACAACAACATCAGGAGGATTTGGGGTTTCACTAAAATAAAATCATATAATATAAAAAATAAACAAAATTTGTGCTGTTAATGTTAAAAAAACTAACAATAAGTCATTAAACTTCATTAAATAATTAGGATTTTTACTAGAGTGGAGCAAAATTTCGAGAATATAAAAGCCATAAAGCTAGATTTAGTCCTTTTTAATGTTACAGTCAATTTTCAGAGTAATTGAAAATCCCGTAAATTGAGAAAAGAATTTCCGGGATCCCGTAACGAGGTTGAGTTTCAAAAGACGGGATTAATCCCGCGAGATTAATCCCTAAATTCCATTCTCCGCTTAAAACCCGTGATTCCGGGAAGCAGGCCCGTAGCCAGGATTTTTTTTCGGGGGGGGGGGGGGAGGCCAAGGGGGGAAATTTTTTCTGCGCCAAATTTTTGGCGCCGAAGGCGCCAAAAATTTTTATTTTCAGCGCCGCAGGCGTAAATTTTGAGAATTTAGAAGGCCGTAGGCCAAAAAATTCACTTTTTCGGCGCCGCAGGCGCCAAAAATTTTATTTTCAGCGCCGCAGGCGAAAATTTTTTGAATTTTGGACCTCAAGAAGCCAGATTTCTTCCTTTTTTAGCGCCGCAGGCGAAAATTTTTTAAATTTCAGAGGCCGTAGGCCAAAAAAATTCACTTTTTTTGCCCCAGCCCTTCCCCAAATTTTTTCCTTTTTCCCATTTCGGGGGGGGGGGGGGGGGGGAATTCCCCCCCCCCCTCACCCCCCTGGCTACGGGCCTGCCGGGAAGGAATTCCGTAAAATCCCACACGTGATAATCCTTAAGATTATATTCAAAAGACGAAAATTTATATTACCTGTGCATAGGTTCACCGTCAATCATTCCTTTCTCATTTCTAATTTTTTCCAAAAGCTCAGAACGTTGTTTTCTTCTTTTCTCAATTAATTGCTTCTCGTCATCAGAATCTAAATCAGTTTCGTCTGCGGTATCTTTTCTTTTTGACTTCTTTGCTTTAGGTTCTTTGCCATTTCTTAAAATAAATTAATTAAAAATAATCTTTAAAAGATAAAAATACTTTTCGCGTTTATGTTTCTTCTTCTTCTTCTCCTTCTTTTCTTTGTGCTTCTTATAACTTTTATCATATTCATCATCAACATTCTTTAAATTCTCTAATTCCGAACGAAGTCTATCATCATTTTTATCACGTGTTGATCTTCTATCTCTCATCAAATCTGAAGATCTTTCCAAAGCATCCTTTGATCTTTTGCTGCTGTTGATGATAGCTTCTTGTATTCGATCCCGTCTTAATCGCTCTCTGCTAAATCCTTCATCTCTTCTATAAGACATTTCTCTTCGCCTTTTATCATAAGATCTAGATCTTGATCGACGTCTCACAGATGAACGACCATGCTGATTACGAGAAGTTGGGGAACGTGATCGAGAACGAGCCATTAAAATTTATTAAAATATCTAAAATAAAAAAAAGTAAAAATGTAAAAACAAAAAGTAAAATTACAATGAATAAAAATACGATCTGATATGTACAGAAATGTTGAAGAAACGCAAGTAGGAAGTCTTAAAAACGAACAAGTTTCAGACAATCTAAAATTGAAAATTTATTGATCTTTAGAGTTTTTAAAAAACATTGGGATTAAATTTCGTAAACCAACAAAAATAGATAGAATGCCAAGATAGTGGAAATTTAGTTGGAGATTTAGTGGATAGTAATCTTGAAGAATCGCAAGCAGGGGAGGAGGTTAGGTTTTGCTTAAAGGTCGGTTTGTTTCGTTTTTTGAAATATGTTTTTGATTAATGTTCCATACCTTTTCTTATTCTATCAGTCAAACGTTTTTAGAATTTAGCTGGATATTTCAAATAAATTTCAAATGATTCCCTTCAACAACTGTATTGAAAAATTGACTGAATTTTTTGACGGAAAAAATGAAAAAATTAGTTCTTTTTTATTGCATGAATCGCCAAAACGTCGAAGATTGTTTGCTATTTTTGAGAATTTTATTCAATTGGAGTGGCATCAAAATAAATTTACTTGGTTAAAACATCCATTAATTTGCAGAATTTCCTCAGAAATTTTCAATTTTGCTGGAGAAATTCAATTTACAAATGGTTTATTTAAAAATCAACTTTTTATTTAGTTAAAACAATACAAAAATATTTTTCTTAATTCTGATTTCTTTTTTTTATTATTTTAGAAAAAGTTTGGTTTGCCGGTTCTTCAAATGTTCAAATATTTAATCTTGCTCCAAATTTATCAATTCATTCATCATTTGATAGTCCAAAATCTGTTGAAAATACTCGGTCAAATTCAATTATTTATTTTTCTATTGGAATTATTTTAATTGGATTGGCAGAAGAAGAAATTATTTTTTGTTTGAATTTTTCTTAAAAATTTTCCGAATTTTCTATAAATTTAAGCTAATATTTCTAAAGAACAAATTAATATATTCTTTAACCGATTGGAGTTATTATTTTCGTCATCACCCAGTATTTTTGTTTATTTTTTGATGGAAAACGATGAACGTTGTTTACTTACATTTATAGCAATAATGAAGGTAAATATTCAAATAAATTTAAAATTATTGATTTTTTAAAGTTACATTCATCAGAACAAAACAAAATATTACTTCCAAAAATGTTAGATCCAGAATTGATTTTTATTGTTTTATTGAAGAAAATTAATTTTGATTCTTTGGTTAGAAATAATTGAAAATTATATTTAAAATATTTTAGGTTATTATTGACTGGGCATATTCTGAACCTGAACTTTGTTTTCTTTTATTGAAATCATTTACTCAATATTTTTCAAAATTTAATTTTCAACAATTTGAAATTACCTTTCAAAGGTTCTAAAATTTATTTGAAATATATACGAATATTACTGACAAGGGAACATATGTTACTGTGAGTACAAATTTAATAAATTTTCTGGTACCATTCGATAGAGGACCCTCGATTTACTATTGTTTTGTGCGGGTTTTCTTGCAAAATTAGTTTGGGCCGAGTTATGGCCGTTCAAAGTTAGACCGCTAGAGTCAGGAGTTATAGGGTAAGAAAACAATTTCTCTCTTATTTTTCATACTCAAAAAACGGACACACCCATCTTCTCTTTATTTAGTGTCTAACATTTTTCCTCCCTTTTTTTTCCTTCGCGTCTCTTGCGTTCTCTCTCATTGTTGTAAATCAATATAAAGAAAGAAGAGAGAGTGAAAAAAGGACATAGTTCGCTCATTTTCTCTCTTCTCTCTTATTTTTCATCCTCAAAGAACAAGCCACGCCCCTTCTCTTTGATTATTGTGTCTGACATTTTCTCCCTTCTTTTTTCCTCGCTACTCTTGCATTCTTTTTTCCTCTTTATAAAATAATGTGAAGAACGCAGAGAAGTGAAAAAAAAGTTATAGCGCGCTTATTTTCCCTCTTGCTTATACTCAATCAATCCCAAGGACTGAAACTTTGAACGGCCATAACTCGGCCCAAACTAATTTTGCAAGAAAACCCGCAAACTACAAGAGTAAATCGAGGGTCCTCTTTCGCATGGTACCAAAAAATTTATCAAATTCGTACTCACAGTAACATATGTTCCCTTGTGAAAAGATTGTACATCATGCCTCCATTGCATACTTCTATATAAGTCCGTAACCAGGAAAAACGGGTGTGGAATCATTTTCGACGCCGAAAATAGGTCCCTGGCTATTTTTTTGGCTATGAGGCTGCTTCTGGTACATACGTTTCTTCAATTAACTCTTAATCTTTTCCGGATAAACCGAATTTTTAACGTTCTCTATTTTCTATCGACGCTGGATAAGCCGAGAAAAAATAGAAAATTGGAGGGAAATTTTTTTATTAATGCCAAAATATACCTAAATATATATTTTTAGATTGAAAGATCACTATTTACAACAGTCATCAAATCTTTTACTTCATCGTATTCAAGAATCTCCCTCCTCTTATTTAAATAACAATTTAACTAATTTCAAGTTTGATATTGAAGAATTGCATGGGGAAAAATTAATTTCTAAACAAATTATTATTTCTACTCAACCAAAAGTTTGCATTTTAATTATTAAAAACTATTTCGGTTTTCTTTGTCCCGGGTAGATTTATTGGAATAAATCTTGTTTATTTAAAAATTATTTTTTTCATTTTCTAGTATTCTATTTTGGAGAAATCAGAAGATGACTTTGAATTACAATATAATTTTGAGACATTCCAAAATTCTTTCCTTTCGTTTTGTGAAGAATTAATAATTAAATTAGAACAGTTGGGGAGAGCGTTAAATTTCCCATCAGAAAAAATTTGTCAAAATTTGTTTTCAATTAAATCAATCATTTTAAATGAAAATGAATAAAAAAAGAAGAATTAATTTATTAAAAATTATATTAATTAAAATATAATATTTTAAAGAATACCAAACAATATTTTATTTAATCCCTAAAATTTTATTCTTATCAAATATATTTTTATTTGGTTTAACCATCAAGCACAATTTTTGTACAAATAATTATAGTAATATACATACTATTTGCTCTTTACATGGTCACCTCATTCTTTTTTATTTCTCGTTATCAATTATTTATTTGAAGAAAATATTTTTATAATCAATATTTCTTTTAATTGAATATTTATATTTTTGTTTATATTTTCTTACAAATTTTTAATTTTTTAAAAATTTACAATATTTTTAGATTTTCTAAATAAAAATGTTCAAACAATTATTTGATATCTCAGAAAAAAAGGGAACTCAAAATGAATTAATTACATTATCTAAAAATTATGGAAATACCCAATCAATTCTTCCTTCTGGTGTTGAACGTTCAATTAATGGATTTATTGGAGAAAATAAAAATAATAATGATTTGGTAAAATTAATTTTAGAAAAGATAATTTTTAATTTTTTAGTCTGTTCAAGAATATTTGGCTAATATATCGAGTAAAACAATGCCCCCAAATACTTTTGATATGAGACAACTTTTGGAGCAATTACCGGAAAATAATTTAAATTTTGAGAATTTGGAACATTTTTGGAATAATTCTTTGAATATTAGGTAAAAATAAATATTTAAATTAATTTTTAAAATTAAAAAAAGTAATTCAATAAATTTGGCTAATGACTGGACTAGACAATTTAATGAAGGAAATGAATTAAATAATAAATGGATGGAAGAATTTATTTTGGAACAAAAAAATTCAAAAATGGAAAATGAATGGGGGAAAATAAAGTAAATTTATTTTAAAATATTTTGTAAAAAAAATTTTTTAATTTTTAGTGAAGGATCTGTTTGGGCTAAAGATTTTTTAGAAAATTATGATTTAAATGGAAAACAATTAAATAATTGGGAAAATGAATTTTTGAATGATTTTGTGGGAGAAAAAGAAAAAATTGAATTTTTTGATTATGAAAGTGCTTGGGAAAATTATAATTCAAAAGAAAGATTTGAATTTAATAAAGTAAAAGAAATTTTAAAAATTTAAATTTAAAAAAATTAATTTAAAGAATAATCCATTTATTAACGAAGAAAATTTAATTGAAAAAGCAAAAGAAAATCTTTTTAATGGAAGAATTGCTAATTCTATTTTATTTTATGAAGCGGCAATTCAAAAAGATCCAGAAAATGTTGAAATTTGGTAATTAAATAAATTTAAATAAAAATTAAATTTTAATTAAAGGTATTCGTTGGGAATTGCTTTGGCAGAAAATGAACAAGGTTTTTAAATAAAATTTAAATTAATTTTTGTTAGATCCAAAAGCAATTTGTGCATTAAGAAATGCTTTAAAATTAAATCCAAAATATTTAAAAGCAATTTTGGCTTTGTCTGTTTCTTTGGCTAATGAAGGGTTTGAATGTTTGGCTTTACATGAATTGGATAAATTTATTTGTATTTATAAAAATTGTTCTGAAGAAGAAATGCCTAAGGAAGAAGGAAATACTTCTTTTGGATTTCAATACAAAAAATTGGACAAAAATGAATTTTTAAAAGTAAATTTTAAATAATTACTTATAAAAATCGCGCACGTTTTGAGGCAGAAAACAAAGGGAAATTGCGTGCTTATATAAGCCGTATTTTCCGCTTGCATTTTTTATTTAAGCGTAGCTTTAAGAGAGATTAAAAAATAATTTTTATTTTTTTATTATTTTAGGTTGAAGCTAAATTTCTTGAAGTAATTAAATTTGTTCAACCAGAATGTGAATTAGTTGAATTACAAAATGCTATGTAATTTTTACATATTTTATTTAATTAAAATTTATTTTAAATTTTATTTTTTAGGAGTATACTCTATAATTTAAGTAATGATTACAATAAAGCAATTGAATGTCTAAATTCTGCTTTAAACTTTAAACCAGAAGTAAAAAATTTTTAATTAAAAGACATTTTTTCTCTCATTATTTTTTAAAGGACCCAATTCTTTGGAACCGTTTGGGTGCAACTTTAGCTAATGCTGATCGTTCAGCAGAAGCTATAAATGCATATAAAAGAGCTCTACAAATTTCTCCCTCGTATGTTCGTGTTCGATATAATCTTGGAGTTTCTTGTATGAATTTGCAAAGTTTTCGGTAAAAAATAAAATTAAAAAAATTAAAAAAAATTTTTTTATTTTAAAGAGAAGCGGCTATTCATTTTTTGGCAGCTCTTAAAATTCAGCATTCACCAGAACAATCACTTATATGGTCTAGACTTCGTTCTGCCATAATTCGTATGGAAAATATCCAATTGGATAATGAAATTTTTGAAGCAATTAATTGCCGTGATTTGGACAGAATTACTAAAATATTTGGGGTTTGAAGAAGGAAAATAATATTTGAAATGGTGATGGGAGGGAGAAGTGTTATTGTATGGGAAGGGAAAGAATTTGTGACTTTTTTTTAATTTTAAATATTTACTAATGATAAGTGCCATTGAAATGATATTTAATATTAATTTATATTTTAGGGATATAGTACATTTATAATTAACTAAAATTGTTAATTAATCCAATTCACTTATATTTTTCCAATAAATATTTTTTCAAAATAAATTTTATGATTTTTCTTTAAAATTATATTTATCCCAAATCCAAATAATTGACAAAATAAATTTAATAGAAAATTATTAAATATGTAGCTCTTTTTAATTTTAAAGTTGTGTATTTTGTCTTCCTCCCAATTGTGGCAATGTTGTAGGACTTCGATTACTTGTAACTTGAATTCGTCTAACAGGTTGTGGTTGGCGAATAGTTGTTGTGTTTGTAATTAATTGTGGGGCTGAATGAATTTTTTGTTGTGATTTAGAAATTGAAGAGAAGTGGCTATGCATGTGTTCTACAAAAATAATTTAAAAAAATATTTTTTATATAATAACCAGCAACAGTAAGAACGTCTCTAGCATCAAATCTGCGTGCTGGATTTGCACAGATACAGTTAGATACAGTTAATTTAAGATGTTGGGAATAAATATTTGAAGGTATTGGGGGATATTCACATTTACTTATTTTACGAACTAATGCCAGTAAATTTTGCTTTTCACCAAAAAAAGGTGATTGTAAAGCTGCCATCTTTAAAAATTAAAATATAATTTAAAGAATATGTGCACTATAACCTCATATAAAACACAACCAACAGACCAAATATCTGATTTAAAACTATAACCACTTTCATTCATTCTTTCTGGAGACCTAATAATTAATTTTAAAATATTTTCTCTATTTCTTTATTTTACATATAATAAGGAGTTCCAACAATAGAAAAAACCATTCCTTTTTTAAATGTACTTAAATTCATTGTTTCCATTGACAAAAATCTTCCAAGACCTAAATCTCCAAGTTTAACAATTCCACCAGAACTAATAAAAACATTTGCTGGTTTAATATCTCTATGCATTATTGAACGGCTATGCATATAAGCAATTGCTCTACTTATTTGTACAAAATACTTTAAATATTTTTTTATTAAAAAATATTTAAATTTAAAAGAAAAACCTTCCAAATACTACGTTCTGGAAGTAAACGAAAATTCTTTTTAAAAGTCTAAAAAAACAAATAAATTATTTTAAAAAAATATATGTAAATATTTATTTATTTACACGTAAAAGACGGCTTAAATCTCCAGCTTCAGCTAATTCCAAAACAATCATTAAATATTCTTTTGATTGGTCAGCAACTAAAAAATTTTTAAATTAATTTTTAATTAAAATTAACCACCTATAAATGAACAAAAATATCTAATTATATTTTCGTGTTGTAATTGTTTAAGTAAATCAATTTCTTTTCGACAATCTTCTCTAGCTTTTTTATTTTTCATTAAATCAAGCTATATTTATTTTAATTAATTATTATCTTCAATATATTTATTTATTTAAATACCTCAATTTTCTTAATTGCAACCATTCTTCCAGTCATTTTATTTTTTGCTTTCAAAACCTCCGAAAATTGCCCTTTACCTAATTTTCCGGATAATTCAAAATACTCTAAACTATTATAACGATTTGGATCTATTAATTGTTGTTGTCCAATATTATTTAAATGAAGATTATGAAGTGAAGTTGAAGAACCGTTAATAACAAAAGAGGATGAAGATGTTGGGGCTGCCGAAGAATTTGGGGAAGATGTTGAGGAGGAACTCATAATTTTTACTTAAAATATTTCTAAAAATAATTAGTGAACACCTTTAAAAGGAATCTGGAGAGAGAGAGAGTTCTATTATAATACTGTTTTTACTGTATTCATTATTATAAGTATATTCAAAATGAGAATAAAATATACAAACTAATAAGTAGACACACGTAAATTAATTTACGAAACTAATTTCTAGCCTTCGCTAAAAGGGAAAGATATTTAAAAATGTTAAAGAAATTAATACTTATATTTAATAATCAATATAATGCGCGATAATTTATTAATTATATCACGATAATTATTAATTAGGAAAAATGCAAAAATGTAATAATGACCTACTAATTTATTAATTTAAAATAAATTTTTTTCCTTTTTTAGTTTAAAAGTTATAAATCATATTGGCATATTTCTGGAATTTTAATTTTTTTTGTATTTTATTGTCTTCTGTGTTTAAAAATTTCGAAAGAGAATAACAGTATACCATATTGCTTTGAATAATTACCCTGCGTAATTATTGTTTCCACCTCCCGCTGGAAGTGGGTAAATAATAGAGGCGGGGTAATTATTTGAGGGAGGTGGTCGATCATATATATATTCTACAAAAATTTTCACGGACATTTCCATTGACATTGACTAGAAAAGTAAAAAGACCGAAGCCTGTAGTGTCATTCTTCATCGAGATCTCAAATCTCAAAAATCAACGGGAAATGGTCTATATTCCCCTAATATCTAATTATATAATTGAGAAGGGTTTGTGTGTTTGTTTGTCCGTCTGTCTGTCCTTTTATAGACAAGTGGGCTTTTATAGTAAAACGATTTGGGGGAGTGAGGAAAAGGGGGGTTTTTATAGTAAAGCGTTGCCAGTTGAAAAAAGTTGTGAGGGTAAGCAGATAGTATAAAAGCAGGCTATTTTGGTCAGTCTTCAACTTCTCAACATTGCTGTGATCTTCTACGTCAACTTTTGCTGGAGTCCTGTGTCTTCTTGAGCTAGACGTCAACGTTCATTTGTCAAGAGCTAGACGTCAACGTTCATGTGTCAAGTGCTAGACGTCAACGTCACTTGAAGTGCCAGGCGTCAACGTTCATTTGTCAAGTGCCAGGCGTCAACGTTCATGTGTCAAGTGCTAGACGTCAACGTTCATTTGTCAAGTGCTAGCTGTCAACGTCACTTGAAGTGCCAGGCGTCAACGTTCATTTTTAAGAGATAGGCGTCAACGTTCATTTGTCAAGTGCTAGGCGGCAACGTTAATGTGTCAAGTGCTAGGCGCAACGTTTATGAAGGCAGAATATTGAACAGGGGGAATTGTGAAGCAGGGGGAGTTGTGAAGAAGGCGGAATATTGAAACAAGGGGAATTGTGAAGCAGGCGGAATATTGAAACAGGCGGAATATTGAATAAGGGGAATTGTGAAGCAGGCGGAATATTGAATAAGGGGAATTGTGTAGCAGGCGGAATATTAAAACAGGCGGAATATTGAACAAGGGGAATTGTGAAACAAGGGGAATTGTGAAGCAGGCGGAATATTGAAACAGGCGGAATATTGAATAAGGGGAATTGTGAAGCAGGCGGATTATTGATAAGGGGAATTGTGAAGCAGGCGGAATATTGAGGGGAATTGTGAAGCGGGCTGAATATTGAATAAGGGGAATTGTGAAGCAGGCGGAATATTGAAACAAGCGGAATATTGAATAAGGGGAATTGTGAAGCAGGCGGAATAGTGAACAAGGGGAATTATGAAACAGGGGGAGTTGTGAAGCAGGGGGAATATTGAAACAAGGGGAATTGTGAAGCAGGCGGAATATTGAAACAGGCGGAATATTGAACAAGGGGAATTGTGAAGCAAGCGGTATTGTGAGAGGCAAGAGGAATTGGTAAGGAGGCGGAATTTTGAAACAAGATGAATTGTGATGCAGGCGGAATATTGAACAAGGGGAATTGTGAAGCAAGCGGTATTGTGAGAGGCAAGAGGAATTGGTAAGGAGGCGGAATTTTGAAACAAGATGAATTGTGATGCAGGCGGAATATTGAAACAGGTGGAATTGCGAAGTAGTCGATATTGTGAGAGGCAAGGTGAATTGTAAAGCAGGCGGTATTGTGAGGCAAGGGGAATTGCGAAGCAGGGGAATATTTAAACAGAGGGAATTGTGAAGCAGGGAGAATTGAGGAGAAAAAATGTGTAAGCGAGAAGGCCGGCCAAAGGCTTTTGAATCGGATTTTGAGTTGAATTGTTTTGTTATGCTAGCGGAGTCACACGACGCCTGTGTGTACCCTATCAGCTGCACCTATTAGATGCTTTGCTTTGTTAAATGTATTGGTAATCAGGAAATGTTTTAATGCTGGTCAATGTCATGATAATCGGGTTTTTGATTATGATTGGATTAGGGCCAATTTTGAGGTTGTGATAAGTTGATTTGGAGTTTGTTTTTTGGTTTGTTTTGTTTTTGCTAGCGGGGTGGGGCGGCCGAAGGCCGACCAACTCCGCTAGTATTTCTATATAAGGTATCACAAAATGGTATCATAGCAGCTAAATCGTTGAGATATGGCTAACAGAAAAAGAACTAAAAAACATTAGAAAAGAAAGAAACCAAAAAGTTAAATAAAAAAGCAAGCATTCTTTCAAAATAATTATTTAATATAAATATGCATTGTGTCATGACAACGAACACATAAAAAAATAAATTTAAAATAAAACTTTAATTTACTTAGAAATAAAAAATTAAACAAAGAAAAGTGGAATAGTAATGAATTTTTGTTTTTTGTTTATTTAAAAAATACTTGAAGATAAAATAGATAAAATTTATTAAAATTTTTATAAAATTAAAACAAGAATTCCATGCCAAGTTTGTGTTGAGAAAACATCTGGAAAGCATTACATATGGGAGTTGGATATGTGATGTTTGCAGTTGCTTTTTCAAAAGGGGGGTTTTGTATTGAAATTAAAAAAATTTATAAATGCATATTTGTAAAATAAATTTTAAAAAAATAATTTAGCTGGTTAAAATAATTGTTTTTTTTGGATAAAAGACGCCGAAATTGGTGCCAGGCATGTCAAAAGAAAAATGCTTAGTAACGGGAATGAAAAAAGATTGTAAAAAAGATTTAATAAAAAATTTGATTTTCAATTTATTTTAGTGATGCAAAATGAAATATGTAGATCCAAGAATTAAATATTTTGATGGAAAATTTTGATATTGACTGCAAATATTTTAATTATTTACAGGACATTAAAAATTGTAATCACTCTACCTACAAATTTAGTAAATGTTTAATAAATAATTTAAAACAAGATTTTTAGTTAATTTATTTATTAATAATTACATTTCCTCCCTACTAAATATCATGTCAATATTCGATGTTAACAGCAATTTATACATGCAATTTACAATACAAATTTAAGAAAATATTAAAAATTAAAGGAAATATTAAGAATAAAATTTAAAATTATTAGAATAAATTAATTATATATTTATCTAAAAAAATAAATATCTAAATATTATTTTCATTAATTCTATTTTAATTTCGGTTTTGGAGGCACGGGTGGAGGGACAGGTTTAGGAGGCAACACAAGCTTAGAAAGAATATGACGAGAGATTGCCACAGTTTCATCCTCATTTAAAGAATTATTTTCAACAAATTTCCTTTAAGAAAAAAATTTAATTATTTTAATTTTAATTTATTTACTTTTTATTTTCAACATTTTGTAAAAGATTCGAAGTAATATATTCAAGAGGATGTTGTTGTGATTCTTCTTTAATTAATTCTCTATCAATTGTTTTAAGTGGATTTAAAATTGTTAAGGGGACTGAAAAAAAATTAATTAATTTAATATTTAATTATTTAAATTTTACAATTATCATCTTTTTGTTCATCAACTTCTTTCTCTAAAATTATTCTGTCAGGTTGAGAGTGACACTTAAGATGACGACCACATTCAACAAGTAACTAAAAAATATCACATATATTTATAAAAAGAGTAGGTACTATCCGATCACCTCCCTATTTTCCTTTTACTTTGCTTTCTTTTCTAAAAGAAATTTAAGGTGATAAGTACCCATCTTCTGCATGCTGCTAATTAATGACAGCGTTGGTGTGTATACCTCTATTCCTATCTATTTGCACTAGGTTCCCCGTATTAACCAAAAAAATTTAAAAATTGCCTTATATGCTTGTTGAGCTTCAAAAGAAAAATTAGGTAAAGGCTCTTTTTTAGATTTTGTTAAATCACCAAATAAATACTTTTTATCTTCCTTCTTCTCAATTTTTCTTAAACTTTGTCTCAAAGCAGAATTCTCTGCAATTTCTATTTTTTCTAATTGTTTAAATGTTCGTCTACGTTCATTTAATGCTCTTCTTTCAAATTCAGCTGGTTCCATTGTTGTAACAAAAGATTTTTGGGGAGACAAATTATATTCTTTAGTATTAATTACATCAAATTTGGACGGCGATCTTAAATATAATATTTTTTATTGTTAGACGGAGAGGTTAAAGCGGAGTTTTGTTTTTCATGGCACACATAGTCGCTAGAATTTTTAGTATTTTGGAAGGCTAAGAAGCCGGATTTCTTCCTTCTATTAAAAATTCGAAGGAAAAAGTCCGGGGTTCGAGTAACCCGTTCACCACCTGATATACCTATGTTAGCATAATTTACAGTAGTCGACATAAAGATAGGGACAAGAGTTATTTAAATAAAAATTAACTATTTTTCGGTCGAAAAATACGTTCTATATATCAATCGAAAGCTCTATTTATATCTCAGTTGGCATGTTTCTGCATTTTTCATGAAATTAAAAATTGGCCGAGATAATCCGGATCTGCCGGATATACCAAATCCCACAGCCTCGGAAAAAATTTTCGGAAAAAATCTAACAAACCCATTTGATAAAGCATATTTTTGTGAGTATGTATCACAAAACCGCTTAAAAATATCTCTTTCCGGACCAGAGATATGATTTTTTGAAAATGGCATTTTTCGTCTATTTTTGCAAAAAATTCAATTTTTAAGGGAAAAATGCCATTTTCAAAAAATCATATCTCTGGTCCGGAAAGAGATATTTTTAAGCGGTTCTGTGATACATACTCACAAAAATATGCTTTATCAAATGGGTTTGTTAGATTTTTTCCGAAAATTTTTTCCGAGGCTGTGGGATTTGGTATATCCGGCAGATCCGGATTATCTCGGCCAATTTTTAATTTCATGAAAAATGCAGAAACATGCCAACTGAGATATAAATAGAGCTTTCGATTGATATATAGAACGTATTTTTCGACCGAAAAATAGTTAATTTTTATTTAAATAACTCTTGTCCCTATCTTTATGTCGACGACTGTATGTGCGTTTCAAACCCAAAAAGTACCTATTATTATTTTTCTCTTCACTTAATAATTCTTTAGTTTCTGAACAATCCCACAACGTTGTTGAATTAGAACAATTATCAACATCTTCTAGATCAATATTTTCATTAGATTTTACTTCTTCTATTATTCTTTGTAAATTATTATTTTTATTAATTTGTTCAATACAAATACTTGGTGGACGTAAATATTCTTCAACTTCATCTTCTTTTTTAATTTCTTCTTCTTCTTCTTCTTTATTAGAAACAATTAAATATTCTTGCTGTTTTTCATTCTCATTTAAAGGAAAATTATTAGAAGCTAAATTATTTTTATAATTTAATATTGGAGAATTGTCAGAAACAATTTTTGGCATTAAATATTCTTTTGTATTATTATTTTCTTTACAAAATTTTTCTCTAAATCTCGGCGGTTTTGGAGGCAATTCTGGTGGTTGTTGATTTAATTCTTCAAATGATTTATTACTTAAAATACTTTTTGACATTTCTAAATGAATATTTGGATTTTTTGGAGGTCTTGGAGGTGCTAAAGAGAAAGTACTTGAAGTACTTATTGGTGAAATCGAACGAAGACTTGGAGAAATTGTTGAAGATATTGACAGTTCTGTCTTGTTTATCTAAAAAAGAAATTTATCAAAAAATATTTCCAAACACATTTAAAAGTCCAAAATTTCTTCCATCTGCCCCAACATGGCAAGTATGTCTCAAATCTCCTTTTGGTTCACTAATCATCATTTTAAAATTTTCTTTGTCATTTTTCTTTTTCTTCTCTTTTTTATTTTTATCTTTTTTATTTTCTTCTATCTCAATTAAAGAATGTAAACTTTTTCTTTCAAATTCTGGAGATGTAATAATATTATCTGAATAATTACTATTTGGATTTTGTGCACCCAAAAATGCAATTGTATGTTCGGGAAGGAAAATACCGATATTGCCTGTCTTTGAAACTCCAAACCAAAAGCCTGGAAGAGAAGTGCTGAAAAAAGAATAGAATATTTTAATGAAACTTTTCTTAAGTTTTTAGAGGCGACATGAGATTTTATTGGATTTTCGACCCAGAATTTGACCTACTCTATGTTCTAACCCCAAAATCCAATTCTAGAATTCTTCAATTAATAATTTATTTCCAAAAATATATTTCCAATATTTATTTCCAAAAATTTTCTAACCTTTTATCTAATAAAATAATTGTTTCTCCCTTTTCATAATTTAAATAATTGATATTTTCCTTCAAAGATTTATGTCTACAATCTGTCACAGTAACCAATAATGGAGGCATTAAAGTAGGTAATTCATTACAAATATTCTCAAATGTTGGCCTTTTCTCTGCAGACCATTCCCAACATTTTAACATTAAATTATAAATTCCTGAAGGACAAAATTTTGGCTTTTCTAATTTTAATCGCTGAGTATCTACTGCATAAAGTATCTAGAAAATTTTTAAAAATTAATAAAAAATTAATTTAAAAAACCTGTGATCCACTTATTCCTTCCCAAGGTGTTTGTCCATAAGTAAAAACTTCCCAAAGAAAAACTCCATACGCCCAGACATCTGAAGCTGACGTAAAACGAAGGAAATTAATACATTCAGGTGCACACCAAGCAATCGGTAATTTCATGGAAAGATTAAATTCAGAACGGTAATACTCTTCACCATAACCCAAAGAACGACTTAAACCAAAATCAGAAATTTTTACCTTAAAAAATTAATTAATTTAAGAAAATTAAGAAAGAAATAAAGTCGGGCTTGCTTTTAAAAACCTCCAAAAATCAGATCCTTTTCATGTCATGCTTAAGCAATAAGGATGGCGGATAGTTGGAAATCTTCGGATATCCGGCCTCTTTTTCAAATCCATATATACGGATCCGCCACCCTTATTAAGCAATACTTCCAATTTAAGCTATACACGCGTTATTTTTAGATAAAGTTTTTAAAAAATCGGGGCCCGACTGTATTAAATTAAAAAATAGAAATTTCCATTTCCGTTATAGTTAAGCGAAAGAAACGTTCTCCTTATTCTTTTTAATATTTTAACCTTAGAAGGTGAATGAACAAGAATATTTCTTGCAGCCAAATCTCTATGAATTAAACGTTGCGAACTTAAATATTTCATTCCATTTGAAATTTGAAGAGCAAAATCACACAAAACATCAACAGAAAGTGAGGGATGCCAAGCTTTAGATTTAAGACATTCCAGTAAAGAACCACAAGACGCCAATTCTGATACAATCATTATAGCCTTTATATCAAGTACAACACCAAACATTTGAATAACATTCTAAAAAATATAATTAAAATTATCACAATTTTCTAGAAACTTCATGTCTCATTTTTGTCATAATTGCCGCTTCTTGAAGAAAAGAAGAATGGTGAGAAATAAGTTTTTCTGGTTGAATTTGTTTCACAGCAACCTTAAAATTAAAAAAAATATTTTTCTTTTCTTAAAAAATACTTGGATAGACTCCTCCTCATCTCTGTGCCATATAGCTTTAAAAAATATTTAAATTTTTAAATAAAAATAGAAATAACCTTGATAGACTTCTCCAAATTCACCATTCCCAATTTCTTTACATAAAGAAATTTTTTCTATTGGAATTAATATTTGTTGTTGATTAGAAGAATTGTCAGAATTTGAAGAATTTCTAAAAAAATATTTATTAATTCTAATAAAAAACAATAATAAACACTCTCAATTTTCAACTCTTATTTAAATTTAAAAAAAAACCCTACCTATTAATTTTCTCTTTATTTGGACTTGTTTGTTGTGCTTTTCTTAACATTTCCATATCTTCTTTTCCAAAAAATTTCCTCTTAACTTTACTCACAAAATTTAGTTCTTTTTGATTATTTGTTATATTAGGTAATAATGAAGACATTTTTTTATATTTTAATTTTTGTTGTGAAATTAAACAATTCTATCAAAGCGTAAATTAAGTTGTTGATTAATAAATAATTAACCAGTAATTAAGCTAAAAATATCTTAATAAAAATTATTTGTATATATTAACCTGTTGAGTTGATTTACATACTTAATTTCTTGTGGTTGATTTAATTACAAATTAAAAATTTGTAAATATACAAAGTATTTTAAATTTATTTTGAAAACATTTTTTTGTTATATTGATTAGAATAAAATAAAGTAAAAGTATTAGTAATACATAAAATGCTTTTAATAGCCAATGAATAATATAATGGAAATCTAAAATAGGTTTTCTTTTATTTATTGTTTTAAATGTGTTTAGATATCTTTTATTAAAAAAAATAATTCTTTAAAACTTTGTTTTACAAATTAAACGAATAAAATTTTTCTAAATGCTTTAAAAGATCAAGTTGTAAGACAGGAAAGAGTAAATTATGGAGGGTTAATACTTTTACACAGTCGAACCTCGAATTTATATACCTCTAAAATTAAATACTGGAAATTAAGTGAAGGATGGGGAAGCTAAAGTGATATCTTCTATTTTATTAAATACACAGTTCTTTTTAATTTGATTTTTCAACTAGAATAAAAGTTGTATGTAAATTTGATTTTCGACTGTATTTACAAAAACTTCCAAAAAAATTTTAGAAGTTTTTTTAAATTTTATTTTAATAATTAAGGGTCATAATAAGCTTTTTAAAAAAGAATAAAATGGCAATTAAGTAGAAGAAAGAAAATAAAATATTTCAAAAATTATGCAGGTGGATATTTAAAACCAATATGTACTGGATATTCAGGTGCAGCTGGATAGGGAGGAGGGGCTCCTGGAGGCTGTGCATTTTCGTTATAATTAACTGAAAAATGTTTAAAATATTAGAAATATATTAACAAAATTACCATTAGCTCTTTGATATTCCCCTTTATTATTTTGTAAATTTGCATTTCCCATGTTATTTTTGTGTTTGTCATAAACTGCCTTGATAATACAAGCAAGGCAACACAATAATAGAAGTATCAGGATAATTGTTCTGAAACAATTTTAAATTAATAAAAAAACAAAAAAAAAATTGCCAAGAATATACCCCCTCAAGGAATATTTTTTTAAAAGGGGAAAGGAATTTATTAAATAAAATTTTATGGCAATCGAGTTAATAAATGCAAAAATATGTAAGTATTTTAAATATAAAATTTTCTCATATAAAATCTTCAAAAGAAAGGAGGGAGGAAGTGAAGAATCAAAAATGCTGTAGCTGAAAATATTGTTGCATACCCAAAACCAAGTCCGGGGCCCGAATTCCAATAACGACTTCCGTACCCAGATCCGCCGCCGCTTCCACGTCCAGGGCAACATTCATAACCACAACATTCCTAAATTTTGTCAGAAATAAATTCTTTTAATTTTATTTAAAAAACCTCATTATAAGGACAACTCCAAACAATTTCTTTTGGTTGAGAACCATCTGGAGTGTAAACTTTTCCAAATTTGGGATCATCTGGTTCAACTGGCATTCTACACATTGTACGGTCTGAATGATGCGTTCCGCCAGGATAATACTGACTTCCCCAGTAATAATCCCGATTATTCCATCTTTTTAAAGAGAATTTAAAATTAAAATATTTTTAAAGAAAATTACGTCATTGGAGCAGACATCGATCGAATAATTGCTTTTCCTGCTTGATAAGTCAAATAACCTGCTGCAGCCCCAACAATCATATTTTTAAACATATCCGAACGAGAACGGGAGCCAAGCCCTTTATCACGGTAACTAAAAATAAATAATTTTAGTTAAAGTTCTTTTAATTACTTTGATCGATAAAATCCGCCACCACCCCCACCATGATATCCACCAGATTTTCCAGAATAATGCCCACTTCCAGAACTTGACTTACTTCCTCCACCAAACCAACCACCTCCTCCTCCTCCACTTTTAGCAGAACTGCCACGAGCTGCCGATGAACCTCTCAAAATATTTTAATTTTATAACAAAATAATTAATTTCTCTACCTGCTACCACCAAAACCTCCTCTGCCTCCACCACCACCGCCTCTTTTGCCAAGGATTTCTGCAGTAAATATTAGGATAAAGAAAAATAATGTCCGCCAGAAATTTGAATTCATTTTAATTAATTTCTAAAATATAAAAAAATTAAATTTTGTTTAAAAAAGTTTAAAAAGATATACTAATAGTAAAACTAATTATGGTAAAATTAATTAGTCAGCATCAAAACATTTGTTCCGACAAAAAGTAAATATGTGTGTATAACATGAATGACGAAATACATACATGTTTCATGTATTCCTTTTTCACGTCTCTAGAATTGGGACATGGATAATATGGCGCAACATTTATGGCGCAGGAAAAAATAGGTAAAAACGAGCAAATTTTAGATGACAAAATTTAAAATTAACTTTAATTAATTTCTAAAATAATATATTATTCTCTATTTATTGTAAGTAAATAGAGAATAAACAAAAACAAATGTTAGTGTAGTCAAAAAAATCAAAAGAACATTCTACTGTTTTATCCCCTAGTTCGTTCTTTTTTTTTGTCTAACGAGTTCATTTGTCAATAATTTTTAGAGTTAAAAAAATAAATGACAAATTTTTATAGGCTTTCAAATAAATTAAAAAGAAAAAAGTTTTTAATTGTTTAATTGAAAAGGAGAAAATTAATGTAAATATTTGAACTTTTAGATTTAAATAATATAAATACCTAAATTCCCTTTATACTACGAATTCCTTTTTTTTTATTCTTATTAAATTAAACTTTAAAATTTAATTCACACATTTAAAGAGTGCGAAATTAAAATCATTAAATGTTTATCATCTACTAAATTCACAAATTTCAATCACGTCATAAACACCCTTTTTATTTCCTTGTCTATAAATTAAATACTACAACCGGAAATAAAAAATAATTTTATAAGATATGCCTTACAAAAACAAATAAATTTAAAAATATTTAATTGATTAACTTTTAATTATAAACTAATTAGTATTATTATTTTTTAAATATTTTTAAATTCAAAATTTATTATCTCTAGAATTATAGACATGTTTATTATTTATCTTTTTTAGTTATTTACTTGCACAGTATTGACATAAAAAATTTATTACATATTCATATGATAAATAAATAGTAATTAAATTAATAATTTTTATTTAAAAGTCAAACAATAAAAGAATTATTTTAAAGGTAACGGTGGATTATCCGAATATATTTAATAGAGAAATCACTAATTCTCATCGAGATTTGGCAAAATTTTATGATAATATATATAGTAAATATTAAATAAATAAATTTATTTTCATTTTTATTCATTTAAAATAAATAAAAAATGTTTATTATTCAAAAGAAAAATATTACTTTAAGGGTAACTTTCCTTATTGGCACATTTGTATTTTCTGTTAATTGCTTGGAAGATAATTCGACAAATAAAGTAATTATTAGAATTATTAAAATAATTATATGTAGTAAAGAAATTTACTCTAAAATAGTAACAACCGCTAGTTTTATTTAATTTTTTATTTTTGGATCAAATTTAGCGAATAATTTCTAATTCCCTGGGTTTTTATTTCCGCACATCTCTAGATTAAAAATAAAAATGCAAAATTATTAAGGTTGACGTCGTTCCTGTATCAGAAAATACCAATTTATTTAACGAAACAGCAACAATTACTAATCAGTTAATAGATTCAACAACATTAAATGAACCTATTTCTCTTCCAATAATTAATGATACAAACAATAATTTAACAGTTATTGAAGATTTTGTTAATGAAACTTTAAAAGATGAAAATAAAAATGAAATAAATATTTCACAATTAAATAATGAAACAAAAATAGATTTAAATCAAACATTAAATAACCAACAAATAGAAAATGGAAATACTAATGATAATGTAAAAACTAAAATATAATTTCTAAGAAAAATATTTAAAATTTAAATAGTTTAATAATAATACTTTAAATATAACGGAAACTGTTGATTTATTACATCCTACAATGCTTTTTACAAATAATGAGAAAATAAATGTGTCAAATGAAGCTGTTGCAGGTTTAATAATTAGATCTTTTTTATCCCAATATTTTGTCAGATGTGCCAGAAAAATTGCCAGTCAGACTCTCATATCAAGAAATGGTAAGAAAAATTTATTTTAAATTTTAAAAACAATTTTTTAGAATAATCCTCAACAATCCCCACAACAATTATCTCCAAGTATTGGAGGGCAACAATCAGCAGCTAGCCCTTCAATAATAAATAATTCTCCTCCTAATTTACTCCCAACACAAATATTCGAAGTTTGCACATCAAATGATTGTAATGGACATGGAAGTTGTTTAGGGTTTCGAAGTGCTCCTTTTTGTAGTTGCAATTCTGGTTATTTAGGGTTTAAATGTGAAGATAGTTAAGTGTTGTCTACAAAATATTAAAGAAATTTTTAAAAATATTTATAGCAGCCTGTGACAATAATTTACATTGTAGCGGAAGAGGATCTTGTATAGGTTCTGTAAATCAACACTTTTGTTTTTGCAATATTGGCTATAGCGGTAATTCATGTCAAAATCAACTTCGCTAATTTCTTTTTTTTATTAAAAAATTGTTTAATTATAAATTTAATTTTACTAGGTAAACTATCTCAATTAAAAATACAATGTCAAATGTGTAATTATATTTAAGTGAATTAATTAAAAATTAAGGAATTTTGTGGTAGAGTCCATAAAATTATTTTTCCAATTTTTTTACAAAATTATAAACCAAAATTTATTGTTTATCATATATCAGAATCTACCATTTAAATTTATAAAAATACTAAAAATAGCTAAAAATTATTTAAGAAAATAGTCAAATTATTTAGCAATTAATTAATAACCTAAATTAATTAATTAAAAATATACACAAATTATTTTCCAAATATATTCTTAATTTATTCCTGTATCTTTCCGCTGCGTAATTCATTTATCATTTTTCGAATACCCTCTGCATCTTGAGGAATATATGAACGACTCAACTAAAATTATTTTTTTACAAAAAACTATTTAATAAATTACCTTTTTAACCCCCAAACAGCAAGTTCTCACCAAAGCATCAGTTACTATAAAATTAAAAATTAAATTTTATAAAAATAATTAATTTACCCAAATACGGATCACAATTAGAAGAAGGACGTCTGTCTTCAAAATATCCCTAAAAATATTTTAAAATATTTACTCAATTTTAAAGAATTTCCACTTACATATCCATCAACTTCAGTTTGACGAGGAATACGTACACTAGAACATCGACTAGCAACCTAAATAGATTAAAAATATTTCCTTTTATTCTCGGTACTTAATCTAATATCCCACCCCCACCCCTATTTGAATCTCAGATTAAATTACCTTTTATTTGTTAGGTGAAAAAAATTAGGAAGAATGGACGGCAACGGCAGAAATTTAACTAACAACAAGAATCAACATTTATAAAGGAAATGTGACCATTCCGAGACAAGAGAATAGACAGAAAATTAATCTGACAATGAGACTTAAATAGGGGGTGGGGGCTACCTTCTCCTTACCCCATAACTAAATTTATCAATTGTTGCTGTTTCATGCAAACCAGTCAAACGTCGTTCATTATCTTTTCCACCAGAAGGGTCATAATAAGCGATCTTAAAATAAAAAAATTAATTTAAAATAATTTCCAACATGTTCATGATGTGATTTTGATAAGGCCTCAATAGCATTTAATATTTCAGCATAACCACCAGGCTTTCTCATTTTTTCAGTCGAAAAATTTGTGTGACAACCGGCACCATTCCAATCGCCTAAAAATTAAATTTAAAATTAATTTTTATTTAAAATTAACCAGAAATAGGTTTTGGGTCAAAAGAAACAATAACACCAAATTCTTCAGCTACACGATGTAAAAGATAACGAGCAACCCTTTAAAATAAAATTATTTTTTTCCTTTAAATAAAAAAAACAAACCAAAGATGGTCACCCATATCAATACCTAAAAAATGAAAAAAAAATTATTTTTAAAACAAAAATATTTAATTTTTTTAATCAAAAAATTAAAAACAAACCTTCACACGGACCAACCTAAAAAAATAAAATTTATTTTTAAATTAAAAACAAAACCTGAAATTCCCATTGTCCAGGCATTACTTCTCCGTTAATTCCAGAAATTGTAATCCCAGCATATAAACAGGCACTAAAAGATATTTTGTTTAAATTAAAAAATATTCCCCCACCGATAATGTGATTCAACAATATCCCGTCCATAAGCCTAAAAAATATTTTTTCTCTAATTATTTTAAAAAATCACAAAATTACTTTATTAGCCCCAACACCGCAATAATAAGGTCCTTGTGGTCCAGGAAATCCAAAAGGAGCCTTTGGCCAACCGAATGGATGGTGATCGACATCCAAAAGTGTATATTCTTGTTCCATTCCAAACCAGGCATGCTAAAAATTATTAAAATTTATTTTGAAAAAATATTTAAATTAATTCTCAAAAATTTATTTTATTATTTCTTTTTTTCCCTTAAAAAATTAAATTAAAAATATTATTTCAATTGCCTCATTTTTTGCAGTTTCCATTGTTTGACGGCAATGATTTCGATTATTAGTTATATGAGGCTGCATTTTATTGTCAAAAGCCTCACACATTACAACTTTTTGGAAAAATAAATTTAAATAAATTTATTTTTAAAAATAACTTTTATGATTTCCAAGTCGGAAAGGGTCATTGAACATAGCAACAGGCTTAAAATTAAAAAAAATAATTTTAAATTTAAAAATTAAAACCTCCTTACTTTAATAAAAACATCAGAATCAGCTCCCTAAAAATAAAAATTAATTTTAAAAATTAGAAAAAAAACCCTACAGATGCTTGGTCTGTTGAAGAACCGTCAAAATTCCAAATTGGCAATTCTAAAATTTTTTTTATTAATTTATTAAAAATAAATTTACCGTCAACTTTTTTGGGAATAAAATCAACAGTTTTAGTCTTTGACCGAACATTTTGAATACTTCCATCTATCCAAACATATTCAACTTGAATTTTATTATGAGTAGGTAATTGCATAAAACGACCGGCAGCATATTTATTTGTAGAAAATTGTTCACGAAGATTCATCTAAAAATATTTTTTTAAATTTTTAAAAATGTATAGAAATTAAAAAAATATTATTTTAATGAAAATTTATTAAAAAAATAAAAATTAATAAAAAATTATATTTTCAATGTTTATTTAAAATAAACAATTTTATACCCCTAAAATCTAAATAGGAAAATGAGAAAGGCGATAAAGCGGTGGTGTGAAGACTGACATGAATAAATAAATTGAAAATAAATTGAAAATAAAAATTGGTAGAAAAATAGGGAAAAAAAGGGAAAAGTGAGTGTTTGTGTGTAATAATATTCTTGTCCCTTTTACTTAAAAATGATGAATGTGCGCAAGTATTTTTATTTTAATTTTGGAAAAAAAATAAATGGAATTAAAAAATATTAAATTGTTTTGAGTATTTTTATTTTTACTTTCCTTACCATTTTGCGTTGAAAGAATCAATCAGGCAATGTTAGTAGACTTAAGTTGAAAAAAATAAAAGAGAAGAAAATTAATTATTTATTTGGCGAGAATATATTTAAGAGTTGAAGCAAAAAATTGATTTTATTTAATGTCTTGAGGTGCTTCTTGCTCTTATTTTTTATCCTAAAAAACTAAAAAAATTGGACTTAAAATGAATAAAATTATAAATAATTATCGAAAAATTAAATAATTAATGTTACACATTTAAAAATTAAATTTAATAGACCTAAGGAATTTATGACAATTTTTGGTACAAGAACTTTAATTATGAAAAAAGTTTGAATATAGTAAATCTGTTACAAATTAATAATTTAAATTCAATATTTTTAAATTAGAATAACAGCAAATAACTAAAAATTAAATAAATTTTTTTATTGAATACAAAATACATTATGTAAATAAATATGTAGACTAAAAATTAGAATAAATTTACTATTCTAAATGACCTAACCTGCAAATATTCAAAAATTTCTTCTTATCTAGTCAAACAACAAACTAGATTTGTTTGTAATTTTCGTCAATAGATAAGAAAAATAGGTATTTAGATAATTTAATGATTAAAGTAAAAGAGAATGTTTTATATTTGTTAACGTAAATGGAAATAAAATCTTGATCTTTCATAAATAAATAAATATTTATTTGAGGTTAATCAAATTGGACATTAAAACGAAAAAGAAAAGGTATTTGATTTGTGTTTGTTCAAATATACACAAACAACAAAAAATGATTTTTGCTTTGTAAAACTAATATTAAAAGTTATGTACATATAAGTTAAAAAAATAAAAAAAAAGAAATTTAGAAATTTAAATTAAAAAAGTTACTTTTAAAAATTCAGAAAATAAAAAAAACTTAAATGTCTGGACCCATTTTTTAAAATATAATTTGATAAAAAAAAGTACTTAAAAAAGATTACAATTAAACAATGTGTTAACTATTTTCTAATATTTTTTTCTACATTATTTTTATTTAACGATAAATAATGTACTTTGAAGTAAAAAAGTTTTTAAATAAATTTTATTTATTGTACTTTCATCATAAAATAAATGCACTTTTAAATACATAAGTAAATAGAGAAAGAGAAGAGTGAAAAGAGGAAGTACCTAATCTAAATTTATTAAATTCTCACTTAAAAGAGTGAACAAAAACTAGTTGTATATTTTTGATTGGTATTATTTTTTGATAATTAAAAAGTGGATTAATGATCTTATGAAGGAAAATTTTTTATTTAATTGAATTATTACAATATCTGGGACTTATTACGATCATGAGACGAAGATCATGAGACGAGACGAAGAAGATTGTCACTTCGATTTATTCAAAGAATTACATAATTTAGTGCCACGAGAATTGCATAACTAATTGTAAGACTAATTGCACAGTGAGAGAACTCCGTACTCACGAACCGTGGCCCAACTTTACATTAGTCCTGACCGGAAATCTATCAAAAAAAGGGTTTAACTGATTTTCAATTGATAAATTTTCAGTTGAAAAATAATTTAAAAGATTTTAAAAATTAAAGCTTCTGGCGTTATGTTATTTTTCTTTGCTTTTTTTCTCTGATAAAAAATTCGTTGAAAAAAAATTATTGAAATTTTTCAGGTTAAAATAATTTTCAATAAATTTTCTAGGGTTTTTGTTCTTTTTCAATGTTATGGTCTTCCTATCGATCTCAATTTCCCGGCTTAGGATTTTTCTACTTCTAGTCCTTATTTTTTGGCATATTGGCCTTTATTTTTTTATTTTTGTTCTTCCAAAATATGAAGGGAGTGAAGAGAGACAATTAGAACTTGAAAAGGTTTATTTTTCTTCAAAACATTTTCAAAATAATTTTTAAAATTTTTTAGTTCTCTAAAGATTTACAAGAAGAACTTTCCACTTTTTCTCCTTTTTCTTTACCATTAAAATCATTAGAAAATGCAATAATTTATACTCCCAATAATTTAATTGTTTGGTCTGATTTCGATTATAAAAGTTATTTATCTGGTGGAAAACTTGAAACTGGTGCTGATCCATATGCTTCAAATAAATTTAATCAAGCAATATCTGATAGTATTGAACCAAATAGAGAAATATCTGATACTAGAGATGAAAGGTTTTTTCTGTAATTAATTTATTTTTTATTTAATTTTTTTAAGTTGTAAACAAAAACAATTTATTTATAATTCATTAAAACTACAAAAAACTTCAATTATTATTACTTTCCACAACGAAGCACGTTCTACACTTTTACGAACTATTTGGAGTATTTTTGAACGTTCACCTCCAAAACTTTTAAGTGAAATAATTTTGGTTGATGATTTTTCTTTAGATGGTAAATTTAGAAAATTAAAGTTTAAAATTATATTTAATTTTAGAAAATATTGGAAAAGGACTTGTAAATATTCAAAAAGTTAGGGTAATTCGTAATCTCAAGCGAGAAGGTTTGGAATTAAAAAATGTTTTTTTTTAATTTTATTTAATTATAGGACTCATTCGTTCTCGTGTCAAAGGGGCTAAATTAGCTAATGCTCCAATTCTAACATTTCTTGGTAAATTTTAATCCTTTTTTTGCAATTAATTTCTATGTCCAAACATTTGAATTTTTTTATTTTTTTTAAAGATAGCCATTGTGAATGTAATGTTGGATGGCTTCAGCCCTTATTGCATAGAATTGGAGAGGTTTTATTAAAATATTAAAATTGTTTAAAAATTAAAATATTTAAAATTGTTTTTAAGGATAATAAAGCAGTTGTTGCTCCAGTGGTATTTTTTATTAAGTTATTTTTTAAATTAAATTAATTTAACAGATTGATGTAATTTCAATGGACAATTTTAATTATATAGCAGCCAGTTCTAATCTAAAGGGAGGCTTTGGCTGGAATCTTGTATTCAAATGGGACAGACTTGGTATTAAAGCTGCATGGCAACGAAGAAAGGATCCGACAAGTCCGATTAAGTAAAAAATATTTTTTTATTAATATATTAAAATATATTTAATTTTACATTCATTTTTTTGTGACAGCAAAAAAGTCAAATGTAAATTGTGGCTTAATTTTGTACCTTTAAATTAATTAAAAAATTATAGCGCTTTCCAAAAATCGAAAATAAAACTGACCTAGAATATATAATTTCTTCCATTCTAGCCATCGTTTTATTTTTTCTCATTTTTAGGTCTCCAGTTATGGCAGGTGGATTATTTTCAATTTCAAAAAATTGGTTTGAAACGTTGGGTACTTATGATATGGAAATGGATGTTTGGGGTGGTGAAAATTTGGGTGATTTTAATTTTTGAATAAAATTTTATTATTTGAACTTTTTCTAGAATTATCATTTCGTGTTTGGCAATGTGGGGGAACACTTGAAATAATTCCTTGTAGTCGTGTTGGGCATGTTTTTCGCAAACAACATCCTTATACATTTCCAGGTGGAAGTGGGAAAGTTTTTCAAAGGTTTTTTAAATTAAAATACATATATTTTAAAATATATTTTAAAATATTTTGAAGAAATACCCGAAGAGCTGCTGAAGTTTGGTTGGATGAATTTAAAGAATTATATCTTCAAACTGTTCCAAGTGCTCGACATGTTGATTTTGGAAAGTAAGAATTGAGATTTAAATCTGAATCCTTAATATATTTATCAAATTTTCGTATTTTTAAAATTTATATTTGATAGTATTTCTGATCGACTAGCAATTCGTGAAAAATTACATTGTAAAAATTTTAAATGGTATTTGGACAATGTTTATCCAGAATTACAACCTTTGGATCTCTTTAATGGACGGAGTGTACAAATTTCAAATGGAATTTTTTGTTTGGATTCGTTGGGGAGATCAAAAGTTGGACAATCTGTTGGACTTTTTAGATGCCATCGTAAATAGAATTAAAAAAAATCAACTTTAAATGCTTTCTAGTTGATGGTGGAAATCAAGAATGGTTGTATGATGAAAAGTCTTTTCGTTTAAAGCATTCATTATCTGGGCTTTGTGTTGTTTATGATCAAAGTAGTCTGCTTATATTTAATCATTGTTCTGATGAGCAAGTAATTAAATAAAAATAAATTTAAAAATTAATTATTATTTTCAGTTTAACAATAAAATAGTCATTTCATCTTTGTCTAAATTATCGCCTTCTTCATTAAATAATTCTACATTATTTCCAATTCAAATTAATGGTAACAGATGTTTTACTTTAATCAATCAACAGTCAGAAAATAATTACCAAACTCCAAATGTAATCCTTCGTGCTCTCCGTTGCAGAAAGGGTGATGAACATCAACTTTGGCGTATTACTTATTTTAAGAATTAATTTATATATTTAAAAAAGAGTTTAGAGAGATTATTTTAAATTAAATTTAATATTGATTAGTAAGAGAAATTTAAAAAAATATGTGAGAATTTTTAACATTTCCCCATCTTTTTTCTCTCTAAACTCGTTTAAAAAGAAAAGTCATCGACCAGTATTTCAACAACAATTCAGTATTATAAAGTACTTTTTCTGCATTATATTTTTGTTGCCCTGTGAAAAAAATACAAATCTTTCGCGGCCATTTTTTCTTTTTTTTAAATTCAATTTTTGTGATTTTTGTGCTATGTTAACTTTCATTTATTTTATTACTTAAATTATTATTTATTCTGCCCATCTTTTCTTTTTTTGGATTCTACAATAAACTCTTGCCTTTTAGCTTTAAAAATGTTTTTAAAATTAATTTAATTCCTTTTAACATCTCTGAAACAAAAGCATTATATATACTTAAATTTTTCTTGTTTGTCTACTTATGTTGGAATTAGGTGAAAAAGTATGGAAATATCGTTTATTTTTTAGTAAAATTAAAATCAATTATCAAAAAATTATAATTTTACGTAGTTTCCATACTTTTTCACCAAACTTTATTAAATTTTAGGTCATTTAATCTTTTTTGAGAATATTATGCATAAATAAATTTTTATTTTAAAATAATTGGAATATTTTATAAAAGAAAGTAAATATTCTTTTTATATATTTTTTGTTTCAATTTAGATTTTAATATAGGTAATAAAAAAAGAATTTCATTGCAGAAATGAATATTCATCAACATTATTACCAAGTAAATGAACAAACCTTGAATTGTTTTCCCAATCTGAAAGATGAGGCGGTGCGAATGGCGGCTGTCTATAATGAAGGTAAAGTTTTAATTTATAAATTAAATTTACTGGGGAAGTTTATTTTTCGATTATGTTGTCTTAGTCATATTTTTCCTACTCAGAGACCACTTTGAATTTATGTTCAAATTATATTTATCATTTTCTAAAAGTATTTTACCGATTATTTTTTTGTAGATATCTTGAATGCCAAATTTGATATGAAAGGAGGAGAAAGCGATAACGAAACTATTGGTTTAACAGATTATGGCGATGATGGTTCTGTCACTGATGACGACAGTCTTAGCACAATAGCAGCCTCTAGTAGCCGTGTTAATTTTAATCGATCATTTCATTACGCATCAATGTCTTCATTAGCTTCAACCGAAACTGCAACAACATATTCTGAAATTTTTGGAAGCAAAAAACGGTCAAAATGGGAAGAAGAGCACGATGATTTATTGCCAGAATATAATAATAATCCATTCAAATTTGAAGATCTCTCCCATTTAAATAAAGTATTTGATTGGAATGGATGGTCATGTGGTGTTATTGTAGAACAAATGCGCAATCCTTCTAAAGCAGTTGTTTGTTACAAGATTTGGCCTTTTTGTAATGGAGAGACTACCGCTGTTGAATTATTTTTGGATACAGACGAAAAAAAAGAAATACTTGATTTGGGACAGTGGATAAAATTTGAAAGAAAGTGGGGGAACTTGCTTAATATAAATTTTCAAATTTAAAATTTTAGAGATTTATTTCCTGCTGTTGTCAATCCTTCTACTTATCAACCTCAAAAAGAAATGTTGCGAACAATTCCATCACTTGGTGGAGTTTTTGTGAGTTTTCTTTAAATAATTTTTTTATTAATTTCTATTCACAATCAGATGGAATGTCAAATTGTTATTCGTGATGATCGAAGAGGTGAAATTTGTACAAAAATGAAGCGTTGGTTAACTGATTTACAAATGTCTAATTGTATGACAAGAACACCTTTTATTCGGCGTATTCGTGATGATCGGGGAATAATTCGGAATGAAGATTTGGGGACAACAAGATGGGCAACAATTGAATATATAAGAGTAGATGAAGAAGAAGGTTGTTGGAGGCTTGTTTTTATTCGTCCAAAATGTTATGGTGAATGGGTCTCATTGACGTAATTATTTAAAAATACTTTTAACTATTACTTACAATTATCGGGAATATAAATTAACTATTGAAACTTAAAAATTATTCATTGCCTTTTATTTTAACAATTTTTTTCTGTTTGTTATAGCTTTTTTCCTCTTTTAGCCTTATCTAATTTAGTTATTGTTTTGTCTTTATTTGTGTTGCACTCTCAATCTTTTTCTATTAAAAATTGAAAATATAATTTTATTGTTACCATTAGGCCCAATGAAATTATGTTCCTTTTCTTGCAAATTATCTGGAAACAATTCAAAATTGTTAAAATTAGAAATATTTGTAGATATATTTAAGCAGGCCATAACTTGCCAAAGATAATTTTGCTGGAAAACGAACATTAACGCAATCGAAAATCGTTAAAAATTAGGTATACCAATAAGAATATTAAAGTTTTAATGATAGTAAACTAGTGAGGGTTCTTTGTACGTTACTTAAAGATATACTATTCTAATTGTAAGTGTAAACATTTTGATTTGATCACTTCTTTAAACTTTTAATACTTTAATTTTTGCCTTGTTTTTTTTGACTTACTTACGTGTTATTTCTCCAATATTAGCTAATACTTTATTTATTTACCGATGCTTAAAACATAAATTGATCTTGTTTTTCATTACATCTCATTTGTTTTAAAAGTTTTATTTAAACATTTAATATTTTATGTTTTTTAAATTAATAAAATATCAACATTTTGATTTGGAAATATTAAATATCCATGAATTCTTTATCGCAAGATTTAATCCTGCGGTATTTTTTAGTAAATTTTATAGGCCTTCAAATGAGCCCAAAAATTTTGTGCATACTCTAGGGGGTTAAATGAATTTATATTTTATAACTATCATATCTTCAACAAATTATAAATTACTTTTTATTCTCCGGTTTTATAAAAGAAAAATTTTAAAAAATTAAATAAAATACAAAATAAATAACAAGAGATTATCTTCCACTACTATTACTCGCTGTATTATTATTACATTCCCCATATTGTAAATTTAATAAAAGTTCCATTATTTTTATTTTTGCAGTATCTTTAAGTCTTTCATCTAATTTTCCCAATTTTTTAAGAACAATTCGGCAAAAACTTTAAAAATTAAATTTAAACAAAAATTTATTTTTCACTCACAGTTTATCTTCATCATCTTCATTTTCTCCAAAAACTTCGGGAAATTTCCAATTATTATTAATTCTGTTATTTATTTCATTTAATTGTAATAATTTTTGTTGATTATTTTGAAATTGTTTTTGGAAACGAATTGATGGTTGGCGATAAATTGAGGAGGATTTACTAAATAAATATTTTATTTTTAAATTTCTTTTTAAAATACTTTGTAGAAATATTCAAATTATTTCCATTAGAATATCCTCCTCCTCCCCCTCCTCCCCCACTATTAATTTCCTCATTATTATCATTATCATTTTCTTCTTCAATTAAACATTCTCCTCTTTCATTATTTTCACCAATTTCTTTATTACTTTTATGTACAGCATTCATTGCTAAATCTAAAATTGCTGCAGTACTTGATTGCATTTGTTGTTGTTGTTGTGATTGTTGTTGTTGTTGATTTTCTGAATTTAATATATTAATTGAAGAATTATTATTTAATTGACGTTGTTTAGCTAATGTATATGCTTGTATTAATGCTTGTGCTGATGTTGTTACATCTGCTGGAGAAGATGCATCTCCTTCACCTATTTTAATAATTAAGGCATTTTTTTGGAATTTACCCTCTTTAGAATGAGAAACAACTTCTTCAGCTTTATCTCTAACAAAAGGCAACAAAAAAAGCATTTCTTCAAAATGATGCCAACACCCAATAAAAGCATTTTCTGGTTGTTGTAATTGTTGTTGTTTAATTCGACGAACTTCTTTTTTAAATCTGTCACGTAAAGTTTTCCATCTTGTTCTAACAAATTCAAGAGGTTGACAAGAATGGGAAGAAACTTCATCCCAATTTCTATTCCGTGCTTCAATACTTTTATATTCATCACAAGTAAAATCAAAAAGTGCTGGATGTTGACTTATTTCCTTTAATACAAAGAATTATTGTTTAACTATAAGGAAGACCCGCCCCTCCAAACTTTAACCAAAATAATATAATATTTTTGAATTTAACGAATTTTCTTTAATTTTTTCAATAATCTATTAGAGAGAGATTACTGATGTGCTCTTAACTTTATATAAAATTTCAATAAATTTAAACACCTTTATTAATTGTGAATTAAACATTTTATCAACAGGTTGTTCACCACTAGGTGGCGGTCCTTTCATCCCTAACTGAGCTGCCATTAAAATATTATTTTTCTGTGTTGTTTTTGAAGGGACAGAATTTTCTTCAGAAATATTCTTTAAAAAATTAGTTAAAAATATTTATTATTAAATTTACTAATCACCGAAAATTCATAAAATTGGTCATTTGGAGAGATAGCCATTATTGTAGCAGTAATTGTAGTATTACTCCCCTCTCTTTCTCCTTCAACAATTTCTTGTTTCATTGCCTTTTTTTGGATTTTCTCAGTTTCTTCAATTTCTTCATCAAATACTTCATCTTCTTTATTTATCCATCTTCCACAACTACGACGCTTCATTTTAATAATAATTTATTTTTAAGAATATTAAATTTTTAAAATAAAATTTATTAAAAATTAAGGGTAAGCTTTTGTTAAATGATATATACAAAATATATTGGAGAAATTAAAAAAATATATATATTGGGAGAAATTGTATTAATATTTAGAAGTTGGAAAGAAGTATGCATGTTAGAGCGTTTTATAAGAAATAAATATGTAAGTTTCTGCGCATTCCGCAAAAATTGTTTGATTTGAAGCATTCCAAGTAAAAAATCAAAGACGGGTGAGCGGAGATCAAGCGGACATAGAAAAGAAGAGCAAAAAACTTTATCGCCGCGCAGGACCTTTATAATATTATAAGAGCTCTACGGAAGTTTATATATGTATGTAAAAGATCAACGTATAAATTTAATTTTAAATTAATTAAGCATAAATATTGAATGTAAAAATAAATATTTGGCATAAAAATAAAAAATATTTTCTCTTCAATTAAATAAAACACGGTTTATATGTCACAGTTTCCATATGAGCGGAGACGGACGGTTGGGAAATATAGCGCCTAAGCGCATCGATTAGTTGCGCCCCGCTAGCGTAAATTCTCTCTGCTATACTATTTTTTAATGTTGGTTAGGGCGGCTGCCCTTCCGCTCAACAGCAAGCAAAATAGCAGGCTAACCAACCGCTCGCCTCTACACACAAAAAACTGTCTTTATACACGATATAAAATATTTTCCAAAATATCAACAAACAAAATACTATGTAGAATTTTTTAAAATTTTATTTTTCAAATTAATAGTAAGTACATTCAAATTAGTTAAATATCAATTTTTATTTAATTTTTATTAAATTTGTTTAGTTGTAGTTTCAACAATATCTGTTATATTCTGAGGAAGAACAATTGGTTCTGGTTCAGGGACGCCTCTCTTAACAGGATTAAAATTGAATCCCGGAGCAAAAACATAATAAGCACCCGGAGATGTAAATTGCTAAAATAAATAATTTAATTAATTTTAAATAAAAATAAATACAGAATTGATCAATTCCACAAATGAGAATGCCAATATTGTGGAGAACAATAAATATATACTAGAAAAATAATTTATTATTTTTAAATTTATTTAATTATTACCTTAAATGATTAATATTTTTATTAATTAAAGCCATTTTTAAAGAATAAGTGAATTCTCTTTCTAAGACTGATACAAGATAAAAGAAAGTTGCAAGTATTTATATATACAAAATTCCATACAAATAATTTAGAAACAAAACAAATATTAAAGGATATATTGGCAAACATTTATTTATTTTTTATATACTAAATACTAGTCCAGACAAAGAAAAAAAAGTAAAAACAATTATCAACAAAAGTATAATATAATAATATTTACTTAGCTTTTGACTTGCAACTTGACATTTATATTTATTTATTTATTTCTTTTTTATTCCAAAAAATAAAAGAGTAAATAATAAAAATCTAGTTTTTATATTAAAAATAATTCCAAGAAAATATAATTATTATAATTTATTTATCAATACTCGTTCCCCCTCCAATAGTTTTTTGTGTTGCTAAAACCATTCTACCACCACCAATTGGAATTGCTCGTTTCAAAGCAGAATTAGGTAAATGTATAGTAACACCATTATCCCATTTAACTAAAACACAAGTTTGGCCTAATAACTTTAAATATAGATATTAGGGAGTTTTTTCTAATTTTCTTCTACTTTTTCCACCCGTCCACACATCTGTCCCATATGATGTCCCAAAGCACTCCAATCATCTACATTAAACTAAAAATAATTTTATAAAATTTAAAGAAAAATTAAATATTATACAGAATAAATGTTTGAACATTTTGGATCAAAATCAGCTTCACAAGCAATACATTTTGCACAGAAAAAGCTAAATAATTAAATTTAAAAATAATTATTCTTCTTCAATTAATTACCACCTATTCCTCTCATATGTAAAAGGAATAATTAAAGAACGGTCAATTACAGATTTAAGAAAAATCTTCCAATAATGCTTTGAAAAATAATTTATTTATTTTTAATCACAATTATTTTACAGGAATAGCATCTTTCCTCCAATGAACACAATCCTTTACTGCTAAAGGCTCTTGCATAGAACGACATAAATTAGCCATTTCGCTTATACCAAAATACTTTAATTTTTTTTAATTAATTAAAATTTATTTTTTTCAAAAAATACTTGTGCTTCTTTCTCTAACATTTCAAAAAGTTCATCTCCCTCATTATCTCCATTAGCAATATATCCATTACGTAAATAATTAAGTACATAATCAAATCTTTTAATTAAAACAAAAATTATTATTTTTCCTTTTTTACCTAGAACCATCTCTATCAATAAAAATTTCAATTGGAGAATTACCCTTTACTAATTCACATTCCTCCACCAAATGTGTCAATCTTTTAATTTAAATAAATTAAAATTATTTTTTAAATTATGTAATTACCGAGTGTTGGGAATTCTTTTTATTGTCTAATATTTAAATTAAAAAAATTATTTATGGCAAAATACAAAATTAATTTTAACCTGAGAACTAGTTTCAAAACATTTGCCTTTTTGAGAGAAAAATTAAAGTATAATAGAATTAATTAATTAATATATATTTACCTCCAATATTAAATACAATTCTCGAAGAATTATTATTATTATTTTCCATTTAAGAGGAATAATTTCCGTTACTTTCTTTTATTTATTTTTTTCTTTAAAATAAAAGAAAATGAAATAAGAGAAACTTTAAATTCTCTTCTTATTTATTACTATGGTGACAATTTAAAAGGAAATATAAATAAATAAATAATTATTTTTCTGGGAATCTAAAGGAGAATGCTAATTAATTAGAAGGAGGATTTTCTTACTGGAAATCTTTATTTTAAAATTTTTTAATTAACAAAAAATAAAATTAATCAAAATTTCTCAGAATTAATCAATTTTCAGTCTTTTATTCTTATAATTAAAAATTCAAGTGTTTGAGGAGTAAAGGCGATTTGGGGAGATGAAGATCATTGTTTCATAAAAGGTGCATCTTTTAAATTTTTAAGAGTGGGGATTACCTAATAGTGGTGGGAATTACCTATTTCTGCTTAAGTCTCTACCTAAAGTGGGGATTACCTATTTCTATCCTATATTCTGGTGGAAAATTTATTGTGATCGCTGATAAGAAAGTTGAAAAATATAAGCCCCGCCTCTAATATAAAACAATCCGAGGAGACCAATTGAAAAATATAAGTCCATGGCTTTTATTAGAGTATTTACGATAAATACTCTAAATACAGGGTGCGGCAAATTGGCGGCCGCTTTTCTTTTTGCTATAACTTTTTTAATCATTAAATAACTCTATGTAATAATTAATTATAGACAGAGAAAAACATTTTTCCTCTTTTAACATTAATCAAAATCAATCGGCGCTCTCAAAGGGTAAAAGCATATAGCCTTTAAATTTTTTTATCCTCATTAAATAATTTTTTTATTTCATAATTCTATAATATAAAAAATATTAATTAATTAATTAAACAAAAAATTCAAAATAATTTTTTACAAATAAAAATGTCTAGAGTAAATTAAGATATATGAAATATATTTTTAATAAGGATTAGTTAATTTTAAAAAATATATTTTATAAAATATAAAAATATTTTAAAGCTTAATTATTGTCTGATATCTATTTACATATACTGAAAGTTTTTACTAGTTCCAAACCATTTTAGCAATTTTAGGAATATTTTTAATTTTAATTTGAATATAAATTTTATTTATTTACTTATTTTAGATTTATTTACAACCTTTAAATTTAATTTTCTTTGTTAAATAAACAATAAATACCTAGTGTATATAAATATATTTATTTAAAAATTAAACTTATCCAAATAAAATGCAAATATTTTTCATTCCAATTATTTTCAAAACAAATTATTTATCTTCCTTATTAATTCAATTATTATGAAATTTTATAAATATTTTAATTATATTTTTATTTTAATTTTATTTTTATTTCTTCCAATTAAACAAATATTTTCCTTAAATAAATTAATAATTAATAATTCCTTAAATTATTCAAATAATTTGGAAAGAAATAAACGGGAAATAATTTCTGGAATGGTTTTAATGGGTATGGGAGTAGCTGCACATAAAAGTGGAATTTTTAAGAAAGTTGGAAACTTGGGGAAAAAAGTTGGAAATTCTTTAAATAAAAAATTAAATAGTAAAGGTTATTTTAAATTTTATAAATAAATTTTCTAAAAATAAAAATAGGAAAGAATCAATCAATTCTAAAAAATCCATTTAAAATAGTTGGCAAAGCAGGCAGAGATTTTGGAAATTTTTTGAGAAGTAAATTGAATGGAGGTAAAAAATTAATTAAAAATATTAATTAAAATAAAGAGAAAAAAACTTTGTATTATTTATTTATTTTCTCTAAAATAATTACTTTCTAAAAATAATTTAAAAAATAATAATCGGTCATTATTTTAGAGAAAATAAAGTATTTATAATTTTTTTAAAAGGAAAAATAATTAAAAAGAATCCTTATAAAATTGTTGGCAAAGCAGGAAATTCTTTTGGAAATTATTTAAAAAAGAAATTAAATACAAAAAATAAAGGTATTTTTAATTATATAAAAAATTAAAAAATAATTTTTTTAAGTAAAATTAAATAAAAATTCAAAAATTAAAAATATTCCAAATAATTTGAAAAATAAAGGAAAAAATAATAAAAAAATTTTGAAGGAGAAAAATAAAAAAATATTAAATAAAAAAGAAAAGAAAAATAAAAATATTTTAAATAATTCAATTAAAAAACAAAATTCAAAACCTCACAAAATAATTAAAAAAGGTTATTTAATTAATTAATATGTATATAAATATTTTAATTAAATTCATTTTAGACAAAAAACATTTTAAAGAAAAACAAAAAAATCCTTTAATTGTTGACAGTGAAAGAGATCAATCGGTTGTTGCTAGTAATGAAGAATTTAATGAAGATTTAGCAAAATTAAATAAATATTTAACAAGTCCAAGTAAACAACCCCTGTCTGAACATTTTAATAATTTAAATAAACAAAAACGTTTTTATTCCATCCCTTCTCCAAAAATAAAACATTCAAAAAGTGTTCCAGTTAGATTAAAAACAAAAATTAAGTCAAAAGAAAAAAATAAAAATTTTGGACATTTTGATGATGAAGTGGAAGAAGAAGAATTAGAAGAAGAAGGAGAAAAAGAAGATAATTCTGTGGAAATCGAAGAAAATTTTGAGGAAAACTTTAAAGAAATACCTAAAATACAAAAAATAAATAAAAATAGATTTAAAACAAATTCAGAAAATAATAATAAATATTTAAATTTAAATTCAAATGAGAATAGCCAAATGACTGAAAATCATGAAAATAATTTAGGGAGAATTAAAACAGAAAAAGTTAAAACAAGAAATAAAACATTCAATAAAAATTATAGTAATAATAGTGAGAGTAATGAGGATTCTGATAATAATGATGGTTATTTTGGAAGTAAAGAAGATTTAAATGAGGAGGAATTTGGAGTTGATGAAGATAACATTGATGGTGATCATTTAAATAATAATGATTTTGAAGAAGAAAGTTTGGAAGAAGAAGAGAGGGTTGAAAATGATTATTTAGATAGATTTGGAGAAGATCATTTAGACAACAATTATTTTGATGATAGAAAAATAACAAAAAATATACTAAATTCATTTGAAAATAAACATTTTAATTCAGAAGAGGAAGAAAATAAAAATAATTATTTTGATGGGTCAGAAAAACTCAATAAAACCCCCTCCAAATTTCATTCAAAATCCATAATAAATAATAAAATTAAACAAAATCAAAATAACAAAAATATTAAAAATGCAAAAAGTTTAGAAAATTTAAATAAAATTAATAGACATTTTTCTATGTTACCAACAAAGAGGAGAAATAATTTAAGAACGGGGACATCTTTATTTAAAAGAAATTCTTCAAAAGAATCGAGTAAATCAGAAGAGATTTTGACAGATAATTCAAAAGAATATTTTGAAGAAGAAAATAAAAAAGGTAAATTTAAAATACTTTTAAAAATAAATTAATATTTTAAAGAAAAAAGAATTAAAAGTTTAACAAACCACACTAATTGGTTTGATGGGGAAGTAGATGATAATGATTATTCAGAATTTGAAGAGGAAATAGAGGAGACTATGGAAGAAGAAGAAGAAAATAATTTGGATGAAGTTGAAGAAGAATTGAGGAAACAATTTTTGTGGCCAAATAGAAAATTAAAAAGTTTTTATTTATTTAAAAATAATAATCAAAATAATTTTTATTTTTAAAATAGATAATTATAATCAAATAAATCCACAAAAGGGAGGGGAACAATTTAGCAGTGAAGAAGAATGGGATCAGTCATCAAATGAATATTTTCCTTCTCATTCTTCTGAATGGCCTTACGAAAAAGAAAATAAAAATAATTATAATTATGATAATGAACCTTCCTTTGAGGAATACGAAAATTTGTCAGAAAATAATTATTATTCTCCAGAAAGGAAAAGAGAAAAAGTTCATAAAAGGTATAGGCTTTAATTAATTAATTACTCTTATATATTTTAAATAATTTAAGTGAGGGATTGGGAAATAAAAATAAATTAAATTTAAATCATCGGACAAAAGAATATCATCACCACCAACCAAATAACATCCATCAACAACCTCATTCACATCATTATGGAGAAAGAAATAAAGATGAACAGTTGAAGAAAAATGAATATTTTAAAAATAATTTATTACCAAAATATAATAATCCAAATAATCATAAATATCAGAATGAAGAAAAAAGTAAAAATATTACAAGGGAAATGTCAGAAATTAAAAACAAAAATTCAGAATTGTCTGACGAAAATAAAAATAAACATAATAACAATAATAATAATTTACAAAAAAATTTTACTAATAAAGAGGAACATATTAAAAATAAAAATAATCAAAAATATTCTTCACATTTAAAACAGAAAACAAATAATTTTGAAAATAAAAATAACCACTTTAATGAAAATAATTTTTATAAAAATTTAAATGAAAGGAAAAATGAAAATATTAATAATATTTCTTCTGACAAGCAAAATAATTATTTAAATAAAAATATTGAGGTAAAAGATTAAAAAAATATTTTTGAATTATTTTTAAAATCTAGCCTAAAGAAAATAATAATCATTTTGATTGGCGTTCATTGGGTTATAATAATAATAATTCCTCTAAAAAGGAGTTAGCTAAAAAGCATTTAATTGAAGCACAAGAAACATTAAATAAAGCAACTAAACAAATAGAAAATGCAATGAATTATTTGGAAAGTAAAGAAGAAAAAGAGGAGAAAAATAATAATATTTTAAATAAAAATAATTTAAAAAATATTTATGAAAATAATGAAAATATGTAAGTATTAATTAATTAAAAATAAATATTAATTATTAATTAATATTAGATTAATTAATCAAAATAAATATCCAAATAAAATACCACCAAAAACTCCAACAAAGCAAAACCAAACAATTAATTCTTTGCTTGATAGTGGAAATAAACAAAACAAATCTCCTCAATTAAAATTTATGCCCAGACTTGTAAATTCCCCATTAAAGACTAGTGTGCTTGGATAAAGAGAAAAGAAAGAGAGAGAGAATTCCTCCATTAAAAATATATACCTGAATTTTTTATTAAATTTATTCTTAAATTTATTCCTCAAAAATATTTGTAGTATTTTAACTATTTAAAGATGTATATATAATTCAATGGGTGGGGGCTAACTCAAGGAAATATACCTGAATTTTCCTCCATTGTAAATTCCCCTTCTTCAACAAGTCAAGGAAAAGACAGGTCAAGGAACGGCCAACTCATGGAATATTTTAAAAATCGGAATTTTTTGAAAAGGCAGAATATTTAAAAAAATAAAAATTTAAAACAAATTAGAATACTTCAAAAACAGAATTTAAAAAAAATTCTGAAAAATTCAGATTTTTCAAAAATTTCGATTTTTTATTCCATGAGTTGGTCATGACTTGACTTGTCGTTCCCTGAGTTAGCCCGACACGAAATTTAATGATGTTGTTTTTATTATAAAACATTTTATTAAACAAATAATTATCTAATTTAGATTTTAAAAATAAATAAATGGAATGTTAATATTTAATAATTAATATTTAAATAAAGAGAATAATGGCACTTTTTAAAAATTAAAAAAATTTTCTTTTTTGTTTTTAAATAAGCCAATTTTTAGGTAAAATTCCAATTATTGTAGGTAATAAAATAACGCTATTAAATGTTGTTAACAAAATTGTTAATAAAAGAAGACTTGATTGTAATTTGAAAAATGGAATTTGTGAAAATAAAATGGAAGGTAATGATAATGATAACCAAATTGGCAATATCTGAAAAGAAAATATTTTTTAAATAAAAATCTCCTTCTCTCTCTCCAAAAGATATATTTTTTTAAATTTTTTACTTTAATTAATAAATTAATTGTTTGTTTTAAAGCTGTAATTATTTTATTTTCATCGTCCCAATAAAATAATAAATCACAAAAAATAAATAGATCTGTAGATAAATTAGCTCCAAAAATAGCTATTAAAATAATTGCTGGCGTTGTTATAAAATCAATTTGAAAATTAAATAAAATTTTGGAAAATCCAAAAATCACTAGAAAATAAAAATATTTAAATAATTAATTAAAAAGGAATTACTTGAAAATAAAGAAATTGTTGAAATAATAGAAATAATTGTTAAAATAAAATTCCAATTCATAATTAAAATAATACAAATAATTAAAGAAATAAATAAAAATAATAATAATCTTTAAGATTTAAATTAAAAAATAATTTTGAAAATTACCTAAAAATAATTATTTCAATTAAATTCATTAAATCTGTAGTTTTTAAATCAGTGTCAAATATATTTATTTTAAATTGTGGATATCGTTTAGCAACAGAACGGCATTCATTAATTAATTTTCTTTTACCAGATAAACCTTTTGTATTTCCATAAGCAAATAAAATTAACATTTTATTAATTATTACAGAACTTTTTTGAAAAAATAATTTATTTAAATATTAATTAGTACCTTTTATTTTTATTTTCATCAAAAAATATTTTATAACGAACTCCACTTTTCCAAGCATTATATGGGAAGTTATTAATAAATGAGTCAAATTTAGACATATTTACAAAATTAATTTTAATATTTTGTAAAATATTTTCGTTAAATTTGTCTTTATAATAATCAAAAAGCCAGGACATATGCGCGGAAGGCTGTAGAGTTTGATTTAATGAAGTAGCTTCATGAAGGAATTCCTTTAAAAATATTTATTTTCCCCTGCACGAATAAATTTTTTTCTTTAAATTGTTTTAATTAATTTTTTTCGAAAAATGGGATATAATAATTGTAAATAAAAATTTGGGAAGTTAATTAATAAATTTGAAAAAATATTGTGAAAAGGAATAATACATAAAGGGATGAGAACTTGAATGGACCAAAGAAAGTGATCGTTTATTAACGAGGTATAGGTAATATAAATTGAATTTAAGAGAGAGATAATTTTTAAATTAAATTTATTTTTAAATTAATTTTTACTTTAAATTCTCCAAATTGTTCAGAATCTTCAAAATTAGGTGGTTTTTGTATAATAGACAAAATTTGTAAAAAATCATTCCAAATTAAATCCATAATATCAAAACCTTTAATTGCTTTAGATTCTTTAGGTAATATTTCTCTATAATCCATATTATTTTGAATTGAATGAATTCCTTTCCAAAAAGACAAAAATAAAAATAAAATTGTTATTAGTAAAATAAAACAACGTCCATTAATTGAATTAATTAAAAAATTTGAAAATATTTTTTCTCCATTAACAAATATTTTTGTTGAATTTTTAAATAATTTTAATTTATTTTTATTTAATTTATTTTCTTTTTTAGAACGTAATTGTTGAATTGTTGGCGGCAATAAATTATTTTTAGTATTTATTTCTTTTGAATTTAAATTAAATAAAGAATAAGGACTATTCTCTAAAAGGGAATGTTCAACCTTAAAAAAATATTTTTTTGGAATTTTCTTAATTAAAAATTTATTACGGAATGATGACAATAATAAGCCAATAAAGGAGAAAAAAATAATAATTTAAATAAAAAACAATAAATAAATAAAAGGGTTATTGCCAAAAATAAAGATTTGTAGTTTAATGCTGTTAATGTTAAGGAAAGAATTGAAAATGCTGAAATTGGCCAAAGAGAAGAGTAGAACATTGAAGGGCAAATCTAAATAGGTAGATTTTAATTTAAAAAATTAATATTTAAGAGAAAACTTTTTCAAAAACTTTAGCCAATCTTTCATTAGAAGAATATTGCCTTTCTTTGGATTCATTTAACAATTTACACCAAATATCTCCCAATTGGAAAGTACCATGAGCAACTTAAAATAATTAATTTATATTTTATATTTTAAATATAAATAACCAACTATTTAAAATAGTTAATCCAATTAAAGGAGTACTAAAATGTAATAAATTAATTGGAAATCCAAATAAAGAAATTCCTCCAAAAACAGCCAATAAAATTAAAATAATAGAGGGAATACACAATAAAGAAATTAATGTTCTATTTAAAGTAAATTGTGAATAAATATATCCAGATATTGAATGGATTAAAATAAAAAAGAATATTGAAATTAAAAATGCTGAAAAAAATAAAAAAATATTTAAATTAAATTAAAAATCCAAACTAACAAATAACGGCAATCTTTCCATCATTTATTATTCCCCTTTCAATTTCTTTTTGTACAACATTAGATCCATGAACAATAATTTTTATATTATTTTTATTTAAATTATTAAATATTTCAGCTTCTTCTGCAACTTTTTCTTCAAATTTATTTAAAAACAATTTTGTTGAATTATCATTAATAAATGTGCTAAAATATAAGGCAATCATTGTAGCATTAATTATTTCTCCTTTTTCATTAATTGAACGATTAAATATATGCTTTTAATTTTTAAAATTTATTAAAAATAAGTTTTTTAATTTTTTAATATTTTATTTCCTCAATTAATTCTCCGAAGAATTATTTTTTTTTAATTTAACCCAGGGCTGGAAAAAAAGTTCAAGATGAGGAATTAATTTAAAGTATACGTATTTACTCCATTAATTCTCCTCTCTCGAATAATTCCACCTGCTACGGATGAGTTGAAACAATAATCCCCCTCCCACAAATACCCTACTACACGTTCAAATTTCAAATCTCGAATAATTCCCCTCCCTTGAATAATTCCCCATGCCACGGATGGGTTGAAAAAACAATTTCCCAGGGGAATTAATCGACTAAATACGGTATATAAATATATACTTACTTTACCAATATTAACATCATAACCAAGAACTTTACTAATTGGATAACTAAATTTAACTTGACCTAAAGAAGATAGCCACGAAGTAGAATATTCCTTTTAAAAGAAAATTTAGAAAAAAAATATTTAAAAATTAAAAAAACCATTAATTTAAGAAATTGATCATTAATATCACAAAAAGGATTACAAATTTGTGAGTAAGTTAAATTTCTTTAAAAATTATTTTTAAAAAATCTTTTAAAAATTAAATTACTTAAAATCCTTAATTGTCAAGTTATTAAAAATTTTTTGATAAAAAGAGTTAAATTCTTTATAGTTAGACTCTTCCAACATATTCCCCCCTTTATCTCCATTTATTTCATTATTTGCAATACCAAACAAAGCCATATACCATTCTTTTGATTTTTCCTTTAAAAAATTCTTTTTTTTTTTAAAATTCTTTTATTTAAATTACTGTTTCTCCAAAAAAATATTTTTGTGCCAACAATTCTTTTTTTGAAGGAGAATTAAAAGATACAAATCCATCATTTAAGGAAAGTTCTGGTTTTACTCCAAAAAATATTCCAAAAATCAAAGGTAATAAAGTTGTTAAAATAAATATTAGAATACTCGTAAATGGATATTTCCCGATATTTAAACCAATTTTAGAAAAAATATTGGCTAACCAAAGACGAGGCATTTTAATAAAATTAAAAAAAGCTTTGTTAAATTTAGTCTTAGAAAATATAAAATGAATTTTAAATTATTTTTTAGGATAACAAAAAATGATTCAAAAAAAATAATTTTTTAAATAATAATTTATTTATGTATCTCCTAAAAATAAAGAAAAAATATAAACAAATGTTTATTGAGAAATAAAAAAAGAATTAAAGTGTAAATGAATGAATAAAATATTTTTATTTATTTTTAACTTTTTCTTGAATGACTTTGCTTTAACTGAAATAGTTAAAGAAAGTACACGTTAACTGATTCTTGAGTTTATTTTTATATATAAATCGATTTTTATTAAGGAATTATTTTTAAAAAAAATAAGGAATTATTTGGGAGTAAAGAAAATATTTTGAATTTAATATATTTAAATAATTTTATTTTATTTTTTAGTTAAAAGAGGTTGTCAAAAATAATTTTTGGGGGAAATAAATATTCGAGAAAATATAAAATTATAATGAAAATGGCAGAGCCACTTTTCCATATCAGAAAGTGTATGGAGAGGAAAAATAAATAAAAAAGAAATTGAAAAAAATTGTTATCAAATAAATTAATTTATTAAAAATAATTTTTTAATTTAAGAAGAATGCTCTTTGAATCAAAAATATTAAGAAGGTACTCTAATTTTTGCTTGATTAGTTTACTTTTGCTGAATCAAAATTTAATTTCTTTAATAAAAAAATTCTATGTAAATAAAATTATTCCTTATTTAATTTTTTGAAAATAATTTATTTTTAAAATAAAAACTTTAATTAAAAATTATTTTTTTGACTAAAAAATGTTTTAAATATTCTAAACTTTCTTCATTTATTTTTAAAAATGAGTTAAGCTCTCAAATTGGTTACATATTTATAGGTTTGGCTTTTTATTTATGGACTAAAAAATTAAAGTTCACTTAAAAAAGTCCTCCATTTTCCACCAAAAAATTGATAATTCTCTTAAATTACTTTTAGCTTATCTTTTATATTTTTATCAAAATAATGTATTAATTATTTTGTGGAAAAATAAATAGACAGATATTTTTAAATAAATAATTAAAAAACTAGACAAATAAAATAACCTTAAATAAACCTTAAAATATTTTATTTCTTTATTTCATCCATCTTTTTTTCATTACCCCACGAGACTAACACATTTTTATATTTATTTTTTCGTTTAAAAATAAAGATGTGATTTCTGACTTTACTCAACTTTATATTATTTAAAATATTATTTTGGGATATTTTATTTAAAAGAATATATTTATGGCCCTGTTGCCAATTTAATATTAAATTAGTTTTGGAAATTAAAAGAGAAAAAGTTATAAACAATAAAAACATTTTTATCAATATTAACTCAATAATATTTAGAATAATTGATTTAATAATAAAATATAGAAGATTATAATTAAAGCAAGAAACACATTCTGTGCCCATAAATAATATATAAAATGTTCTTTAAATATTTACAAAAGAATTAAATATTTAATTTTAAATAATTTTAATTAATATATCCCTAAAAGTGTTCTAAATTTTTTGAAAAAATTTAATTTTAAATTTGTTGTTCCTGCGGTGGTTCATTTTGTGTTTGTGGTTTATCAGTTCCATTTTTTGATTGAATATTATTTAATCCGTCATTATAATCATTACTATCAGTAATTAGTAAAGGTTGAATTGTTGTTGTTGTTAAATTTAAATATTCTGAAGTATTTCCCATTAAATTATTTATAATAAAGGAAGTAGAATTGTCTAATAAATCTGTTGAATTTAATAATGTACTAGTATTGTTGTTACTAAAGTAATTATTAAATATTCCAGAATGTGGAGGAGGTTGATGGTTATGATATTTAAATTCTGAATGATCATTTGTGTTGCTACCCCCTCCATAATAATTGTTATATTCTCTCTTGACTTCCTTAAATTTTTTAAAATTAATTAAGATTTTTAATTAAGAATTATTTTGAAATTTAAATATTTGCTTTCGTTAAATCATCCTTAGGATTCAATTAAAGATTAAAGTTAATAATAAAGTGTGACCTAAAAAGTTTAGGACGAAGCACCCCTTAATTGGATAAAGAGTTGAAGGCGTGAGGAAAGATTTTGAGCAAAAGTTCGCTCCTCCTCTGGTGATTCCCGAACGGCTGATTGCCGAACTCGAAACTTTTGGCCCTCAAAAATACCAAAAGGAGTAATTCATAAGATTGAACTCCGATGAGTACAGTGGCCATATTTACTTTTTTGGAAAACTTTTTAGGTCATCCTTATTGTGCTCAAGTAAAGGATTGACTATATTTAACTTTAGATAATCTAAAAATTAATTAGTGTAAAAATATTTTTCTGAAATAATTTAGATTAAAAAAGTTCTAATAGAATTTTTGAAAATTATTAGAAATGACTAAATAACATTTTTAAATGTTTTTACAAATAATAATTTTTGTGTGGATAAAAAATAATTCTTCAAAAAGTTGAGAATTATTAGTAATAAAATTAAATTATTAATAATCTAAATATTATTTTTAGTCATAAAATGATATTTTAAGTTTTTAACATTAACATTTTATTTAATAATTTTTGCTAATTTAAATGTTAAATTAAATGTTAAATGTCAAAAATTTTAATATAAAATGACTGAAAAATCAGAATTAAACATATCAATTCAAAACAGTATTCAATAAAGAACTACAACAAAAAATGAAATCTTCTGTTATCTTTTCTTTTCTCTTGATTGCTTTGGTGGTTGTTCTTAGTGAGGGATTTAAACCAACGGTTAATTAAATTAATTAAATACACTTTTAAAAAATTAATTTCAGTCACCACCGGTTACAAGTACTAAAGAACCCGAAACAACCAAAAAGCCGTACAAGCCCAAACGGAATGCACCACCGGTCTACGCTCCTCCGACTTACGCACCACCTCCACCACCACCACCGCCTCCTCCACCACCAGTCTACGCACCTCCAACTTATGCTCCACCACCTCCTCCACCAGTCTACGCTCCTCCAACTTATGCTCCTCCACCTCCTGTCTATGCTCCTCCAACCTATGCTCCTCCACCTCCTGTCTACGCTCCACCAACCTATGCTCCTCCTCCACCTCCACCACCACCAGTCTATGCTCCTCCAACTTATGCTCCTCCACCACCACCAACACCTCCACCAAAACCTTACTATCCTAAATACCTTTAATGGTGAGAAGAATGTGAACAAAAGAAAAGAAGATAAATGAAAGTATGTTAAATAATAATCCAAAGCAAATAATAATATTATCAAAATTTGTTATAAATTTGTTTTGAGAAAATAAATAAATAATTTAATTATTTAAATACCTCTTGTTGTTGTATATGTTTTCTGGCAAACTCTGTATGCATACGAACAAAGACGATTAAAAGAATAGAAGCTAAAAGTGAGGCTAAAACAATTGAAGCAATGCTCGAACGGCGACGGCGAATTAAAAGGAATGGCTCATTTCTTTTACAATTAGGATCAGATGGTGAAGATGAGGAAGAAATGTAGTAAAAAACTGTATCTTTAGAAAATATTTTTTAATCATTACAAAAACTAATTTGTCAACAAAAATTAACAAATTATTTAAAAATTTCTGGTACATAATTTAAAATGTAAAATAAATTTCTTACCCCCATTAGCAGGAAGTGTCGTGTGAATGGCATGAAATTCCCTTCCTGAATTGTTTCCTGAAGATCTACCACCATCTTGCTGCCCATGAACAAAATAACGTACTCCTATAGGTTGACAACCAATTTGTTGTTGTTCATTATATGGCGGTGGACCTAAATTATTAAAAATTTATTCTTTATATTTATTATTTATTAAATTGCCTCCAACATTTCCAGATGAAACTCCATTAGTTTGCGAATAAACAGGTGGTAATGGAGTTGAAGGTAAATTATTACCTCTAGCAACCTCATTTGGATGATGTTCAATAATTGGATAAAGATGGCCGTCAATTGGAGGTGGGGGAACGGGAACTGTATAATCGCGGCCGCATTCTTCCGATTTTCTCATTTTAATTTATGAGTAAACTTTAAACAAAAAAAACTTGTAAATGTCAATTAAATCTTAATAATTTTAAAAATTAGTCAAAAAATAATTTTTAATAAAATTATTAATTCATGTTCTACATTCAAGAGAATAAAATAATTGAATGAAAATAACGGTAATAGAGAAAACTTTTACTTGATATTAAGATTTAAACGTGATATACCTAAATGTGAAAGGAATGGACACCGAGAATGGGAAAACGCCTTAAACGAACACTTAAGATATAATATAATATATTGTTTAACGAACAAATTATTGTTGGTTGCCGTGGAGAATAAAATTGGCATTCTTTGAAATAAATTATAATGAGAATTTTTAAAAGATGTAAAATTTAAGAAAATAAATTAAAGAATAACGAACAAAGGTATCTAATAAAAGTTAACATTTTTTAAATTTTGTGGGATAGAAAATCAATCAAAATTTGCATTAGATTTTAATGTAAACTAACTTAGGTTTAAAAAGTTCACGTGAAATTCACGCAAACTTGCGCACTTTATCTAATTTTGAATAACTGAAAATAATTGTTTAAACTAAACATAAAGATAAATAATGTTCTAATAAAATATTTGAAGCACACTCCCTAAGAGAGAATCAAAAAATAGAAGCACATGTGGAAGCACATTGTAAAAAAAGTTTAATTTAAAAAAATTTTCAACATATAAGCACACTACAAAAATATAATTTAAAAAATTGTTCTCACTCTAATTTCTTATATTTCTTACCCGCGTATTTTTTATCACCGCATGTGAAAATTTTAAGGTTAAGCTTAATTTTTTAAGTTAATTTATAAGTACATACTTATAAATAAGTACAAGGTCTAATTGTAGGTACTTTACTTTCAAAATAATTATGAATGAGAGCTCAGGATTAGTGTAAAGAATTGTGTATCGTGTTTTAAATGTAATAATTTTTAAATACAACTTTTTTGCCATTTTTGTTATTCTATATTTAATAAAGACAGAAAATCCTTTATTTTATCTTTCTCTGTTTCTTGCAAGGCTATACACAGAGAAACGTGGAAAAAATTTTTGCGGTTGAATTTTTTTATTTTTATTTTTTGTTTGTTTGTACATTATTTTCTTCAAAATTTAAACTTTTTTTATTTTTGCAGGGAAGGTTTTTTAAAATGGGGTCTGATCTAAAGAATGGTTACCTATCCAATCATGATCACCTTCCTCCACCAGTTAAACTCCTAAATTTTGATATTAGTTCATGGTCGAAACTCCCACAATTTTTGGCTATTTCTTTGGCTGTATTTTTCTTTTACCTTATTTATGGGTATATGCAGGTATTTTTAAATTAAAAATATTTTAAAAATTATTCTTTTTTTTAGGAATTAATATTTCGACTTCCCGGAATGCAACCCTTCGGCTGGTACCTTACTTTAATTCAATTTATTATTTATAGTGTCCTCTCATATTCTGAAATGTATTTTATTGTTGGGAATGTTAGTAGAAGGTTTTCTGTTTTTTAAAAGAAATTATTTTTATATTTAATTTCAGAATTCCCTGGAAAGTTTATTTTCAAATTTCTTTTTACACAGTTGCCACTATGGGGCTTTCAAATGCTTCTGTCGGTTATTTGTAAGTTTTTTTTAATTTTATAAAAAATTTCATTTTTAAAGGAATTACCCTACCCAAGTTATTTTTAAATGTTGTAAACTTGTTCCTGTTTTAATTGGCGGAATTTTAATTCAAGGAAAGAAATATGGAATTATTGATTTATTGGCAGCCATTTTAATGAGTTTTGGCTTAGCTTTATTTACTTTAGCTGACAGTAAAGTATCTCCAAATTTTAATTCAAAAGGTTATTTAATGATTTCATTAGCATTGGTTGCTGATGCAATTATTGGAAATGTTCAAGAAAAAGCAATGAAAACTTTTAATGCTTCGAATGAGGAAGTGGTTAGGGGATTTTTGGAAAAATAAAATAAATATTTTTTTAAAAAAGGTTTTGTATTCTTACTCAATTGGAACTTGCTTTATTTTTATTGGCCTTTTATTTACTGGACAATTACCTAGTTCTTTTTATTTTTTTGCTAAGGTTTTTTTTAAATATTTAGAAATATATTTTTAAAAAAATTTGGAAGAAAGGGAAAGTTAAAAAATTTGGAGAGAAATTTTTAAAAAATCATTGGAAAAATAATAATTCTCTGAAATGATGAACAAATGATTAATAAATTTAAAAATAAATATTAACAAAAATATTTTTAAAATTTTTGTTTTGTCATAATTTTATTTTTTCTTTTAAATATTTTTTAGCATCCTGCAGAAACTTATGGTTATACTTTAATTTTGGGAATTGTTGGGTATTTTGGTGTTAATCTAGTTCTTACATTAGTCAGAATTTCTGGTGCTCTTGTTGCTGTTACTGTAAATTAATTTTTTTTTAATTTTTAAAATTTTCTTAAATTTTCAGATAACAACAATGCGTAAAGCAATAACTATTATTTTTTCTTTTTATTTATTTTCAAAACCATTTACTCAACAATATATTTGGTCAGGCCTTATTGTTTTATTAGCAATTTATTTAAATATTTATAACAAAAATAAGCAATCATTTGATTCTTTTTTTGAAAATATTTTGACAAAATTTAAATTTAATTTGAAAAAATATTTATCTAAAAATGATGAAAAGAAGGAAATATTTTTGGAAGTTTAAATTAAAATAAAAATACTCTTAATTAATTTGCAATAAATATTTTTTTTTGTTTTTTTTACCTCATTTGCTTTCTCTTTTTTCTTTCTTTTTGACTTTCATTAAAATTCTTTTCTTTTTAAAATTGTTTGATATTTCTAATAATTTCTTTTTAAATCTTGTGCGATTTAATTTGTGATAATAATTTATTTCTATGCATAATTAATAAATATTGATTAAATTAGTATTTTAGATTTTTAGTTATTATTTGAAGTATTTAATAGTACTAAAAATCCTTAAAGAGTATTAGATAAAATGAGTTTTTTTGCTAGAATTTAGTATTTAGGCATCGACAAATTTTAAGCAGACATCAACAAATTTTAAAGGAGGCGAAAAGCAGAAATTCCAAGTTCCTACTATTTCAATTTTCTAGTAGTGAAGTTTCGGTTTAAGTCCAGCTTTTTTCTTTTTGTCATTTTCCCTTATCAATACAGCATGTTTTTCTTTTCCTACTTAAAAATAAAAATAATAAATCTCTAACTACAAATGATAAATTTTGGATAACATTCTCGAATAGATTTCTAAATATCGGGCGGATAATAACTTTTAATTGGATTATAAAGAAGGAACAAAAGCCAATGAAAATTATAAACAGATTTCTCACTCAATTTCAAGATTGGAGAATGTGGGAAATGTTTAAGATGATGAAATAATATTTACATTTATGCATCACCTTGACAACCAAATAACTATTTCTTTATGATAAATTTATAAAACTTAATCTTTGATTAGGGAACTTATGGAAATATCTAGAATGGTAAGTCTGATGAGTTTTTATTTGTTTATTTATTAAAATTGTTCTATTAGTTGGGACAAAGTTTTCAAAGTTTAATTATTAAATTTAGCGATCTTCATTGCCTTTGGAAATTTTGTTATATTTTAATGCAAGATATTCAACAATATTCTATATATTTCTTATAAGCGTTTTTGTTTATAAATGTAACCAATTTTAAATATTTTCATTTGGTTCTTTAAATTATTTTTCTTAGTTAGCTTAATGCCCTACTCCTTACATGTTGGAATATGTGAAAGTTTTATTGTTCTATTACTTGGACCAATTGATTTTATACGGATCCATTGGGGTATTTACTAAATAATGAAACAATTCTTAATAAAAGAAATGAAATTTTTTTTAAAATTTTCCAGCTCGACGCGGCAATTTAACAGAAACACAAGCATTTTTACTTCTTTCAATTTTGCTAAGTGTGGCATCAATAGTTGGGTGTGTTTACTTGCTGTATTTTCAAGCATATTTGATGTTTCCTGAACAAATCGCTATCTATGCCGAATTGGCATTAGTGATTATTGGGACAATTTTAGTGATTCCAACAAGCATTTTCTTGTATAATAAAAAATAAATTCATTTATTCTTTATCTATTTCAACAGAAAAATGTTTATTTAAATCCTAAAAATAAAAAATAATCCTTACACACATTTCAACTTCTTCCCTTTCCTTTATTGTCATCTTTTCAACTTCTCAAAGCTGAAGTTTCAGCTGATAGCCTGGTTTAATGCCAGTAGTTCGAACACGCTCTAACTTCTCTTTTTCAATATCCTCCAAGATTGAACCCAAATAACAGCTATCCCCGTCGTATGTAGTCCACTCGCTTTTAGGCAAACGTTCATGGTTCATGACCAAAAAACTTGCGCGTAAAATACGTTGTTGACGAAGATCATACTGACAATGAAAAAATTTTAATTTATATAATTGTTTCAGCAAGATAAAAATTAATACCCCATAAGGATCAGCTAGGCGATAACGACGGATTGCCTCAGTAACTTCTGGATCTGGCTCCCAAAATGCATCATGAATATGAAGACCTTCAATTTTAAAAATTAACATTAAATTTTAGTTCTGCGTCGAATTTATTAGAAATCTCTAATGTATTTTAATATTCAACTAACAGTAATATTAATATAAAACTAACCATATTGACGGCCTGACCAACCATAAGTATAAGCAAAACGTTCCCAAGCCTTTTTAAACTGTCCTATATATCCCGGACCAAAATATCCTTTAGCACCACGGAAAACATTAGCACTAGCAACTCCCATTTGAATTTTCTCTACAAAATTTTCTTAATCAAATAGATTAATATGTGAAATTAAAATAAATATAAACTGATTAAAGGATACAGAATCGATAAAAAATATTTTAGTATTTACATGTAAAATAACTTTATAAACGAAAAATATTTTTAGATTACAACCCAATTATTCGCAAGTTTTTGTAAGTATTAAAAACCAGCAGATCTCAAATTAACATAATTTGTTCAAAATAACTGAATAAGGCTAATTTTAGTCTCATTCAGATGGACTAGCATTCACACACTATTGTCCTGCAAATTAATGGGTTGGGAACCTAAACATATGTTGCTGACATGAAAATAATCACAGGGAGGAGAATGATAAAGAAAACGAGATATTTTAAATTAATGAGATTTATGAATAAAATATAAACTTTTTGGGAGTTTTTGTTAAAACAAAATTAAGGTCTATTTTTGTTGACTCCATTGTACCGCAAAATCTCCGCCTTCACAATTAGAATTCTCTTCAAACCATTTTACAGCATTTGGAATTGGGCTTGGAAAAGGTTCGCTTCCATTTGAAAGTCGTAACAACCGTTCACAGAGAGCACACTGCCCTTCAAAAAATAAATAATTTTAAAATTATTTTAAATAAATTATTAAAAAACCAAACCAAGTCTAAATCCTTCATGATTCCAAGCAATTGACCAACCCTTGGAACGCCATTCAAAATACTTCAGATACTGAACAGGGTTATCCATTAGCCAATTTAAATGTTCAGCCATTTGTTTTGGGGTTTTAAATTGATCCAATGCGATGAAAGAATTGTCCGGAAAACTAAAATAAACGAAAAATCTTATAAATAATTCTCTAGGTTTTTTGGCGCCCACATTTTCAAAAATGAATCTCTGAAAATTTTTCCTTGCTACGAGACAGATAACAGAATTAATTTTACCCTTGATAGATCGAAGCTTTCAAAACAATTGGCACAGAAGGAAAAGTGTATCTTTCCCAGAATTTTTCAGTAACATAATTATTGCAAATATCATTTTCCATAGCAATGTAGAAATAATAATTTGAATATAAATAACTACAATCTCTGTTCCTAGGACAAAAATTGCGATCCTCAGGTGTTTTTCCGCATTTTCCACCAATTTTTATATTAATATATCTAAAATAAGTTATTAAAAGAATATTGATTAAATATGTTTACTTTGATAGTGCTTCGACTGCAACTTCCCTTTTTGAGTTTGAATTACAGTTAGAGACCAACCAGAGGATTCCACGTTGTGTTTTATTGTGTAGAATGGTATTTTGATCAGATGGTAATTGTATTGGTTTAATTCCCAGTCTTGCAGTCTCCGCCGGAGGAAGCCAAAAACCACCATAAGGCATTGAAACATGAGCAGAGCGCAGATAGGTCATGGCCCAATGGAAAAAATTGTGAACTGAAATAATAATCTAATTTTAGATGAAGATAGAGTTAGTAAAAATATGAATGATTTTTTAAAAGTTGTCACTAACTGAACAATAACAATAGAAGGCTCGCAAAACCTCCAAGTCAAACAACTTTTATTATCACAAATATTAAAAAATATAAACAAACCATGTTTAGACAACGCTTCAGACATATACATTGTTCTGAGTGTTGTTGGATTTTCGTGCGATAGAAAAACATTTACTCTTTGTTCGTTTGCGGATTGATATGGTAGATCAGGCACTGTAGGTATACCTCTTGAGTAATTCCAACTAATGTCAGGAATATGGAAAACGACAGCTGAAGACTGAAAATGGGAAAGAAATATTTAAAAAATAATTAAGAAACCTTTGGAAGAAGAGAACGATTATATGTTAATTCACAAAGAGAAGCTAGAGGACAATCCGATTCTAGTTGCATTGTTTGTTGACGAAAGATATTAGTCCACATAAGAATTAATGGTTTAGAAATTGGTTCTTTTAGACGAGCTGGTTGTGAGTAGAGTTCTAAATAAGAAATTAAGTTAAAAAAAATAAATATAAAATTTAAAAAAAATTAAAAATAAACCAATATTTTGACGTTCAACTAGTTGTTGTGGGCGTGAAGAGAAAAATGAATAGAAAAAAGTGATAAAAATAAATATATTTATTAAAATTAAAGGCAGCAGAAATCGACCACGAAAAGAAGTAAAGAAGTTTCGATAACGCTTCATAATACTATACTAAGTGTAAAAACGAAGTTCAATAATTATACAAAAAGCTTTTGAAAAGCAAAAAAGATTGGCTAACCGGTCAAACTGAACAGGGAAGGGCGTAAGGAATAATTTCAAAAAAACGCAAAACGCATGGCCAAAAATCTAAACAAAGGCAAAACATAAAAACGCAGAAATAAAAAATTTATTGTTGTGAGTACTGTATAGATTTTGTGAAACCGGTATCTATCGGTATTCCGTATCGGTAATACAGATTATATGGAATTATAATTTTGAAATTCATCGGCATTTATCTGTATCGGTATTATACGGTAGTATTATACGGTACGATACAAAATTCCGGGCTCTACTTATAAGACTTATTGTCTGTTTCAAACTTGATCAGTACTGTGTATTTATTACTTTTTCGTATTTTGGGGGTATTTTAGGGGTATTTTTGCGTTTATTGAATTATTTCAGGCATTATTCACCACTGTTTGCGGTAACTAAAAAAGAAATGACAATTATTATTTGTTACATTTTTCAAAAACTCATTGCCACGATTCATCAAAAATTTCATCGCTATAAATACAGATCATATGGAATTATAAAAATTGTGTCATAATCCCCCTTATCTTTTCTTTTTTAAATATCTAGTGAAAAAAAATGAATGAAATGATGAATTCTCCCTTGAGAGAGTATTGTTTTAACTAGTAGTTTTTATCCATGTAAATATTTTTCTGTTTTTATTTCCTTTACAAACTTTATTTTTTAAAGATGAAAGATTTTTCTTTCCTCATTTACAATTTTTTAACTATGAATTATTGTTTTTTATTTAATTAACAATAGACAATAAATAATTAATATTTACATAATAAACAAAATGTTTCTTTTAATTTTTCTCTTTATTTTATGGCTGTGTATATCCGTTTTTTCTCAATTTACCTGTAAAATACACCAAATTTTTGTTTTATATTTTAAAATTCATTTTTGGGATTTAAAACATATGTAGAATTTCTCTCATTGTCAGAAAAATTAATTTAAAAATATTGAAATAATTATTAGCTTTTTGTTAAAATATTAAAATATGTATATCCAATAAAATTAAATAAAATGATCTCAAAAATTAAATTTTCCTTTAAATGGAAATTATTAAAATTAAATCAAAAATAATGTTTATTTTATTTTTATTATTAATTATATTAATAAATGCTAGAATTTATTCTTTAAAATGTATGGATTGTCGAACATTAGCTAATGGACAACTTTTGTAAATTTTGTAAAATTATATTAATTTAATATGTGTTTAAAAATTATTTTTTAATAAAATATTTGATTTTTTTTATTAAATTTAAATAGATGTAATGATCCATGTAAAGGGGATATTTGTGCTATCTGGTTTTATAGAGTAATGTCTACTGACCAAATAAGACAAGGATGTTTAGTTGGACCTGATTTACGTGGAGAAAGCTCTCCACCTATGGGTTGTAGAAAAAATAGAGTTGATGCTTTTCTTTGTCTTTGCAAGTAAAATCCTTAATTTTTGTACTAAATATTTAAAATTAAATAAACTTTTCAAGTTCAACTGATTTTTGCAATGCAAACAACAATAAAATTATTACGGAATATTCAGCAAACAATTCATTTCAATTATCTTCCCCAAACAATATTCAATGTCAATCACGTACCTCAGCTTCATTTATTCGCCAACAAATTGTTAAACCTCTTCGGAATTCATGCATTTCTGATTTATGTTTTTTTATAGAATTAAATGTAAAAAATAAATTTTATAAAGTTTTTAAAATATTTTTAGATTACTCGTAAATCTTTATTAGAAAGCACAATTTCACGTAATTGTGGTTCTGAAGCTCAATTCAATTTTCATTTATTATTAGGCAAAGTTTGGCCAGGAACAGGATTAAGGTCTAATGCTTGTTATCGAATAGATATTGGGGAACAAATAATTACTGGATGTACTTGCAACAAAGAAGTTGATTGAATTAAAATTAAAATAATAAATAAAAATATTTTGAAATAGAATAATTGTAATAATCAAATACCCTATCCTATCAATAATGATAGCCATCTTTTGGTTAAATGTTCAACTAGTACAAGTTCTGATTGTTTTGGACATTTTTGTTTTATTCAACGAGAAATTTGGCAGGGTTATGGCCAACATTGGAGAAGGGGCTGTTTAAGTATGAATGAATCAGAAACTTATTCAAGATTTAAAGTAAAAATATATTATTTAAAATAATTAAAAAAAATAAAAAGGTTGGATATAGAAATATTTTGGGAAGTGAACAGTGGATTTGCAATACAAATTTATGCAATAAAGGTAAAATAATCAGCATTTTTTCAGTCTAATGTTTTCGAGCGGGTTTTCGGATTTTAATTTTCGGGGTTTTGGAGCCTAATTTTTGAAATCCGCTTGGTCTAACGGGTTAGCAACAGAAATTATCAAAATCAATTATTAATACAATTACCAGATTTACAATTAAAAATAAATAAAAATGAAAGAAATAATGAATTAATTCAATCACAAAATTATGTAAATGTAATTAAAAAATATAAAATTATTGTTTTTATAAAATTTTAGACAAAGAAGCGTCGAAAGAAAATAATAAATTATAGTACAAAATTAAATTTAAAATTAAATATTTTTATTTTATTGTTGGCAGTTATTTTTGTTTTTTGTTATTGTTAACAGTAGTATACAATTTTATATTTGATATTTTTATCTAAAAAAATTTTCAGCAAAAAATAAATATAAAATAATTGTTATATAAGTACAATTACCTATTTAAAAAAACAAAATAATTATTATAGCATTTATATAACAAATTATACGTACGGATATATAGCGGCATTATAAATATAATAAAATATTAGGTTTGTACAATTTTATTTTTTTTCTTCCAACTTAATTCTGTTTATTTATTAAATTTTCTTTTTAATTCTGATATTTATTGTTTAAAGGGAGTGTTCAATTCTTCTATACATGTTTCCATGCCGACTTTCTCTAAAATTTTATTTTAAAAACTTTTCTTTGTCTTTTAATAAATATATTTATTTTAATTTTAAAGAATTTTACAATTAATTACTGTGTTTATACATAGTAATAGACAGCAAAAGTTTTCTAGAGTTTTTTCGTTTAAAAAAGTTCTTTAAACGAGAACTCTACATTTAAATTTTTCTAGCAATTAAATAATAATCCTACCTAATTTTTTTTAAATTTTGTTTTACACGTTTTGTAGTTCAGAAAATTAAAAAAAAGCTGTTAGATTTTTATATATTCGTGGAAAAAATTTTAAAGGTTCTAGCTCTGAAATTGTCTTATCGGGAGAAAATAGGCAAAAAACCACTTTATGCTAAATTTTTTGGCCTTATACATACACGTTACTTCCTACAAGGCACTAATACGAATTTTGTTAATAAAATATTTGTTAACCTATATAAATATTTGATACCTATATATCGATACCTATATAAATATGTATAGTATAAGTAGTATGAATATTTTTTAATAAAATTGAGCTTCCAATGTTCTAATCTCGGTCTAATTTTTACCTCAACTTAAAACTTTTTATTTTTTAAATTTATTTCCGTTTAAATTCTGTTAGGAGTCTACTATTTAGGTTATAATTATTGTAATAAAACATCAGTTTCAAGTATTTTTTATTTAAAAAAACTAATAAATAAATATAAAAAGAACAAAGTAAAGAAAATAAAAAAAAACTTTTCCGTTGTTAGCCATAATTTGCACTTTTATTTTTAACTTTTTTTTTGCGAGGATATTTTAATTATTAATTTGTGGCAGGCAGAACATGTCATGCGTCTTTTAAATGCCAATTCGTGTTTGGAATGTTTTTGTTTAATTTTTTACTTAATTTTGTTAATTAAATTGAAAAATAAAATTTTTATTCTAAAATTTAATTATTTTATTAATTTTTTGTTTTCTTAGTTAAAATTCATTAATATAAGGGCAGGTGATTTTTCAATTTCCTATAATTTTATTTAATTAGAAATATGTACATACATATTATTTAATTAAAAAATAATTTTTTTAATAATTTTCTTTTTTTGTTCGTAAAATTATTATATGTACAAGTAGCTGTTTTTTATTATTACCTAAATTTATATATTAATCTGTCCTCTATTATAAATGGCAACTGTAGCAGCATTATCAACAGATTTAGGATCACCATCAACGACATTACCACCAAAACCTTTAATTACAAATACAACATTAACACGACAAAGACAACAAACTGGAAAGTATGAAAATAATTTTGGATATGTTCCTTCAACAGCAAATTCTGAAAAATCTTTTAATAAAACTTTATCTTCCCTTCCCGATAGACCACCACCTCCAATTATTCCTCCAATTCTTAACGTGGAAAGAGGAGAGCCAACGCGACACGGAGAACGGGAAAATTCTGTCAAGCAGTTTAGTCAAAGTTATGATCAGACACAACTTCAACTTTTGAACAAAAAATTATCATTGAGCAGACAGTCGACGATTGGAACCAAAAATGTGTTAACACAGTCAAAGTCTGATTTTAATAAAATTAATATGTACGATTTTCCTATTAAACTAAAAATCTTTAAACCTAAATTATGGCTCATTTAAATTATAAGAATAATTTGTCCAAAGATTATATTTAATATATTAATAATTAATTCTTTATTTAGTTCATTCCCAAACACTGCCTCACCCTCGCTTCTTTCAAGTCCAATGAGTACACCTGGAACGCAGCGACGTTTACAACCGAGTGGTATAAAATTACCTGCTCCTCCAGCCTCTTTACTTAATGGATTGCCAAAAGGGGTAGTTATGGCAGCTGCTGGACGAAGAATAGGTAAATTAATTAATTACATATTTAGTGATTTTATTAATATTGATGTTTATAGGAAAAATTAACTTGTAAACTTTAAACAAAAAAATGATCTCTTTATCAATAAAATTAATTTTATATATTTATAATAGGAAGCGGAGCACAGAAGAGTAATTTAATTAATGGAACTACTGCCAATGTATTACCAAGTGCAGCATTAAGTGATCATTTACGAGAATATGTGCCATTGCCAGAAGCAGCGGCGCAAATGCTTATGAGACAGAGAGCTGAGGAATTATTGGCAGCTAATGAATTAGTATAATTTAATTACATTTAGACCTCCATTTTACGTACATCCCGACTTTTTCGCATAATTTTTCGAAAAATAATGGATACTCCTTTATTTTACAAACAATTTTTACCCCCAAGGGTGTATGTAAAATTGAGATCCATTTATATAAAATATATACTAATTTAAAATAATTTAGAACAATTTTCGGAATAAAAAGAATGGTTTAGCTTCCAGAGGTCAATTACAATCTAGAATAATTCAAATGCCTAAAGAATGTAATAATGAAACTAAAGAATCTAATGATAATGATGAGGAGAAAGAAATTAAAAATTGTAATAATAAATTAGAAAAACCATTGGCAACAATTGCCGATGAAGAAATGCCACAAATGAAAATTGTTGAACCAACATTAAAAGTTTTCTTTTAAATTAAAGGAAAATAATTTTATATAAATTTAGTGTAGAATACCTTCCCCACTTTCTCTACCCCAAAATGACGACGAATTAAATTTAAAAAATACTTTAGAACAAAATAATGTTTGTGTTTATTTTAATTTCTAAAAAATAAAAATAATTTTAGACTTCAACATCCCAACAACAAATAATTCCTATAGCTTCACAAACACAAATTAAAACACCTCCACCCCCTCCTCCCCGAATCCAATCACCCCTTCCATTTAATAGTAGAGTGCCTCCACTTTATCCACCAGTAAATGAAGATGGTGGAATAAATGACGGGCCTAGACGTCGGTCAATTTCTTCCGCAGCTGTTGGTCCTTATTTACAAACAGTTATGGCACCTCCAATGAGTCCAAAAGGGCATGTTAATATGTTACCTGCAATTGATGAACCGACTAAAAGTTAATTTATTTTTTTTAAAATCTTTTAACAATTTAAATAGAAGCAAGAAACACAATCACTGCTACACCTTCAAGTAATACTAGCAACGGAAGTAATTCTACTACTAATTTCTTTAGAAATGGGAATAACAAAAATTTTCGTAAAAAATGGTTATTGAGAGGGGCATTAATTGCCACATTAAGTATTGGAATATTAGCTATTATTTTAGTAATTATTTTAACTTCTTTACCTTCAAATAATGGAGATAATAAAATATTAAATAATACAACAACAACAACAATATCTTCAAATACAATTATTACAACACAAACTCCATTAACAACAACAACAACTATCACAACAACTTTAGGTCCAGTAAATATTGTTGGAGGGGCAATATTTGCTCCAATTTCAATGCAAAATCATTCAAAATAATTTTAATTAATTTTGTTATTTTTGTATTTTTTTTTAGAAATAATTATAGTAAAAGCAGTCCAAATTTTAAAATAAAATAAAATATTTTTAAACAATTAATTAATCAATGAGTTTTAAATTTGAATTAATTGAAAGTATTTTTCTTAATTCCTTTTCAGTTTTCCCTCCTTCCCATAAATTATCAGAAGCTCTTTTAACAAAATATTCTTTTTGTATAGCCCAAAAGCATATTTCTCTTAACTCTGGTGGCTGAATTGCTACAAATCCAACAATATGTTTGTTGACAAAAGCAATTTTTAATTTTGAACAAGACAAAAAGCACAAAGTTTCTAATCTTTTATCTAAAGATATACATCCACAATGCTCTAGTCTTTAAATTTAAAAATTAAAAATATATTCTCTTTAAAATACCTATAAGTACATTCTTTCATTGAAATTGTAAATTTAAAGAAAAAATGTTCTCCATTTCTGAGAACTTTAAAAAAACAAAAATCTCCATCAACAAAAATTGATAATTTCGATTCAATTACAGTAATTCGATGCCAGTTACGCCCAAATGTTTCATTAAGTCCACGTACAGCAAAATAGGACAACT